GGCCGAGCTTGGCGGCGATGTGCACGTACCAGCGGTAGACGTTGGGGTACTTGGAGGCGTCCGGCGCGCCCGCGAGCTTGACGAACGTGGCGTTGTCGGCGGCCGAAAACTGGAAGCCCTCGAGGTACGAGCGCGCCGTGAGGAAGCCGTTAAGCTTCTTGAGGCCGCCGTCGGTGTGCACGTCGTTGAACTGCATGGTTATGTGAGTGTCAGAAAGTCAATTCCCAAATGCAATCCCAAGGAATTTGAGCGGATGGCCAAGGAAACGCGAGTTCTGTTTGAGGTACCTTGCACTCTACTAATTTCCGCAGCCCGTGACAACGTGGGTACCCTTGCGACATAAAAGTCCGAGATTCCCCTGAATGGCTGGCCACAGATATCCGAGCCACAGCCCTAGCCACAAACCGGCGCGTTTGTGTCCGTGGGCGGTTATTCGTCCGGATACGGGTATAAAGCGCACCCATATGTGACAGTTAGGTGCGGCTTTGGCTACCTGCGACGGTCGCTCATCCCCTTCCAATGGAGGCAGCGTGCTGGGCTGATGCAATTGCTGCGCGCGGCTGCCCGCGACGTACGACGCGCTAAGCGAATATGCGATAACGCCATTGGCCACAAGGGAGGGATGTCCGTGGAAGACTGGCCTGGTTGGGAGAGGCGCATCTGGGTGCGCTTTTGGTAATCTTCTCGAAATTCGATGTGAAAACTTCGATTTCTCGGGCTTCGAAATTGGCGACCGCAGCTTCGAGCGCATGAGTTCAAGGGCGCTTGGAAATGATTTCGCGCATCTGCAGCAGGTACCGACGGAACGAGGGCGGACGAAGCATGCAAGACGCATGCTTCGTCGTCTCCGACGCTACATGCGCGGGCACGGGCCTCATCGCCGCTCCGTAGGACAATGCAGAGATCGAGCGCTCGATGCTCGCCCAAGAGGTACGCGTCATCCCGTCCGCGATGCATGGCATGCGACGCTGCGTGTAGGTCGAAGCACTGCGCACGCGCTTGGGCCTGCGCCAAGTCGACGTGTCCAAGGAGTGTGGCGTGAATGCATCGATGCTCTCGCAGTGGATGCTCGGCCGGTACAAGGGCAACATTGCCCGCATCAACGGCCTCATGGAGGGCTGGCTCGTCTCCCGACGCGGTGGCAAGCCGCTGGACAAGTCCAACATGGCTCAGCATGCGCATTCGAGCCGCTTGTCCAACTCGGATGGGATGGACCATCTTCAGCGCCAACAGCTCAAGCGGTCGGTACATCATGCCTTGCGTTGTTGCGATCTCACGCGTATGCTGCGCGTAGGAAGCCTGCCGTGCAAATGGACCAGTACCCGCTGTACAAGTACCCGAAGTCGATGGACGCGTCCGATGCGTCCTTGATACCGATCCGACTCGACGTCGACGTCGACGGCTACCGCTACATTGACGCCTTCTTGCTCAGCACGTACGCCTCGCACTCTTTTCCATCTGCCATCTCATGCCACCTGATGTCGTCAGAAATGAATCCGACTATACGTACGAGACGCTCTCGTCGTCGCTCATCAAGGACCTCGACTTGCCCGACTGTTTTTACGCCCCGATCATCGAGTCCATCAAGGCGCAAGTGGCGGCCGCGACCAAGTACGCTCCGTGGTCCAGCGCCGTCAAGTCGGAGGCGCTCTACCGCATCTACATCAAGCTCCGCATCAACGACACGATCCTACTCGACACGTTCGAGTGGGATCTCCACAACCCGACGAACGATCCGGAGCAGTTTGCCCGCGTCTTTTGTAGCGAAATGGTACGTGCGCGATATATACCTCCATCACATCTCTCATGTATTTTAGGGACTTTGCGGCGAATTTGAGCTAGCGATTGCCATGTCGATTCGGGACCAGCTCCAGCAGTACGCCAAGGGCCACCTCGAGCAGCAGAAGGACCAAGCGAGCCGGCTGCCGCCCGTCGCCCAGCCGCTTCGCGACATGGACGACGCCAAGCTGTGGGAACCGAAGATCCGCTACGTCCTCGCCGACGACGTGCCTGTCCTCGAGCGCGAGGTCGACATCGACATCGCATCTTGGGATGCTCATGCGTGCAGTAGGACTTTAAGCGCATGCGACCGACATCGATGCCGGCGCCTCAGCCCATGCTGCCGTACTTTCCGGTCAAGCCCATGTCCTACTTCAACACCGCGACGCCGTCATCCGTGATGGCGGCCAAGCCTAACCGCCCGCCCAAACCCGTCAATACGTTCCTCATCTTTTGCCGGCAGTGGCGCAAGAAGCTCATGGCGCAGAACCCGGCCGCGAGTGCGAAAGAAGCCTCGAAGCTCCTCGGCGACATGTGGCAAAAGCTCACCGAGGCGCAGCGCGCGAGTTACCAGCCGCTCGCAGACAAGGAGAACGCCCAGCGCATGCTCGAGTGGAAGCGCAAGGAAGGCGACAAGCTACCGGCAGGCGACTTTAGCGCCGCGGTCTCGCAAGCGGGTACGGTGACGCCGCATGTGCCGGCGGCGTTCGCGGGGACGCCCGTCTCGAGCGCGGGCACGGCAGCGGCGTCGGCGTCACCAAGCGGCGATGCGCTGGACGAACTCGAAGGCGAGAACGACCTCGACGACGACGACGAGAACGACGAAGACGACGAAGACGTGGACGACGAAGACGACGACGATGACGAATAGCCACGCGGACCGTATATATAGGAGTAGTAGACGCCGGAAGCATGCTAGATGAAGATGATGCCATCACATGAGGTCTTTCATGTCCACGTCCAGATGATCGTCGTCTTCGGCGGCGGCGGCGGGCATGGGCGGCGCTGTCTGCCATCGGCTCTGGTAGTAGTGGCCTTCGAGCTCAAAGAGCGCGGACGCGACGTCCGTCGAGAGATGCATGATCGAGATGTCGACGTCGTCGCACTTTTCCTTGAGCTCTTCGCACGTCGCGTCGACCTTTTGGTTGATGCCCTCAAAGTCGTTGAGCGTCAAGCTGAGCTTGAGCTCGGCCACAAGCTTGAGCAGCGACTCGCTGGCCTGGACGAGGGTCGTGGCATAGACCGCGCTCTGCAGCGCCTGGCGCGTCGTCTGCGTCCGGTCCTTGACCTTGCTCGAGGTCACGAGGCCCTTGAAGTTCTCGACGAGCTTCTCCACGTTGTTGTCGAGGCGCTGCCGGTACTCCTCCGCCATGCTGCTCTTGTCTCTGGTCTGTGGTGCGTGGTAGCAACTGCCTTATTTAACACATAGACTTAATAAGAGTTAAAAAGCGCTCTTTACAGCAGACGCGTCCTCTCGCTGACGCCGCCACAAGGCGTGGCTCGCTGGGCGACGGAAAGCATGCGCACGTGATATTGCACGAGCTTTAGGGTCTCGAACGCTATGCTGCGGACGCTGCGAAGAGCGACGTCGGGGTGCTTCGTGTCTGGGAAGGGGCATTTTGTTAGTTTCGGACTTGACCTAGAGTCCGAATTTCGCTCGGCTTCGTGCTGGCTTGCGATTGGCCGGATCGCATATTTGCTAGCGGCCGGAACAGCTCACGAGCATGAACGACCCCTTGGAATGGTACTACGAGATCCCGGTGATCAGCCGCCTGTACCTCACGGGCGCCTTCCTCACGACGGCAGCGTGCGCGCTCGAGCTCATCTCGCCCTTCTCGCTCTACTTCAACTTCAACCTCATCTTCTACCGCGGCCAAGTGTGGCGGCTTCTGACCAACTTCCTCTTCTTTGGCCTCTTTAGCCTTGACTTTCTCTTCCACATGTACTTCCTGTGAGTGCTATACCCTTGTACAAGCGGCGTCTCATGGCCATGTAGCGTCCGCTACTCGCGCATGCTCGAAGAAGGCTCGTTCCGCGGGCGCACGGCCGATTTCCTCTACATGATCCTCTTTGGCGCCGCCTTTATGATCGTACGCTCCACGACCATGGCGAGTGGTATCTCATCTGTGCTGCTCTTCGTAGCTCGTGGCGCCGTTTGTGAGCGTCCACTTTCTCGGGTCGTCGCTCACGTTCATGATGGTGTACATCTGGGGCCGCCGGAACGAACACACGCGCCTAAGCTTCCTCGGGCTCTTCCCGTTCACGGCGCCGTACCTTCCGTGGGTCCTCCTCCTCTTCTCGATGGTGCTCGGCAACAGCGCGACGATCGACTTGATTGGTATCGTCGTCGGCCATATCTACTACTTCTTCGAAGGTACATCATCCTCGCCTGCTTGGTCTTGGCCTTGACCTCGACCGTAGACGTCTACCCGGCGATCGCCGACATTCGCGGCTGGCGCGTCCGCCGCGTGCTCAAGACACCTGCCTTCGTGTACGCGCATATATTTATATGTGCTCAAACTCAAAAGCTCATTTGAAACTAGGAAATTCCTCTGCAACCCGCATGCGTTTACGGTGATGGGCCAGCCGAATGTCATCAACGACGTGCCAGTCGAGAACGCTGGCGTCGACGGCCACTTGCACCACGAGTAGCGACGTTGCTGGATCGAATTTGGATGCTAATCGATTGCATATCCCTATCTAACACTTGGCCGAGTCAGCGAAATAGCCAAGGACAGAATGCTTCCCTGCCCTAGCGTGGGCTAAAGACATCATCTGAGACGCAGTTGTGGCGGCCTGTAGCAGCACGCACTCGGTTCAACTACGTGTTTTATACAGCAGGAACAAAAGCCCCAGTCTCAACTGGTCGATGGGTGTGCCCAGGAACCGCTGCGAGGAGGCGTCGACTTCCCATGACAGTTCATGTCCGAGACAGCTCACTGTCAAGTCGATATCTCTCACCCAACGCGTCATGCGACGACCCACGTGGCCCGTCTCCTCTTGGTCGGGCGGTGGAAAGTTTGGGTCACTTGCCAACTTGCTTTCTTCTGTCCTCTACCAATGGTGCGCTCCGTCCAACGTAGGTCATCCGTCGACATCACCAAGGATGCATCATTTGCTTTGAAAGCAACCCGCGATGACGTGGCAGCGCTACAGCAGACGCTCGCAGCGAGCAGCGACGCGTGGCATGCGCTGCAAGCCGACATGCAAGCCCAACTGGACCAGCTCGAGGCGCGTCTTGCTGCGCTCGAGATGCCACGGTTCTCTATTTGCACATCGCGTCAAGCTCACGAGGCGACAATCGAGCCTCGGCAGTTTAGCCTGACTTCCGACTCGTCGTCCTCGGACGAGAGCGATGCGATGGTGTTGCTCCAACGGTGGCACGCACCAATGCACCATGCTCCTTTGCCTGCACAAGCGTCGGACGAAGAGAAAGATGCACCCCGCGGTCGGCAGCGAACGCGTCGCACGCGCGGACCCAAGCCGGCGTCCAACCATGCGTACATCCAGAAGAAGAAGACGATTGCGCCGGCGAAAATGACGGACGATGATCACGCAAGCATGCTTTGGGCCCTCGACGACGTCAAAAACCACGCGACGCCGAGCGACAAGTGGCCGACGTCAGCGTGAACGCATGAACGGGCCTCTATGAGCTCCAGCTCTGCATTGCTAATGGGAGCTACTACGGCTGGTCAATGATCTACGTGATACTGCATGTTGCTTTTCATGGCAACCCATGCGCCTCTCTGACAACCCTGCGCTGCACAAGATTCAGCAGCCGTACGCAGCATGGGCTTTGACTGGATGCCAACCAACGCGTCGCCGCATCGCATATCAGTCTTCAATGGGCCACGTCGCTCGTCATTATTTGAAGCGCCACTCGATGCGAATAGCACGCAACTGCCAAGTCGTTAGCAGCCGAATGTCGGCAGATTGCTGAGCATGGGTTACTCTGGTGATAGATTGTACAGTGTTCATAGTCCAAGGTAAGCATGTTTGTCTTCTCGAGAAGTAGGATGGACACTCTGCCTATCGCCTGTTGGCGCGGTAGCGCATGTCCGGCGTGCCATCGGCCTTCATAGGCCCACTCGGTGCACTGCTGGGCGCTCGGGTCGCGGGGGCGCTGTTGCTGACCGCGGATCGGTTCGCAGCATACCGCATGTCAGGCGCGCCGTCCGCTCGAACAGGGCCCGACGGCGCGGGGGCGCTAGAGCTGGGTGGACGGTTCGCAGCATACCGCATGTCAGGCGCGCCGTCCTTTCGAGTGGGGCCCCCTGATGCAGTTGGCGCAGGTGGGGGTGTCGTTGCCGCCGTGCGATTGGCTGGCTTGGAACCAGGGTTGGGACAGTGCGTGCTTGGATTTGCCGTGGCTGGTACCTCCACTTTGGCTGCATACCGACGGTCAAGCTCGCCATCCTTGCGCCGCGGCCCCGCTTCAACGCCCGCTTCTTTCACCGTGGGCACGATGGGCGACGTGTCGTCGATTTTTCCGTCTGCGCGCACAACGACCAAGCCGCGCTGCACGGCGGCGCAGCGGCGGTCGACTTTGCCGTTTGTGGTGAAGCTCAAGTCACCTTTGCGCACAAGGATCTTGAGCGCCGCGAACGTCGTCGGTGACACCTTCAAGTCGCGCGTCGCGTCCGAGAAGGACAGCAACACTGCGCGGTACGCGCGGCAGCGCTGGTCTACACTTCCGTCCTCCTTGAGCGTGAGGTCGCCACTACGAACGGCGGCACAGCGCTTGTCGATGCGACCGTCCGCCGTGCGCAAGAGAAGTCCGTCCTTCGCCAACCGCTGCAACACGTGCACTTCGAACGCGTCCTTGGTCGCGTCCTCGACGGCGGCGACGGCGGCATGGTCAGCACTGCGGCGCGCAGCGAGCTCAATCACCGAGACACCCGTGGCCTCGTCCGTCACGGACGCATATGCCGTTCGCAGCGCAGCGTAGGCCCAGCCCACGTCGCGCAAAGTCTTTTCAATGTGCTGCCAGGCCGTCACGAGCTTGGAGAGGCCGTGGCCCGAGGCCATCGTCTCGTCGTCGGTCATGACGCAGGCGGCGACGGCGCGCTCGGTGCCCTGGTTCTTGGTGGCTTGCAATGGCCGCCAGTTGGAGCGGTGGCACAGCGCCTTTTGAATCGGGACGATTTCAGTGAGAAAATCAGGGGCCGGCTGGCCATCGCGGTGTCGCCGGAGCACCTCCTTCACGACCATGTCCTTGGCGACCTCGACGTCAAAGTAGTGCGACTTGTGGTACTTGGGCGCGAGTTTCGGGCCCCTGAGGGGTTTGCGGAGGATCTCACTCTTGATCGTCGCCTGCGTCGGGTCAGCGGAGAAGGCTTCGTACGCCACTTGGGCCTTGGTCTTTTTCTTGGCACCCCCGCCGCCTTGAATCGCCGCCACGTCGTCGTCTTCATCGTCATCCTGTGGCCACCAAGCGGTCATGTCCTGGGGTTGCGGCGTCGCGTGTTTGGTGTCAAGTTGCGAAGGAGGTGGCCGCGTCGGGTCTATCTCCTCCGTATCACCAGCATGGAATGCGGCACGATCGATGTCGTCTGTCGTGAAATCCCATGGCGCCGACCTGGCCTGGCGCGGCTCGTAGCAGAGTGTGCAGGCCATCGCGTATGCTTCGTTGCGCAGAGTACACGTGGCACATGCCCACGACTCGACGCTTGTCGGCGAGTTGAGGACATTGCGGGGATCGGGACTCGCACACTTGACGCAGAACAAGCTGTCTATGTTCTTGGCCGCGCAGGCCGTGCATTCCCAGGATTCGGTCGACGCCATGGCGAAAGAAATTATGCCCATGGCGTGCTCCACACCGCCGCGCGGTTTCTGGCCTTTTCAACGGCCGCAACGAGCCAATCCTGACGGCAACACCGCAGCCGCTACAGCGTTTCATCGGTCTCACGCATGCTTGTGGCGCAGCAAGGCCATAAATACCCTTCCGGTATCCAGCGTCATGCCACAGAACATATTGGATTTCTCAGACGCTGGTGACTTGTGAGCACTCAGAGTACTTGCAAGTCTCGAGCTCGGAAACGTCACCAGAAGAGGACGCGTAACTGATGTATTCGAAAAGTTGGTGCTGTCAAGATTGCATGAGAGATCGAGCTGTGGTCCATCGTCACAGCGGCTTGCATGTCGACGGCCGTTGCCATCATTGAGTCGTCGCGGACTCTTGGTCGTGAAGGCAAAGGGCTCCGATGGTCACCGCTGCTGGTTGCTATGGCGCGATAAAAACCTGATACAATAAGTGCCCGGTGCCGTTTCATTGGCTGCATTATTGACCAATGCACTCTCGAAAGTGGCGTTCAAGATACATTCCGAGGCGGAAAAGGCTGCCGCAGCTCACAGCTCAGATTCAGTAGGCCCGATCGAGACATGGCCAGTCCTGGTCCTTCTCATCTAGGATATTGGACCGATTGGCGTCGCAGCGTCCGAGGCGTCTCCGGCTGGTATCCGGTGTCCCTGTCGTTTCAACGGCCAGAACCGGTAGATCAGCCGACGAGACGTTGGTAAGTCGTGGTTCCATCAGCGCACCAAGCAAGCGACGGGCCCTTCTCCCACCATCACATAAAACGTTCCATCGGCGAAACAGTGTTCCATCGGCGAAACAGTGTATTCTCATGTAGTTGAAGTGGGAGATCTTTTGCTTTACGCAGTGTCGTCGGACACCACGGCGCGCTTGGAGCCAAACGTGTACTTGTCGCCCTTGGCGTGCACCTCGTCCAGACACGTCTACCAGCGAGAATGTTCCATCAACCTTCTGCGATTCATCAACAAAGTCTACCATGAGCGTCATGATCTGGTGCATGAGCAGCCACGGTTTGGCGTCCGGTGCGTGCCACGACTTGCTCGCGAGACTCACCTCGAGGGCCATGTCCTACATCCCACAAACGTCAAGAGATCAAAGTTGCAAGGCTGCTGTACCTTGAGCTGGTCGGCACTCGGCACGTTAGCTCGTCGCTCGCCTTCGCAGACGACCACGGGTGGCACTTGCGGGTACGCCGGCGACACCTCGACATACACATTGACGCGGCCTAGCACCAGCATGAGTTGCCGCTTCACATAGTATCTATAAGAAGTTCTACTGCGGTCGTGTTCGAGGACGGCGCGGAAGTAGCTGTTCTCCGCGTGCAACGTCGCAAAGGCTTCGGTCGGCCGCACGTTGGCCGTCCACTTGACCAGCGTCGTCTTGCGCGCCTTGGGCAAAACCGCTGCGAGTGACGCATGCGCTTCGACACGCCGCGCCGCGAGTCGGTCCGAGAGCGCCAGCAGCGCAACACGACTCTCGTAGCGCTCCGCAAGCTACGAAAGAGATAGACCACCGGGCTTCTTCGCTGCGTGTACCGTGGTCAGGACGCAGCGGATCGAGGGCTCGGGACGCGTGGGCTCGGACCGGCGCTGGAAGGCGAGTCCGCAGATCCATTGCGCCCAGAGATAGGGCCGCGCGGGCGCATCGGCGGGATAGTCCATGTCGACTTCGTGGCCGTCTTCGCTCACGAGGGCGTACGCAGCAGCGACGTTGGGCTGCACGTCGCCCGCGTCTTTATCAAACAAGTTGTGCAGCAGATGTGGGTACGCCGGCGTCTAATGCAATGCATGGTCTACCAAGACGCGTGGAAAGTATGGTACCTCGACAGTGACAATACCGAGCACGGGAAGATAGATAAATCGGACGCACAAGGGCACCGCCGACGACCCCGCCGGTGGCATAAACTACCAAAAACAAGGGTTTCGCGTGGCTGTAAAGTGGAGAAGACGCGAACCTCAATCTCGACGGCCTTGGGCGCGACGCTGTAGGCTTCGGCCAGCTGCACGGCGGGCGTGCTCGTCGCCGCTGCCGGCGCGGGTGCAGGCGACGCCACGGACGGCGACGGCGACCGAGACGCGAGCGGCGTCGTCTTTTGGCGCTTGGACGCGCGTTCGTCGACCTCGGGCACCGGCGTCGTGCGTTCTAATCACTTGAAATAGTGTGCAATGCACATGGAACCGATGCACGCACCACGGACACTGCGCGAGCTGACCTTGGTCGAGGACGACGGTGTCGCTTGCGCCGGTGCGATGCGCAGCTGCAACGACCCCGGACCTGCAGAGGAAATGTGAATAGGACGCTAGAGCCGGGGGTGCTACCCATGGCCTGCATGTAGGCCTCGAGCTCGCAGTAGAGCGTGTAGAGCGCCGACGGAAGCTCCTTGGCGTCGTGCTGGCGCGCGACGTCCATCGTTGTCACTGGAATCGAGAGCAATGCTTGAAGCGGCTCGCTCGCCTATGTGACCGATAAGACGCTGCATGGAACTAGAACGAACCTTTTCAATCGCGGCGATCTCGGCAGGCAACGACTCCAAGAAGGTGCGCTTCTCGACAATGGCTTCGTCGACGGCTGCAATCTTGGCGTGCAGCTGGCGCTGCTGCTCTTGGACTCTACAAGTTCGGTGTTTGAACCTGCAAAAGCTTCGAGGAAGCGTACTCTTCGCGAGCTTCCTTCTCCGTCTCCAAGCGAAGGAGGTGCTCAGCATGCATGTCGGGGTCGCCCGTCACGGGCAGCTGGCCTTCCGGGAACTCGATCTTGTCCATCTCCTTCATCCTAGCACAGATTACTGGGTGAGCCAGACGCATGTCGTGCTTCACTACGTACGGGAAGCCGCGGCAGCGCTTGATTTCGCGCAGCAAGTGGTCCTTCTCGTACATGAGGTTCTGGAGCTTGAGGTGGTGCGCTTCGACGAGATCCTTCTGGTCAGCCACTCGCTTGCGCCACGCCTCGGTCTCGAGGAAGGTATCGCGCGTCGAGCTCTTGATCTTCTGTAGCAGGAGGAGCGCTCGGGCCACGCGAGGGCTAATGTCCTAGTTGCCAAGCGAGCATGAGGTCCGAGATACGTGGCAGAGCCACGGATCATTACGCTGTCATGGGCGTCGATGAGCTTGGGCAGGAGGCTGCGGAGCTCCTGGCTCGCTGCCTTGAGCTGGCCCACGGACGTCGACGGGCTCTGGCGGTCCATGGCGGAAGTAGCAGCGTGTGTGGGATTGGTTGAAAAGAGTACGATTTGCGCCAATCAAACACTGTTCTTACTGGCCTGTGATTGGTAAATAAGCTGAGGTATGTGGTCGGTGATTGGCGCATTTGGAGTAAAGTAAATCGTGCCAACGACGGCATCTTCTGCCCAGTATCCTCGTCGTACGTACTACTAGCTTCAATGAAAACAATTGCTCGTCGGACGGTGCCTCGGCGACTGCTCACGAAGATCGCGCAATCCAACGCACCGAAGAGCGCTCGCCGATCGCAAGGCCACCGTCCTCGGTGTCATGGACGTCATCCAAGCGGCACAAAGCGACGGCGGCCCTCAAAGTGCGTCGTCTTGTTTACTTGTCTTGTACGCACATGGCCGTGCATGTAGGCTCGCGACAACTTGCTCCGGCGGGCACGTCGACTGGTCGCTCGAGACCACAATGGAGCAGTACCAGACACAGTCCAGCGCGATCACGGACACCGACAACAACAACGACAACGACAACGACACCGACAACAACAACAACGACAACGACAACGACAACGACAACGACAACGACAACGACAACGACAACGACAACGACAATGACAACGACAACGACAACGACAACGACAACGACAACGACAACGACAACGACAACGACAACGACAACGACAACGACAACGACAACGACAACGACAACGACAACGACAACGACAACGACAACGACAACGACAACGACAACGACAACGACTAGTGAGCCATCCACGCACCACCGTCGTCATTTTCTACTTTTTCATGCGTGTCGTCGCTTTTAATCAGCAAACGAATGTGTGTGTTTGCTCGTACGTTGTATTCTCGCTGCCGAGGACGAGCGTGCGTGACGCCGGCGATCGCCAGCGTCATCTCGGTCATGAGGATCTTTCATGACATGTTGAAAGCTCTTGGCTTGCAGCGTCTTGATTCCTACTCGAAACAACGCGAGCTCATGACCTCACTAGCGACGAGCCTTTTTCTCCGTGCAAAGTTGACACACAAATGCTCAAGCATCTTCCTTTGAAACACAAGGGTCATATTGGTATTGAGCGCCAAGTTCTCGGCAAGGGTTCCTTGGTTCTCGGTCACGCAAGCACGTAGTATTGACGGTCGCTTGCGCTTCTTGCACATGTCATATTCTTGCTTGACCACGCCCTACTCCTGCGTCCTTTCCCGTTCCAAGTCGGACGGCTTCACGCTTGTGAGGGTGCGCGGGTGTCGTCGCCAACGAGGTCGAAGCACGTTCTGCCACCTCACACTGCCACGTCATGCCACTTGGTACCTCTAAAACATGATATCATATTTGATTTCGAAGCTGCCTGCCATTTCCGGTTGAGCATGGACGAGATCGTGACGCGGGTCCGGCAGGAGCTCGCGCAGAAGTATGGCCCGATGATGGTGCAGTGGTACGAGGCTGTCGACTGGCAAGAGCCGCTCGTCGTCGGCCTCATCGGCTTCCACGTTCTCCTTCTCATCGCGGTCCTGGGCCTCCGCCACGTCTACAGCGCCCAAGTCGTGCTCTTTGGCACCATCTGCGGCCTCGTCGCGGTCGCCGAGCGCCTCAACACGTGGGCGCACAGCCACTGGCGGCTCTTTGCGACGCAAAACTACTTTGACAAGAACGGCGTCTTCATGGCCATCTTCGTCTCGGGCCCGCTGCTCGCGATCGGGTTTGTGCAGCTCGTGAGCAACCTCCATGCGATGGCCCACCTCGTCGTCTCGGTCAAGCGCCACGAGTACAAGCAAGAGCTGCTGTCGAAGAAGGAGAAGGCCGAGAAGAAGACGCAATGATTGTAAGTTTGATAATGCAAGCAAAAATGAAAGACAGGCGCCTAGTTGAGTTCGCGCACAGGGAACTCGCGCGCCCAGAGCAAGTGCGTGAATTCGTAGAGGTCCGTCGACACCGACACCTTGTACGGCGTCGCGTTGAGCGGGCGCATGACGTCGGCGCGCATGACCTCGATCTGGTTGGCCACGTACGACCGGATCTCTTGGATCGTCGGCAGCGTGCCCTGGATACCGCCCTTCTTGCCGTCCCACACGAGCGAGTGGAGCGGGATCACGGCCGACGGCGTCACGTACACGCGGACCATCTCGTCGAACGCGTGGCGGCAGAGAAGGCGCTGGCCCGCCTCCGGCTCGCGCTCGTTGCAGCCCATCATGAGGTCGAGGATCGGGCTGCCGTTGGCGCCGACGAGGCGGAACGCCTGCTTCTTGCCGGGAATCGTCACCTTGGACGTCTCCTGCGAGAGCTTGATGCGCGCTTGGCCGCCAATCTCGACGAGCTTGTAGACCATGCCGAGCGCAGGCTGCGCCTGGCACGTCACGAGGTGCGTGCCAATGCCAAACGAGTCGATCTCGTGGCCCTTCGTGCGACATAATGAGATACGACGATCGAGAGTCGACATGGACTACCTGGTCGTTGAGCGAGTTCAGCACCGCTTCGTTGATGTCGTTGGAGGCGACAATGTTAAAGTTGGCAAATGCCGGGAGGTCAAACTTGGCCGCCGCGGCCTTGAAGAGGCGACGCGCCTCCTTGGAGAGGTACGCAAGGTCGCCCGAGTCGAGGCGGATGCCTTGCGCCTACGACATGCGTTGGTCGATCGAGAGTTCGTCGACGACGAGACGCACCTTGTAGCCAAGATCGTGGAGGGCGAGGGCGACGGCCAAAAAGTTGGGCACGCCCGACGAGAGCGTCTCGTACGTGTCGACGAGCGCCAAGAAGGCCTGCGGGAACGCGAGCGCATACGAGATGAAGGCCGCAAGCTCGCCCTACACCGTGCCGTGAGCTGCCTGATCATACATAGCGAAGAGAACGCACGTCGTTGGTGTTGTCGGCGTTGAGCTTGGTGCGGTACTGGAGCGTGAGCGCCTTGAAGTCGACGCCGTTGAGCATCGTTTGCTACGATATGTATGAGTCACGTAGAGAGATCAAGAGTTGGCTACCTTGACGTCGTCGAGCGAGCGGTGCGCCTGCACGAACGCGTGTGCGTGCGTGCCCTTGATCGGGATGCCAAAGAGCTTGCCCGCGAGGACGTTGCTCGTGCCGTGGAAGCCCGCCATGTACGAGTAGCGCGACGCCGAGATGCCACCGTCCGGGCCCTGCGCACGGCGCAAGCCAAACTCGAGGAGCGTCTTGTCCTTGCCGGCCGCCTTGATGAAGCGCGCGGCGTTCGTCGCGATCAAACTGGCGTAGTTGAGGAGGTTGAGGAGGCCCGTTTCGAGGAGCTGCGTGATGCCGAGGTGGCCTTCAATGCGCAGAACAGGGATGCGCGGGAACGCAATCGTGCCTTCCTTCAACGCGTAGATCTACACGACGGCATGAGTGTGCTGCCTCAGCATGCCTGTCGCCGTACCTTGACGTTGGAGCAGTCGAGCGAGAGGAGCCAGTCAAAGAACCAGCCTCCGTGCCTTGCGGCATGACGTCGCGCAGGTACGCCACATCCGACTCGGTAAACTTGAACGCGTTGAGGAAGAAGAGCACCTACGCCGTATGGTCCGTCATGAGACGAGGCCGCTCGTGAGGGCGAATAGCGCTACCTCTTCAAGGCCAGCAAAGACCGTGAACTCGCCCTTGAACGGGTTCTTGCGGAAGAAGAGGTCGAACGTCGCGTCTTCCGTGTGGCGGCCGACCTTCCAGTAGGCGTACGCCCTACACGCATGATTTGTACCGCGTTAGCCTTCGTATTACAGCGCTTTAAGGCCGGCGCCACGTACATGGTGATCTGGTAGAGGTCCGTGAGGAGCGGCGTCACGAGCGCGTTCGTGGGCTTGGCGCCAGCGTAGATCGACTCGGGGATGCTCATGCTGCTGGGCTGGCGAATTGGCAAATGCCCCCCTTCGATCACCTCGTTATGGACGGCCAATCAGCGGCGGCGACCGAAAGCACTTGGCGTTTGTATGGCTGCTGGATTTCGGCGGCGACGCCCATTTCCACCAATTAAAAGCGAGCACATACAAACTCGGAGAGAGTCGCCAACGACCATACGGTGGGACAACCCGAGACGCCCATCAAATAGTGTGCAATCCGATGACACATCATCCCCGGAGCTCCTTCGTCGTGGCACGACGGCGGCTGCGCGAGGATCGGCACCCTCAGCTCATCCTCGAGCAAGCTGCACCAATGACACTAGTACGATCTGTGATTCGATTGCCAGCGATAAGCAGTAGCTTGTCCGTGCTCCTCGATTGCCGGCAAGCGGGCGACAGATGTAAACATCACTCTCGCGTAGTAGTAGACATGGGCCCGTGCGACCGCCACCCATGCGCCCGTGCATGGTCGAAGAACCTGGCTGTACGACTGTGTCGATAGAAGGAAAGAGTGCGATGGATATTCGTACGGCCTCGTGCACTCGGACAGGCAGCAGCATCCGTGCCCTGTGTCGACTGATTTTGAAAATCAGGTGCAGCGTCCATTTTAGGTGCACTGACCGCAGAGGACTCAGCTGCATAGAACCGGTCCTGCCGATGGACGCGCAGGTGTCTCGCTTGGCCGACGCGACGCACGCACGGGCCAGGGCTCGGGGCGCACCCAAGTCGCACACTATTTTCTGGGTGGAAATGTGACAAATGGCCTTTTTCACACTGTCGGAGCGGCACGTGGTTCAAACAACCCAGCATCGATCATTCGGCTCCAGCGCCTCTAGCTTGTTGACCTTGCGCCAAAGGCAATTCAGTCGAATCGCTATCGGTCTCAGTAGAGAGTTCTAGTACGTACTCTTCACTGATAGTACGATGCTAGCTCCCACAGACAAGTGCATTTCATCAATCAACATATATGAACACGTACGTCTCCCCTACTCGCCGAGGAAGAGCGCGACGCCGCTAATGATCCACTTGGCCGGGTCGCCCGAGATGGGCAGCGAGATCTCGACGAGCATGCGTTCGCGCGAGATCTCGTAATAGAGCGGCACTTTGATGCACGCGTCCTTGGCGTACGGCTCGCGGTCGTCGTCGCGCGTGTAGGCGACGTAGCAAGTGGGCACTGCAACCAGCTCCTGGGCATCCGACGACGGCTCTTGCAGCGTCCCGCCTTCAAAGGAAGCGCCTTGAAGCAGCAACCCGCCGAGCGCAAACCACTCGATGGTCCCTACACATCGCGACAATGAGTCGAATGAAAACACGCATCTCGGACCCGTGGTTTTCTCTTTGTCCCAGCACGAGACGAGCTTCATGCCGTCCATCGAGCACTGCAGCGTCCGCGCCGCCTGCTGCCGCAGGGCATTCAAGAACGTGCCGGGTTGCAGCACTTCCGAGAGGTCCAGTGGGCGCGACAATAAGGAGCCTTTGGCGCAGTCTTCCTTCCACTCGGCCAGCGCGCGCTTTCGGAGCGCGAGCGCGCGGAGCCAGACTTGCACGACGTCGCTGCTGCCTTCCCATCGGTTGCTCCAGTCGCTTGGCACAGTGCTTAGAAGCAGCGACGCCGCAATCGTTTGAATCGCCGGCGTCAACAAGCCCGTGCCGTAAATGACTTTCTTGATGTTCATGAGGCCGCTGTTGACGTGCACGGCGAGCTCGGTCGCCGCCGTGTTCTCCATCGCCACAAAGGCTTCGACCGGCGACGCATTGGGCTTGGCGTCTCCCTTGGCCGCACTGCTCGCCTGGTCCAAGTGCAAGCTCGACGTGAGTTTGGCCCAGTTTTCAATCAGCGGCCCGAGGACGACGCGCCACGCCTCCCGATCAAACTTGCTCGAGGCTTGGGCGCTGTTGTTGAGCGTACGCAGCTGTGCAATCACGGCCGACGACGCCGACCGCTGCACCGATCGCTCAATGTTATCGGGCAGCCCAAAGAGCTTGGGCGGGTCGGTCTCGGGCAAGTGCTCGATGAGCGCGACATAGTCGTCGCGCCGGTCGGACGCTGGGATCTTGACGCCTTTGCAGAGGGCGTTTTTCCCAGAGACCACGTCGGGCGCAAAGTACATTTGCAAATACACGCGCAGCACGCGGAGGTCGTACGGGTTGTCGATGCGGCCGCCGTAAATCGCGTTTTCCATGAGACCGTGGACCGCCGCCCAGTCGACCGCGGGGGCCGACGCCGCGACATCCAGCACGTTGAAGCCGGCGCGGAGGTCGCCAAAGCTAAACTCGTAGAATTTCGTCCACCCTTGGGGCAGGTACGTGCGCCGCTCTTGCAGAAGCGAGTGAAAGAACGCGAGGAGGAAAAGCAGCTGCATGCGCGGGATCGAACTGCCGGCCTCGAGCGGAAACGTCGCGTATGTGCGCAGGAGGTTCTTCTTGAGGCCTGGCGGCGACTCGTACGTGACCTTTAAACTTTGCTCGAGTAAAATGAGGGGAAACCCGTCGTGGGCCTCGGTCGTGCACCAGAGCCGAAACTTGCGGTGTGGGTTGAGTGCGTTCAGCTCCTTCTCCAGGACCACGAGCCATGCGACGACGAGGTGGAGGTTCTGGAGGCAGAGCCACTCGCCGTTCTCGGCTGTTGTACGGAGTAAGCTCAGCGCCTTCTCTTGCTGCCCGCCGCCCATGGCCACCTCGAAATAGTGATCCCGACCAACCATCTCGGTCGCGACTTCCTCGAGTTCCTTGGACGGGTCGGCGCCGGCCGTTGTGAGCAGCAACACCGGGGTCGTACTCGACGCCTCGTGGGTTGCGAGGTCCTTAAAGTCGAGTGGCGGCGGCGTCAACGTCTTGACTTTGAGGATTGTGCAAATGAAGTTTTGGATCGCACTCTGTAGTCGATCGGGCCGCAGCGCCTGCACGAGGAGCACCTTCTGGAACGGACTCAAGCTCTTGTCGACTTTGGCGTGAAAGTTGACTTCGCAGTCGGTGGCCTTGGACCAGCGCAGCCAAATGTCGTTCGCGTCAAACTTGAGATTGGAAGCGAGGCGCGGAAACGTCTCCATAAAGAGCGTAAATGCATCGCGCCGGTCGGTCGCGGCCCACTCGGGCAGCGGCGCTTCCTTCTTCGCGTCAGCCATGAGGTCGCCGACAAAGTACTCCCACTCGTTGGGCTCGAACGCCTCCGGGTGGGTACCGTGAATGAGGTGCAAGCCAAACATCGGCCGGTGCTCCTTGAAGAGGGACCGCCCCACAAACATGAGTACTTTGGTCTCGAGCACGGGCGAGAGCCGCGCAATGCGTTCTTTGATCGAGCTCACGTCCATTTTCGAGGCCAGCGTCGCCTTGAAGAGCCCGATGAAGCTCAGGAGCGAGAAGCGGTACATGTGGCTCACGCTGTGCAGTGCTTTGACGAGGAAGAAGAGCCGCGCGCCATCTTTGGCAAACGGCGCGTAAATCGCCCGCTGGTCGTCCAGCTCCTCGCTCTTCGTCGCCGACTTGCGCAGCGCATCTTCAATGTCCGCCGACGTCGCCTTGGTGCGTGTGAGGCTCTCGATCAGTGTCGTGTTGTCGAGAATGTCGCCTTCGGACGTCGCGAGCGCTTCGAGCAGCTGCTTCTCGAGCGACGCGAGCTGCACCTTGAACTCCTCTTCGTTCTTGAGGAGCTCGCTCTTTTGCGACTCGAGCTCGGGCTGCTCGTTTTGGATCGTCACACCGAGCAATTGGCCTTCGAGCCCCGACTTGGTGACCGTGAAATTGACAACGTTAACGATCGCCCGCGCGTCCGGCGGCAAATCCGGGTCCGGATTGCGCGTCACGAGCACGAGCCGAAAGTTGTCGTTGTAATCGACGTCCTTGTCGCCGAGCCGCACAATGTACCGAGGGCCTTCGTGGTTGAGGTCCTTCCGAATGAGCGGGTACAGGTACGGCTCGACAAGGTCCACCTCGAGGATCGCGAGTGTCTTGCCAAACCGAACGGCTTGCTCGACGAGTGAGACGAACCGCGGTTCTTGGGACTGGACGACTGAGAGCGGGCGCGTTGCATCTTTGGCCAAGTGCGCTTGGAGCCAACCGGTGGCCGCGTTCGCCGGGTCGATGATGAACGGACACCGCTCCTTGGTGTAGTGGACGATGAGCCCGTTCTCCATCGAGAGGTTGTCGGCCGGCAAGCTCATGCTCTTCCACGTGAGCATCTCCGACTCGGAGCTCAGGAGCTTTCGGTAGTCAAAGACCGTCGCCGAGTCCATCGCGGCGTCCCACCCTTTCGAAATCGCCGCGCGCTTGTCTTCGGAGCACTGGCCGAGAAAGGTTGTAAAGCCAGACGCCATGAGGAGCTTCAGCGGCAGCTCGACAACGCGCTGCTCAAGGTCCTTGACTTGGGCCGACCATCGAGTTTGCTCGCCACCGAGCTTACCGAGGAGTCCCTGGGCTTTCTGCAGCGTGGCTTCGGCGCGCTCCAAGCCGACGCGCAGGATTTCGGCCTCCTTGGTCTTTTCACCAAAGAGTGACTTCATTTCGTCGACCTTGACGTCAATGGCCTTGAGCTCGCCCTCGCACGACTGGAGGCGCTGCTGGGACGCATCCAGAGACCGCTTGGCCTCCGCAAGGTCGGCTTCGAGCGGCTCGATCTTGGCGAGGACGACGCTGTACTTCATGTTGGCCTTGACCCAGCCTGCGAGCGGCGCCGCGGCTACGCTCACGCGGTAAATATTCTCGTGCTCAAAAGACGCCGCTTTCGCCTTGAGGAGCTTTGTGACGGCCTTGGCAATTTCGGGCGTAATGCGGCGCGAGTCGTAGTTGGAGATATCGTCTTTCACGCCACGGTTCCCGAGGAACTTTTCATGCTGTTCCACGACGTGTCTTGGATGCCGAGAAGCATGAGGACGGCCGACAAGACGTCGTGGATGGGCTCGGGCGGCATCTTGAGCGACCGAATCTCGTTGATGTTGTCCGACTTGATGGCGCCGACGGCCTCTTTCGCCGACTGCAGCACGGGCGTGATCTCGCTGAGTTCGTCTTCGATCTCTCGCTTCCGAGCGTTCGTCGACTCTTCGGCTTTTGCAAGCTGCTTCTTGAGGTCTTCGACCTCGCGCCGGTTGACGGAAGCGCGGTCCAAAGCGCGCTTGATCTCGTCCATGGCCTCGTCGGCCGACACTTGCGCGGCGCCAAGCTCGCGCTTCTTGATGACGGCACTTTTGCTGAGCTCGTCGACGGTCGACGAAGCTTCTTCGAGTTTGCTCAGCCCGCTCTTGAGGTGCGTCACGTCAAGAAGAAGCTGCTTGGACTTTTCCGTAAACAGATCCGACCACGTTGTGAGGAACGCAATGTACTCGCGGGGAGTCGCTCCAAGCAGCTGCACCGAGCTATAAATGGTGTGGACCAGATTCAGCAGCTGGACTTTGGACACTTGGTCGGTAAGGAGCTCGGAGCCAGCGAGGAGCATCTCGGGCACCTTCTTGAGACTCTGCTGGCTCCAGTCGCCCATCCAGGCAATCGTGCACCGCGTGTACAGCGCTGGGTTGCTCTCGCAGCGCCGAATGAACGCGTCGTTGCGGGCGTCCATGCTCAAGACCAGGTGCAAATTGGCTTGAACGCGCGCAACAAAGAACTCGTACACGGTCTTGTAGACGCCCGTGGTGCATTCGAGCATCTTTTCTTTGAGCGGACTCAGGAGCGGCTCGAGCTCTTCGTGCGAGTAGAGACCGGGGACCTCGCCCGCACTCAAGAGCGAGTTGGTGAGCTCTAGAATCGCGTCTTCGCTGAAATGGTGGTCCTCCAAATACAAGACGGCGTGGTCGCCGTCAATGCCGGCGCATTGGACCACCGCCTTGAGGTCGACTTTGAAGCTTGCGGCGTTGTAGTGGCGCGTAATCGTCGGCGTGAAAAACTTGTACCCGAGCATGTGCGCCAACAACGTCGTCGCCGTGCGACGCCCGACGCCCGCCGAGCCAATAAGGAGGAGCGCGCCGCCGAGCTCCGAGAGCGCGCGGTCGACGACGGCAATGTGGTCGAGGATTTCTTCAAACAAAAGCATGTGCAAATCCTTCTCTTCGCGTTCGTAGAGCACAATGCCTTGGGCGACCGCCGCTTGAAAGTCCCCGGACGCCATGCGCCGCAGCGGCACAAGCAGCGCGTCTTCGACACGCTTCATACCGAGCGATGTAAAATAGACGTCTTGAAGCTTGGCGTTATGGCGCCATTGGGTCTTGAGGATCGTGTGCATCGCCGAGTCAAACTTGGCCTTGCTCTCGACATCGACGAGTCGGTCCTGGAACAGCCGACGGGCTTCGTACGCGACCACATCCAAGAGTTCTTCGTGCTCGAGGTCGTAGCGAAGGAGCCCAAACGTCCACTGCGTCACATCCCGGGGCGTGAAGAGGTAATGGCGGTGGTCGTCGACGCTGAATTTCGACCGGACGCTCTCGTAGAGCTCGACCATGGACGTCGCGAGCTTGTCGCGCGTCGAGGGCTCGCGCAGCATGGGCGCGTCGACGCCTTGAAGGAACGTCGAGTAGACCGCACTGAGCTCATCGCCGCTCGGGTAGTCCATCGAGGCGACGCGGACGACAGCCGTGAAGCGGGTCGAGAGCATGTGGCGCCCGACGGTCGTCGCTGCATTCATCGACGCGACGATCTGGACGCGCTCGACGCCGAGGAACTCGAGGTTCGGGTCGTAAAACCCCTGGAACGTGAGCAGCTGCTGGAGGAACGCGATGAGCATGCACGTGTCGTACATGTCGGGCTTTGGCAAGTTGATGTCTTTGAGATACAAGACGAGGCGGTCGCCGTCGCGCGGGCGGTAGACACGCCCGGTGTTGGTCGAGAAGAGCGAGCAGCACTGCGCAATCTTGGCGATGACGTGGTCGGCGGTCGTTTGCGCGTTGCAGTGGAGCACCGAGAGCGTCGCGCCTTTGAGCGACTGGAACGCTTGGCGAATCAAAAGGTTCTTGCCACAGCCTTCGGGACCGACGAGAATGAACGGCTCCATGCGCTCGACCCACGGCTTGACGACGTCGAGGCCGCGCTGCATCGACATGGTTTGGACCACGGATTGCCGCGAGATGGGCACGTCGCTGTCGCCGTACACGCTGCGCTTGGTCTCGTACGATGTAAAGGACGACCCGACGCAGTAGCAGTCGAGCGGTGCGCTCATGTCCGGTGGTCGCTCGTTCGAGAAGAGGAACACGGCTTTTGCAAAGGTCGCGCGGTGGCTGAGCGACAAATTGGCGCCGAGACCGCGGATGAGCGCACACACAAACTCGGACCGGGTCGTCGCGCCCGCCACGTGCGAGAGGCCGTTCATGATACTACCGACGGTCGTTGTCGCGACGACTTTGTCGTACTTGGCGGCCTCGGCGAGGCCGAGGAGGAAGAGCTCGTCGATCCACTTGCCGAGATTCGCTGCGTCGGGCTGTTGCGCGAGCCACTTGGTCACGAGCCGCTTCATGTCCATGTCTTCGTCGCTGAGGAAGATCATGCCCATGCGCGAAATGGTCGCGGGCGATGCGAACCGGAGGTCGTGCGTCTCAAACACAAAGTTGACGTTCGGGCCAAAGTTGATGCGCTCGCCGTTGGGCAATGTCAGCAGATGGTTGTCGTCCAAGACCGAGTTGAGCGACTCGATCCACTCCGGGTCCACGTCGCCGTCGCAGACGATCCAGGACCGGACGTGTTCGGGCTCCTTCACGACCTTGCGGGCCGCGTCCGTGAGCACACCGTCGTGCCACTCGCGCGTGTCTAAATCCATGTGCCCGAGAAGGCGCTCGCGTGGCATCGACTTGGGGTTCATAATGTGCGTCTTGACGAGCTGGCCGCATTGAATCATCGCTTGCTGAAGGACTTGCCACACCGTGCTCTTACCCGACCCCGACGGCCCCACAACCACGCAGCCCATGCGCTGGTCCAAGCTCTCCTTGAGCTGGAGCATCTTGCGGATCTGGAGGTCGTCCACTTGGCAGCAAAACGGTTTCTGGGCCATGACAAGGCGAATCGCGGCTTCGAGGTCGCCGCCGGAAATGTCCGAAGACGCAATGCCGGGAAAGACATCGCCAATGAGCGCGAGGAAGCGCTGCGCGTCGCCAAACGTCAATTTGGAGAGCGTGTTGATGCGGACGGCCTTGATGAGGATCTCCGTCTCGGCGGCCGGCGTCAGACGCGTGCTGGCCGTTTTTTTCGCCTGCTGCAAGAGCTTGCCACCCGTGTTGAGCACGGCTTTGAGAGCACGGAGGCCCCAGTCGTAGTGCTGCTGCGGCGTCAATAGCTGCCGGGAGAGCGTGTAGAGCGACACGACTTTGGACGCAATGTCTTTGGCTTCCGCAAACCCCTCGGACGCCAAAATCACCTCCGCAATCAAGTTGTTGTCGGGCCGCCCCATTGCGACGGGGCGGAAGAGGGCTTTCAGGTTGTCGGGCAGCTTGGAGCGCCCGCCGTAGCCCTTGCCCGCTGGGTTGAGTGTCACGAAAATACCCGCGTTAAAGTCGACGTCGACGTGGCGACTCAGGAGCTGGATCGAGCGCACGTGGTTCTTGATCGCGTCCTGAATGAGCTGAATCTGCTGCGAAATCGCCGAGAGCTGGTCTTCCTTGAGTCGGTTGAACTCGTCGAAACAGCCCCACGCACCGCACTTGACGAGGCCGATGAAGATGCGACCCATGCTCTGAAAATCAATGCCTTCGTCGCAGTTGAAGACGAGCACTTGGCGGCCAAACTGTCCGCCGAGCGCCTTGACACTCTCGGTCTTCCCCGTACCCGCAGGCCCGTACGGGTTGCCGCCAAAGCCCATGTGCATGCCTTGGGTGAGTGTGAGGTAGCACTTGTCCGTGAGCGGCGTGTGCACAAGCTTTGGCGCATTCCCTTGGTACTCATACGTGTACGCGAACGACGCGTCGTGCATCTTGATGACAACTTTTCCACTCTTGTCGAGGTAAAACCGCAGCTGCTTTTGCCACAGCCAGTCTGAGAGGCTCGTGACGTGCGCCACTTGGTCGCAAACGTCAATGTGGTGAACCAAGTCGAGCACGAGCGCCTTGACTTTGAGGTGCATGAGCGGCTCATTGCTCAAATCCAAGGACGTGAGCTCCCGCAACGTTTCTTGCAGTGTGTGCTTGAGATCGGCGACGGTCCCGTTCTTGATGGCGGTTTCGCACTGCGTGTTGAAGCGCAGCTGCTCAGCAAGACAGAGCACTTGGCTCGGGTACTCGGCGTAGTCGGGCGACGACGCACTCGCCGCCTTGCTCACGAGCACGGTGAGTGTCCGCCGCATCTCTTCCGTAAGTGCCTCGAGCCACTCTTCGACAGCACTCGTGACAGCCACTGGCGCAACGAGCGGCACCTTCTCGCCCGCGGCCGAGCACATGGCCGAGATCGCGTCCTGGCTGTCGCTAAATTCGACCCGGTGAATGCCCTGGTAGAGCTTCTTGAGGTGGCTCTGGATCACGGCCGGGTTTTGCGATTGGCCGAGGATCTCGAGCAAGTCTTCGTCGCCAATAAAGTAAAAGCGCGGAAAGCGCGACCGCTTCTCCTCCAAAAAGTCGGCGAGTGCTTTCTGGCAGCGCTCGAGCTGGTCGACCATGGTCGCGAGACGCTCGGGCAGCTGCGGAAACAGCATGTCGTCGGCGAGGTTGAAGAGCTTGGGGTCCGTCTCGACCTGCCGCATAATGTCGCGGAACTCGTCGTCGACGCGCTTGAAGCGCGCTTGTTCACTGGGCAGCGCGCCTTTGCTGAAAATGGGCTCGAGGTAGACCCACTTGCGCTGAATAACGTTGAGCTGGTTCAAGCCTTGGTCGAGGAGCGCCATCTTGGTCTCGTACTGCAAAGCTTGGTCGGCGAAAGGCTTGAAGAATTGCGATTCTTTTAGAGAGGCCAGTAGCGACTGGTTGTCGCCGAGGGCCAGCGTCGTGTCTTTCCAGTCCTTGATGATGCAGATGCGCTTCCCGTTCGGGTCGTGCTCGAGCAATGAGAGCTCGGCCGTTTGCGTCCACGCCTTAAGCTCCTGGAGCGCATCACGGATCGTAACCTCGCCCTGGGCGCGCGCGTGGAGCACCTTGACGAACTGCAGTGTGGCTTGGGCCTCGAGCACCTCGAGGCAGCCAAGAAAGTGGCCGACGTTGAGCTGCATGAGGCCCACGCCTTTTGGAATACCCAGCTTCCGGAAGAGCTGCGTCCAGTGCTCCTCCTTGAACGGGTCGCCGCGGCAGAGCTTGAGCGTCGGAAGCGCGCGCTTGAGATGGCCCGTGTGGTCCAAAATGCGCTCGACGACGCTCGTCCGCTCAACGGTCTTGAGCGCCTCGGCCCACTTGGCCCCGAGGTCGCCGAGGTCAAAGATCTTTTCACGAAACGTGATCCAGTCCTGGCTCGCGAGCACATCCAGCTCGGCGTAGTAGTCCTTGTAGAGCCGCCAGTTGGTTTCGACCTTGCCAATATCGGCTTCGATGCTCCCGAGCCCGTCAAAGGTCGGAACCGTCATCTGGAACGTTGTGCAGTTGTCCACAAGACCTTTGGCCCGACCCGCGATGTCGTTGAGCTGGTCGCGCCAATCAACGAGCGCCACGTAAATCTTCTCGACTTCTTCGTTCGCCCAGTTGGAGAGCTCGACGGGCTTAAGCGCGCACCAGCGCTGGCCAAACTTGTCGATTTCGACGTTGCACTCGATGACCTTGGCTTCGAGCTCGCCCTTCAAGCTCTCTCGTTGCTCTTCGATCATCTCATTGAATGCTTCCAGCGCGATCTCAAAGTTTTCCCACTTGGAAGGAATTTGGCTCAGACGCGAGACGACGTCGGTCGTGTCGAGGTTGCCGCCCGTCGTCGAGTTGAGAAGCAGCGCCTTCTTCTTCTCGGCCGTCGCCACGACCGCCTGGAAGCTGCTGCGCTGGCCGTCGATGCTCTTCCAGTCAACTTTGGCGGCGCCAATCTCATCGATGCTGTGGGGCCGCTTGTTGAGCTTCTCCATTGACGTGTCGAGGTACTCTTCCACTTGCTTCAAGTGGGTCATAATGCTCTTGCGGAGGCTCTGGAGAAGGCTGTCTTGCAGCCGCGTGAGGTGGTCGTCAATGCCGGCTTTCAGTGGACTCAACGAGACGCTCACGCAGTCGACTTTGAGCATGTCGGGGATCTTGTCGCACTCTTTGCGTTTGAGTTTGAGCGCCTTGAGATTGCTGTCCCAGTCGCCGACGTCGACGAGGAGAGACTCGAGAACGCTGTCGAGGTCAGGCGCGCGCGTGAGGCACGTCCACTCGTCGTACTCGACCAGCACCGCCTCGAGCTTGGCGAAGAGCTTTTCGCCGTTGCGGTAGACGTGCACGATACCCGCGGCGTTGTGGTCGGTCATGGGCGCAAAGACAGCAGGGTTCGCAAACCCCTTGAAGATCGATGGACGCCCGATGAACTTCTTCATGGCCTTGTAGTAGTTGGTTCGAACGTCTTCGATCGGCGGTTTGAGCGCGAGACGGCCTTTCGGCGGCAAGATCACGTCCACCTTGACATCCGGGAGGTTTTCGTTGAGGCTCTCGAGCCCGATCTGGTATGCGGCTTCGAGCACCTTGTACAGCTGGTGGTCCCAGTAGAGCTGCCAGCGCTTTGTCAACGACGCTTCGTACTTTCGAATTGTGGTCGTTAAAAACAATCGGATGGTATCCAGACGATCCTTCCACTTGTCGGGAAACCGGAGCAAGTCAACGTCCATGAGCAAGACGAGGTCGTCGCCAATCTTGTCGTGGGCGCGCCGGAGCTTGCGGTTTTCGATCGAGAGCGCGTCCGCGGCCTGCTGGAGCATGCCGACGTACTCTTCGCACTCGTCCAAGTTGTTCCACGTGACGTCAATGGCCTTGGGCTTGGACGTCTTGGTGGTGGCGGTCGAGAGCTTTCCCGGGCGCTTGACAATCCCCTCAAACGCCATGAGCGCCTCGAGGAGCATCGGCTTTTGCTCGTCGATGATCTGCGCCTCCATATTATTGTAGAATTCGCGACCTTCTTGAGCGTCACGCCGAATCGGTAGTACTTTTCGGCCTCGGTCGCGACTTCGAGGATCTTGGGGGGGACCCACGGCTGGCCGTCGCTCAATTCGACGAGCGTCCGCACGTCGCGAAGCAGCGTGACGAGGAACTCGCTGTAGTTGACGGTGAGGTTGCCGCTCTTGTCGATCTCGATGAGCCGCCCGTGAGCTTGAGGTCCGACGTCCGGAGGTTCTCATGCACGTCGTCCTGCCACGACCGGACGTGTTCGGTGAGCATGCCCTTGACTTTTGTCAGCACGGTGTCGGCCGCAGTTTCAAAGCTTCGGAAGCCGGGCAGGTCGCTCAGTACCGTCGTTGCCAGCGAAACGAGGTGCGCGACCCGGTTGCTAAGCATTTTGCCCCACACAATGTAGTTGACTTTGGGCGAGAGGTTTTTCCCGCTCGGCGCTTCATCGGGTCCGCGTGTTTCAAAGTCCGACTCGATCTGATCGAGCTGCGCAAGGAGCTGGCCGAGGAGACTATCGCGCTCGCTTGCGAGGAGCGAGGCGATCGCGGGGCGTGTGAGGAGGTGCTTGTACTGCTGGAGGTACCGGAGCGCCGTCGTGGGCTTGGAGAGTACGGAGGAGAGCCGCTCCTGGAGGTTTGCGCCCACTTGGGCTTCGATTGGCGCCAAGATTGTCTCGAAAGCGGCCACCGCCGACTTCCACGCACCCACCGTGTACGCATTGTAGTGCAGCGGGTAGACGCGCTCGAATACATCAAAGGCCGTCGGCGGCAGTGGCTCGTTTGCGAGGGACACGAGCTCCTCGTACGTCGTGCGGAGGCGCAGGATCTCGCGGAGCCGCGACGCGAGGGCCGGGAGAAAGGCGTCGACGTGCGCTGGGCCGCGCCACGGGTGCTCGTCGTAGGACGGCCAAAACGTGCTGGTAAGCTGCTCGACGTGGCCACACCACTTTTCACAGAGCGCAATTGTCTGCACGAGCGCCGTATGGACCGCGTGGAACGGACCGCGCCATACGTTGACCGTGCCGGCCTGCGCAATGATAAAGCTACAGAATAATATGTGGATACGAGATGGCCGAGATAGGGAGAGGAGACCTGTGGAGCGCTTGGGCAACGAGCCCGATGATGTGCACCATGCGTGCCTGGGGGTACTGCGCGCTGCCTTCGAGGTCAGCGCGCCAGAGGTCGTCGAGCGTGTTGTTGGTGTCGTCGAGAAGGTCGCCCATTTCCTCAAAGCTCAGGGCCTCCAAGGTCGCGTAGCGCGAGTGGATGGCGTCAAACGACCGCGAAAACTTGGACGCGCGGTCGCGGTCCCGGCCGCTCGTCGTCGCTTCCCAGTACGCGATCTCGTCCTGGAGCGTGACGATGCCAAAGAGGTTGTCGCTCGCATTGCTGCTGAGGTCGTCGCCCTTGTCGCGGACAAGCGTCTGGAGACCCGCATCGAGCTCGAGGAGTACGTCCTTGAGCTTCTGCGAGAGCCGGCCTGACGCGCCTTGCAGCAGGAGCGGTGTGTAGATCTTGTGCACGGACTGGAAGAGGCTAAAGACAGGCGAGTTGGTCATCGACGTCACGTGCACGTTGGTCGAGAGGTTCTCGGCCGTGAGCGGCGCCGGCAGCACCTTGACGAGCAAGACCGCGCGGGCCGGCGCTGCGTTGTTGCTCGTATCGTCCCATGCCATGCTCGTCGTTAGATGGACGGCCTTGTCAACCAGCCGCGCTTGGAGCATGCTGCAGGCCGGGTCGTCGAGGAAGGAGCCGAGCGCGTCCGCGCCAGCGAGAGCGCCCATGTCCACGTCCACGTCCCGCCACATGGACGCGAGCAGCTGCAGCACATATACACGGCGGGCGTCGTCGTCGTCGTCCGTGCGGCCCATGCCAAAGATCGAAAGACCGTGAATGGGATCTTGAAGCGTTGTGGCGAATCCGGATACGATCCATATTGCATATTTGCCGCTATGCGCGTCTCAAAATATATGGAAGGCGACTTCTTTGTCGCCATTTCAGTGCAATCCTAATATCCTGCTGCCATAGTCGTCATCTATCCCGCCCGTCGCCGCACCATCGAGTCCGTTCGAGTGCATACGGCGTAGTACGGGTGAGCGTCATGACCAGCACGCTGCACCTTCAAACGTCCTTGGCTTCTTCTACGCGGAGTTGTCATCGCACGTTCGAGCGAGTTGGCTGGGAAGGACGGAGGGTCCCGCGCTTGGTGGTCCCCAAGCGCGGTGTCCATAGCATGTTGAAGACATGTACACAACAAAATCGACTACTGGAACTATCTTTCCTACGGTATTATTAAGAATACGTCTAAACGTGGTTGAGCCATCTAGACGTGGATCCACAAGAGCGCGACGGCAATGAGCGCATACATGGTGAGGAGCATCGACCCTTCGAGCCAGTTGGAGCGGCCGTCGGCGACGATCGCGTACACAATGACGATCGACGTGACGTACGTGACGGCTTCGAACGTCGGGAAGGCGAGCGTCATGGGCTGGTTGAGAATCCAGCCGGCGAGGACCGTGACGGGCACGACGAAGAGCGAGATCTGCGTCGCCGACCCGACAGCCACGCCCATGGCCAGCTCCATGCGGTCTTTGAGCGCGACGCGGACGGCCGTGATGTGCTCGACGGCGTTCCCGACGATCGGGAGGATGATGATGCCAACGAAGGACTTGCTGATCTGCGTCGAGGACACGAAGCCGTCGATCGAGTCGACGAGGAACTGCGAGAGGATCGAGACACCGACCGTCGCGACGGCCAGCACGAGGAGGCCCGAGCGCATCGACATGGGCTCTTCTTCGTCTTCGTCGGCGTCCATGGCCTCGGCGGCGTTGAACAAATGGGCGTGCGTGCTGAGCTGGAAGTAGAGCAGCTGCAGGTACATGAGGAGCAGGAAGACGGCCGAGATGTGCGAGAGGTGCAGCACGGTCTGCTCGGTCGAGTACGTCGTGTCCGTGTAGCTCGTAAACTGGTAGTACGACGGCACGAGCATTGCAAAGCAGGAGACCATGAGCAGCGACGAGTTGGCCGACGCCGACGTATCGTTGAACTTGCTCTCTTTCACAGCGGTGCCACCGGCGATGAAGCAGCAGCCCAGCACGAGCAAGAGGTTGGACAAGATCGAGCCCAGCAGCGACGACTGCACGACGGCGATTTGGCCTTCGCGCAGCGCAAAGATGGCGATGATGACCTCGACGGCGTTGCCAAAGGTCGCGTTCACGAGACCGCCGATCGTGTCGCCGGCGTGGTAGGCGACGGCCTCGGTGGCATCGCCGATCGTGCGCGCGAGCGGGATCATGGCGAGGAAGTTGAAGGTGAAGACCCACGCTGCGTTCCAGTTGGCGTAGTACGACCAGACGCCAAAGGGCACGAAGAGCAGGAGCGTGTTGATGTACGACTCGGTGAGCCAGCACGAGACGTTGGTCGCGAGCTCCGAGCCCATGGCGCGGGCCGTCGGCGCCGGCGAGATGAGCGGGAGGCTCTCCTTCGTGCTCATCCTACGCTGGGCGTACGAGAGCTCATGGTCGTGCTGGGGCGGCGGCGACCGGCGCAGCTCTTCTTTCGCCTTGTTCAGAATCATCTGAAACTCAAAATGAGCGGACGAAACGCAGGAGGAAACCCCCGCGAATCTTCGATGTCGGATACAAAAATCATTATCCGGATATATCAACCAATCACCTCGCGATGTCGCGTTGGTCACTTGAATCGTGAGGCGGGTGAGGTTACTAATAAAAGTGGTGCGAGCAGGCAACGAGGAGGCGCGAAGACGCTGCACACTCGCGTCTGGACGTGCAAGGTGACACGCGTCAAAGACCTAGTCGAGATTCTAGTCGCTGTCCTTGTTCTAGTCGCAGAAACACTGTATTTGAGGAGGTTTAACAGCCTTTCAGCATGCCCCCAAGTACTCCCTCCATGGCAAAGCCAGAGACAGGATTCAATGATCATGGACACACGCACCTGCGCGCACATCATGGCTTCGTATCCTGGATGCATTTGCAGAAAGGAATGGGTACGCAGGTGGTCGTCCGTCCTCCACCACTCGACTCACCAGGTCGGGGCACTGTACTACTCGACGGTGTTGATCCACCCGCCGCACGCCTCTATCGAGAGCCGGTCGAGTCAAACTTGATTGACAATGTCCCAGGATATACGTGCTGTAAAGCAGCGCTTCCTGCGTAATCCTGGGCTCATAGCGCCGCAGTGCTTTAGATACGCAGCGCCCACGTGGGCTTTGTTCAACGAGCCAACTGCACAAGCTGCTCACACTGCGTTGCGGCAGCGACCCACGCTGTGGCTTACAACCATGACCACTCTTTTGTGGGGCGGTTCGCTGGGTGGGACTTCGTCAAGTCGACACTCTCAAGTCGAAACGAATCTTTGCGCAGTCGCCACCTGTTGCACCTACCTCCAAGTGCACGATGTACAGTGTACGCGTCTATCCAGGTACATGAGCTCACTCTACGAGCTCATGTCCTTGCCAAGGAGACGGCAATGCAATGCAACAAACCAGAGCATTGGATTGCCATCGATGTGAGGCAAGAATCCTAGCTTTTCGTTGCAAAAGCTGTGGCCATTCGTCAGAGGTTAAGAGCTGGGTCTGTTCCCTGCGCAGCATTCGATATTTGTTTTGGGTCGCATCTGTACAATGCACGAGACTCGTGATGGCGCCAGAAGAAAGACGCTTCAAGGCCAGCAAATGGCCCCGCGGGTGGTCTGTCGAGAGCCAATACGAGGCCGAGCGCACCCTGGTACGAAGGCCATCACGCCCGACCAATCTCTTCCGGGCTCCGATCTTGCCTACATGTAAATGAGCAGCGCCGTACGTTTCCATTTCGGTTTCGTATTTATGATATATTTACGGTAGAATTGACAAGCTTTTCATGACGTGGCAGTCGTACCGTTCTCGAGCCGCTCGGCCTTGCCAAGAAGCTGTATCAATATCTTTGTTTATACTTCTCTATGTGTACTAGTACTACATAGCGACAAAAGGCAGCTAGGGAGAGTTATCCGAGCCAGTGCGATGGAGAAACATCAGCAATGTTTTACCATTTCCACATCATTTCCCATTTAAACCATTTCAATGCATTGCTCATTTACGAAATTCACGGGTCGAGCGCAGTAGTCCGAGTCCAAGGCCGGTTGTCGTGGCCGTCCTTGGCCCAGGTCGCAGGGAGATGCCGTGAGGTTTCTGCGGTCGACTCGGCTGCTTGCGCTTCCGCTACCTCCTCAACATTATGCTCTCGCGGTTCCGGTGCCACCGCAATTAGGTTGCCACAAGTGCGTGGCGCGATCGAAACACGGGTATTTCGAACGAGTCGACGTCCTATGGCAGCAGCAGCATTGCCACCGCAAGCTCAAAACACGGCGATACCAACGCTCGCCTCAGTCCTGAAGACGTTTTGATTTTCACCGACGCCGCACGCAGCGTTCATACACTACTCACTTGGCCAATGTCGCACTTGCCGCTCCAAGCTGCCACTCAATGCAACGAGATTTTCAGTCCAGCGGTCGACGCCGCAGCAACCGCGCAGAAGTCGGCTGCACCAGAGTCTCCTTTATATCCAATCCGTGTGCCACACCAAGCCCATGACGCTCACTCTCGGTATCGTGTCGAAGAGCATGCACGGCTTGGCGGCACCCGCAATCCTGACGGCAACAGATGTCTCGCCTACAGGCAGCGATTATGAATGCAGCTACCGATGCCAAGTATGTTGCATACAATCATTATAGACCATCGCTTCAGTCCCAAATTCCTCTGCGGTGCCTTGGACCACTTCGACGACATCCTGCACTTGCAGACTCTGGCCATGGACTTGCGACCACTGCACGTCTCCACGTTCAAACCTTCTACCGCCATCAAAAGAGGAGCAAAACGTCGGACGTGATGATTGCACTACGACAACGCGAATACGTATCACAACGCTTAAGCAACGTGGCGCCAAACCGTCGACCTCACACGAACGAGCGGCCGGGGTGCGAATGGCGACGTCGCCCGAGAATCACGGTACAAACTAACAACATTCTCTGCCCGTTGACAACGGTGTTGTCTCCTCGTCCCACTTGCTGTGTGTGCCATCCGCTCGGCCAGTAATGTGCCTGCGTTTCTTGAGAGTATGGAGTCCTCGCGCCGTCGTCACAGCTGCACTTGCCAACCCAACTTAGATCAACCAATACCAGCTAGTCGTGGCAAGGGGACCGATCGACAATTTCGCATTCAACTATCTCGTTCTCGCCTTCAACGGCCCTGCAGCTCCCAACCTTCCCATAACACAACGAGCGACGCGCAAGACACACGCTCCAGTGCTCCTGCCCCAAAGAAGGTGAAATCCACGACCACGCGCGCAGCCAAGGCCTCGGCACGTACCATCCACAAGGCCACTGACACACCCGACGACAAGACGTGCAGCCTTGTCGTCGAGCGTGCCGCTGGCGTTGCGGCTTGCACGTGCCGGGGCTTTGGCTGCGCGCGACTCATCTTGCGTGTCGAAGGCCTTTTGGATATGGTGCGGCGTGCAGGCGCTATGCCCTGGCGTTGCGGTCGCAGGGAGATGCCGTGAGGTTACTGCGGTCGACTCGGCTGCTTGCCTCGGCCCGAGGTCCGATCTTATCATTTGTGTCCAAGTAGAGTGATCCCGATGCAGGCAAGCAGGCCATATCACCTCCCACCCTCCACGGCTGCCGTGTCGCCTATCAACATGAGCTTTGCGTTCAGCTACGAGCAGCGCGCAACGAGGTCTGAACTTCTTCATCAACGCTAAGCAGATGTAGGTGTGACGAGTGCAAGGCGTCACTGAAGGCAGCGATGACACACCATGTCCTTGGGCGTCTCTGTCGAGAGAAGGAAGCCTTGTAGAGGCTCTGCAAGTCTAAATCGATGGTATGAATCAATTGGGCATGTCGCATATACGCATCGCAACATCATTGTTAAATCTGGATTTCGAGCAAGGCGACGCCAATGAGAAAGTAGAGCGTGAGGAGCATCGAGCCCTCGAGCCAGTTGGACTTGCCGTCAACGACGATGGCGTACACAACGACGACCGAGATGATGTACGAGAGTGCCTCGAACGTCGGGAAGGCGAGTGTCATGGGCTGGCCCATGATCCAGCCCGCGACCACGCAGACAGGTACAACGAAGAGCGAGATCTGCGTCGCCGACCCGACGGCGACACCCATGGCCAGCTCCATGTTGTTCTTGAGCGCGACCTTGACGGCCGTTAGGTGCTCGACGGCGTTACCGACGATCGGCAGCAAGATGATGCCCACAAAAGACTTGGGAATGTCGGCCTTCTCCGTGAAGCCATCGACGGACGAGACGAGAAACTCCGAGAGGACTGCGACGAGCGCCGTCGAGACGCCAAGCAGAAGCACGCTGCCCCACACCGAGAGCTCGGGCTCGTCCTCGTCCTCGCCATTCTCACCATTGTCGTTGTCTTCGTCGTTCTTCTTCTTCTCGTTCGACGGGCGGTGCGTGTAGAGCTGGAAGACCATGAGCTGGATGTACATGGCGATGAGGAAGATCGCCGAGATGTGCGAGAGGCTTAGAACTGCCTTGTCGCGCTCCTCGATTTGCTTGACCTTGTCCGCAGCGGTCAACGTGCCGTTCTTGGCAATCTCGCCCGCATGGCTGTGCTGGTAGTACGACGGGACAAGCATCGCGAAGCTCGTGACAAAGAGAAGCGACATGTTGGTCGACGCCGACGACCCGCAGTACATGGACTCTTTGGCGCCGCCAAGATGGCCCGCAATGAAGCAGCAGCCGAGCACGAGGAGCAAGTTGGAGAGCATCGAACCAATGAGCGACGACTGCACGAGCCCGATTTCGCCTTCACGCAGCGCAAAGATGGCAATGATGACTTCGACGGCGTTGCCAAAGGTCGCGTTCACGAGGCCGCCGATCATGTCGCCGCAGTGCTCCGCGAGCGTCTCGGTGGCCTCGCCGAGGAGGTTGGCCAGTGGCATCATGGCGAGGAAGTTGAGCACGAAGACGGGGATGTCGCCCCAGTTGTCGTAGTACGAGTAGACGGCAAAGGGCATCACGAGGAGCAAGATGTTGATGTAGCTGCCCGTGATCATGCCCATGATGACGCGGCATTGGTTGGGTCGGGGCTTCGACGCCGCCGGTACCACCTCTGGCCCGAGGTCCTTGGCCGACTTGGAGGACGTGGGGCGAATGGCGCCGGCCTCGAGCTCCTGGAGGCCCGTCGACGGCGACTTCTTGAGGTACTTTTGCGCTTCGATGGTCCGCGTCGACATCGTCAAATGGGCCGAATCCACACAACCTTTTTGCAGTGAATTTCGAACAACGCAAGAGGACGACAGTGCAGCCATACAAAAGCCAAGTCGATTTTTTAACCGGACGTTGTTGTTGGATTGAAACGGGAGCTGCAACCAGCTGGTCGCGAGCCTGCGCCGCAGCTGCACGGCTTAGCGCTGTGGAAGCGCTGCGTCGCTGCCAGCCTCGTCGTCGCTGCTCCAATCGGCGAGGAACTCGGCGTCGAGCCTGCGCCGCTTGGTGGCTGGCAGCACATCATCGGTCGCTTGCAGCGGCGTCTTGAAGGTGGCGAACGGGACGCTTTGTGTGGTGTGCACGGCGGGTTGTGGCCCGCGCATGCACTGGGCGACATGGCGCGCAACGTCGCCAGCGCGTGGATCCGTGCTCGCCTATGTGCAGAGTAAGCTCGCAGCTCGTGTCGTCGCGTGGCGGATACGTGGCGCGACAGAGCATCGATCGCTTCCTCTGCATTGCTACAGTCAATGTAGTTGGCCGAGAGAGCGAGCGTGGCCGTGAGGTTGCGCACGTAATGGGGGGTCCCCGTCGGGACAAAAAGGAGATCGCCTGCCTCCAAGATACATTCTTCCCGGCGCGCATACCTCATCAACGCACCATAGATCTTAGGCGCAATCACGTGTCGTACCAGAAGGGATCGTCGGCAGCGCTGGTCGGCAGCGGCAAGGCCACGTCGAACACAACGTCGTGGAGACCCGGGTGCCGGCGAGGGCGAAGTAAGTGCATGTCGCGCGGGTCCACGAGGATCCACTGTTTGCGTCCGTCGAGCAGCGCCATCCAAAAGTTGGAGCCAAACGAGTCGACGTGGAGCTGGCTCGCCGTATTCTTGGGGCCAACAAAGAGACTTGGCCACGTCTCTCGGTACAGCGCGCCTCTAAACGACACGTTCGTGTGTTCTTGTACAGTAGGAGTCGAAGTAGCTGATACTCTGGCAAGCGCTGGAGATAGTCGTGTGCAAAGATCGCTGGGATCGCAACGTCCTCGACGAGCTCTACTCGCGCTCAGCTAGACACTGCAGACTGTACATACCTGGAAGGTGTAATGGCACCGAGTGGTCGTGGATGTACAAATCGCTCGTCGCCAACCCCTCGATGAACGCACCGAGCGGCATCACGGGCCCGTCCTCGAGCCGCGCCCACTGCACCGAGTCTTGTACGTAGCGCTTTGTGGGCATCGGCTTCGAGGCGACGGCCGCGTTGGCGCCTAGCGACGCGAGGCTCCACATCTACCAGCGTCGTTTTTTAAGGTTGTTCGGGCACCGCCGTACTACCTTTTTCGTCAGCACAAGATGGGCGCCGCCGCGAAGAATCACAGGTCGCTTGGGCAAAGCGTAGTCTAAGTCCACATAAGTTGAGCGGAACCGGGTGCTGTAGGAGTGACACCGGCGAGGAAGCGGTCGTAGGAAAGGTCCTTGGCATCCACGGTCGCGACGGACGTGGCATCGATCGGCGCGCGCGTCTTCTTGAAGGTGCGCAATTGCGCGGCCATCGACAAGTTGAATGCGAATCGCTCCATTGCTATCTTGCTTTGCTCTATCCCACGACGACGATGCGTCGGAAGCAGCCGTCAAGCACAGATCGTACCAGTGTCCGCGCGGTCGACGACGACGTGCGCTAGCCGCGGATCCGCTGCGTCGAGCAATTCGATGTATAGCGCGGCTTCGAGGCTCACGCGGCCGCGCTCCTGGCGCCTACGAGCATGTCATACGATGAGCGAGCGTCGATGCACTTGGTCGCCGACGTGAGCGCCTCGATCTTGGCGCCAAGGTAGGCTCTTGTGGCGTCGAGCTGAAGAATGCGATGCAGTCGCGTGTCGGAGCTCACGGGCGATGACGGTCCTTGGAGCTTCTGCGACCGGTACCACCGCGCGACGTCGGCGAGTGCGTCGACCATGCTGCGCCACCGGGAACGCGAGTGTGTGTCGACCATCATTGGACCGACCCATCCGGATAAAAATACACCTGGTTGAGTTGGATCGACGGCGATGCGTTATCTCAAACGTCGTACTATCTGGGATGGCTCGCCCTCGAGCCTTGGCTCGCTTGGCGGTCTGTCTTCTACAAGACGCCTCCGAGATACCCCGAGATAGACACTTCACAATGCTCATGTCAGTTGTCCTTTGGAGAAGTTAGGCCAACGCGACCGCGTTCGACTCTGTGCGCGGCCAGTACGACGTGGTCGAGTTGCCGACGCCGGGCAGATTCTCAGCCGCATGCAGCTTCTTGGTACACCCATGGCCGCACAGCCGACGATCGACATACGTCGCCATCGCAGGGGATGCGCCACAGCCACAGACGTTGGTCACGAGCGCTGCGAGGCTGTCGTGGAGCTCCCGGTTGGCGAGTGCGAAGAAGGTACCACCGCGGCCGCCTTGGGACCCTGCGCACGACGACGAGCACGGAAACCCTTCCATGTTGAGGTCGCCAAAGATGGACAAATTGGCGTCACTGGAATGACGCGGCGTCGCAATGCCCCACTTGGCTAGACGCAGACGCCTTGTTAACATGGCGCTTGACACGATGCAGTACCGTGGTTGCCATCACGGACACGCCCACCCCGAAGAGACCACGTCACGCGACCGGTCGGCAGCGTCCAGCTATCAGTGTGCTTGCTTTGCACGACACGTTGCAGTAGACGATACCTGGCGTCCATGAGGTTCTCGACGTTGAACTGGAAGGTGCCGTCAGGTCGCAGCGCCACTGGTGACTCTGTTGGGCGCAAGCAGAAGGCGTGGGCCGCAGCGCCGTAGCTGTCACCGTCGCAGAGCGTCGGGGTGCCGTAGTTTTCGTCCCACCACGACGCGACGCTCACGTCCGTGGCAAAGGCCGTTGCAACCAAAGCCCATGGTGGCACCTCGGCGGAACGGCTCTTGAAAAGCCCGTGCACGATGATGCTCTGCTTGCCTTTCGTCGCCACCTGCACCTGCACAAACGGCTGCGCTGGGAGATGCGGGTCCACCATGACGGATGCAACGACGCGCGCCGTGCCCGAGAGCGCCGATGCATTCCGAAGCGACGGGCTCACGAGGAGGTTGTCGATGGCGTGGTAATGGTTTGCTGAGCACAGTCGTGCCGCCCGCCAGCCAGACGCGATCGTCGCGAGGGCTGCGTCGCCGACGGAGAAGGCGAAGAGATGCTGCGCGTACTCGACATTGTTGTCGTGCTGGCAGCCGAGACGCTCAAAGTCAAGCGATGGCGTCGGATCTGGAAAGTTGGGCGTTGATGTTTGCAGCACAAAGCCGCCGCTGGTGGCCTCGAACGCGACGAGCCCTTTGCTATGGGCGTTAAACGCGGCGTGTCCGCTGCAGACGAGCGACTTGTCCTGCTTGAGCGCGATACCATTGAGCTGGTCGTTAAAGTACGCCCAGTGCGTCGCGTTCGCACGCTGCCGCAGTGTTTGACTCACGGGATCGCGGCCGCCTTGGCCCAGGCAGTCGTAGCCCAGCGCGCGAAAGTGCTGCAGCTGCGGTCGGTTTGCGTCAGCGTAGAGGTAGCAAAGACCATGCCGCCGCGTCGGATCGACTTCGCGCGAGCACACGGGCGGCGCACAGTCGCAGGGCGTGGCGACGTACGCGCCGGACGCACCGCGGACCATGGACGGAAGCTTGAGCACGACCCACCAAGCGACAGGGTCTCCATTGCCATCGAGAGCAAAGAGCTCGGGCGGCGACGCCGTCGCGGCCAATGGCAGCCATACGCCCAAGATGACCACGGGTATGATCCAGTGCATGGTGATCGGCTTGGATCTTTTCGAGTGACCAGGTGCGTGAATTCGGCGTTTCTTCACTAAATATGGCATATGCCAGATGCAGTGCCGAGAGGTGATGCCATGCGATGGATGCACGCGCCATGAATACCGCGCTGGTTCGTTATTGAACGGATGTCTCTGCGGTGCCAAATCTACGTGACGCGTATGAACAGGCTTGGGTGGCGACTCCGCCGTGTGTGCTCTATGTGCTGCTCTCACGCCATGGGAACTATTTGCGGCACCATGGGCAAGGTAGAAGTATTTCACAAGGCATATGCCGATTCTAGTGCGCAGCACTGATTGGGCGCCAGCGTTAAACTTCGAGGTCACGTCTCCAAAATGCCTTGGTTTTTGTATGGCACCAAGTGCTCGGATACGATTTCAGCCAATGAGCGACGAGGCAAAAAGTCCGGCGATTTCCCGGAGGCGAAACACTGGTGTTGGAAAGGACCACACAGAAACAGGATGATGCAGCATGCGGAGGCCGCCCACTTGGCGCCGATGAGCGACCATGGCAGCCCGTCCGGGGCAGGCAAGATCCGCGGCTATCCGAAGCACCGCGCGGCCCATGCGGCGGCGGCGGCGCCGTACCGGACCCGCGAGTCGCACCAAGGTAGATCATTTTCGCCTCGTGGCAGCACGGTCACGCAGCTCGTACGGCAGGGGGCACGGGTCGGCGCGTGTACGTGGGGAACTTGGCGTGGGATGTCAAGACGGAGATCTTGAAGAACCACATGCGCATTTCGGGCGACGTCGAGGAGTGCGAAGTCAAGCAGGAAATCAATGGGCGCTCCAAGGTGCGCTCTCTGCACGCAGCAGCGCAGGCTCATCTTATCGTGTGCAGGGCTGTGGCATTGTGACCTTTGCGACGCACGAGATGGCGATGGACGCGATCTCGCGCCTCTCGGACACGGAGCTCCTCGGGCGCAAGATCTTTGTCCGCGAGGACCGCGAAGAGGCAAAGGCGCAGCTCGCGGCGCAGTCGGCGTACGCACCAGCGCCGGCCACGTCGTCGTACGACACCGCGCCGACCTCGTACGATGCGCCGCCGACCTCGTACACGACAGCGCCCGTGACGTCCTACGACATTCCGCAGACATCGTACAGCCACGCGCCGGCGCCATATGCGCCGCCAACCTCGTTTGCCCCGCCGCCGCAGCACGGTTTTGCACCAAACAACCCGTTTGCACCGGCGTCCGGCGGCGGCACGCGCGTGTACGTCGGGAACCTCTCGTGGAGCGTCAAGTGGCAAGACCTCAAAGACCACATGAAGCAAGCGGGCAACGTCCTGCACGCAGATGGTATGACATTCGCTTGGATTGCAAGAAAATTGCTGGACATCTACGTGTAGTCATGCTCGAGCCGACCGGGCGCTCCAAGGGCTGCGGTATCGTCGAGTACGACTCGCCCGAAGCGGCGCAGCGCGCGATCCAGATGCTCACCGACACCAAGCTCGACAATCGGCCTATTTTTGTGCGTGAAGACCGCGAGCCGCGCCCGGGGCACCGTGGTCCGCCCATGGCCCGCGGTGGTCCGCCGCCATTCGGCGCCCGGCCAGGGGCGGGGCATCACTCGCACCCGCCCATGTGCACCGTGTACATTGGCAACGTCCGTCATTGTTGAAGGTCCCACGAGCCATAAAGCTCATCGAATCCCGTAGCTTCCGTTTGACGCCATGTGGCAAGACGTCAAGGACGTGGCGCGGTCCGCGGCGACCGTGGACCACGTCGAAGTCATCCAGGGCCCGGACGGCCGCTCCAAGGGCTACGCCCTCGTGCGCACCCCGACGCCGGAAGATGCGCAGATCATCATCGGTAGACATGTCGCATATTTCGCCATATCGCTCACTATGGCGGTAGGCAAGCTCCACGACACGGAGTTTCGGGGGCGCTTCCTCGAGGTGCGGTTGGAGCGGGTACGGTAACCTTCGGGGCCGAGTCACGTGCGTGGCGCTGTGAAGAGCGCGATAAGAAGCTTCTGGAACCGCCGACGCGCCTACGACCCGACAAATATATTGCATCGTACACTAGTGTAGTACGTACGAGGAAGCCTCGCACGAGCGTTTGGACGCGGACCACAGCGACCTTTGCGGCGGAATTGGTCTCGGTCCCGGTGGGGGCCGACTGCCGGCGCACGATCGTGGCGGAGGAGGTCGATGCGTCGAGCTGTTGCTTGAGCCCTACGCTTATATTAGTCGTGTGTGTGGTCGAGCGATTGGTGCACGCTTGTTGCAGCTGCGCAAGTGCTGCCGGTCGTTGAGAAGCCACCTAGCGTAGCATTCTGCGGGACATCAGCGTTTTGGGCATCGCCGCACCGCACTAGACTTTGGCTCGTGTAGACGAGGTGCAATGCGTCCTCCTACGTGCACGCAGTTAGTGTGTACTACAGGACCTACTTGGGCCACCAGCGAGAGCGACGGAGGTAAGTGGCAAGTGCCAAAGGCGGTCGCATGTTGCTACACGCAGGTGAAAGGATGCCACCCGACAACGCGTACGAGAACAGCGAGTGGGGGCGCCGACGCCACGTCCAAGCATGCTAGTGCCTCTATCGTAAGGCGCTTCTCACTAGTACCCGGGCGAGAGGCCATGCCGCATTCAAGGTACGTATGCTATATTTACACACGCGTCTTCTAGGCCAAGTACTCGGAGATGGTGTCATGCACGCCACGCGGGAGTTCGTAGCGCACGTAGGCCAAGGCGAGCTGCAGTCTGCGCGCCATGGCGGTCGGATACGTCGTCGACATATAGTCTAGCATCCACGGGTATAATAAATGAGGCGTTTGCTCGGCAGTTGTACGTGTGAGCGCGTCGAGCACGTCCACGCGCTTCCAGTCGGTGGCGACTTTCAACGGTGTGTGTCCCAGCTAACAATAAGTTGCAGGAGACGTTGCGTGCGAGTTGATGGGCACCTCGTCTGCAAGGTGGGGTCGGCGCCCGCTCGCAAGAGGCACAACACGACGTCAACGTGCCCATTCCGGCTCGCGCAGTGCAGCGGCACTTGCTTCTACGCTCTGGAAGTGACGGCAATGCGTGACAATCGGTCCGCACCGACGCATCGCAGCCATCGACACGCGCGCCGTGGGCGAGGAGTAGCTCGACGGCTGCAAGGCGTCCCCACGTGCAAGCACAGTGCAGTGCGGTTTGGCGCTACGAAAATCGTCAGAGCGTCAGCACGGAGCGACGAGTGCGAATATGTGACCCCGGGACTCTGCGTCGCGTGCACGCTCGCGCCATGCGCAAGCAGAAGCTGCATCGCGTCGAGCGACTGGTGGCGGGCGGCCATGCACAGCGCTCTTTGGCCCTCGGCGTCAGCGCCGTCAACGACCAGTCCTTTCTCAATCCTATGCCAAGCTCACTCAAGCAGCAGCGAACGGCATCTACCATCGAGCGAGGACCGTCGTTTGGTTCAAAGACGCGGCATGGACGAACGCGTCGTGGGTCGTCATGGGCATGGGTGCGGCCGTCGCTAGCACCAGCGGTGGCGGAACGCGTGGAGCGGCGTCGAGGACCGTAATTGACGCCTGCATGAACGAGTACCGGTGGCAGTAGTAGTGGAACGTGCCCGCAGCGTCGAAGACGCGGAGAAAGCTCTGTCCGAGCGCCAGCTCGGGCGAGTCGGCGCTACCATCGACGCTACGCGACGTCTCACATCATCATACCATGCGTCTCCTCGTGTACCTCGTGATGGAATGCAACGGCGCAAATGGGTTGGCATGCACCCACGTCACGGTGGTGCCAATGGGCACGACGACGTGCGACGGCGCAAAGGCAAAGGGAGTGATCTTGACGAGCGCCATACCCCAAGAAGGTCGTCGAAACGGTGAAATTGCTGTTTATTCGTCGTTATGGGCAAAGTCCATAAAGGTGCTAAAGAAGGCCACGATCGCGTCCTTGGAGATGGTGCCGTTGGCGTCCGAGTCAAACTCGTTGAAGATGGCATCGAACGCGTCGTCGCTCAAGAGGTCGCCGGGCACGTCCATCTCCTTGAGCGTCGAGATGAGGAGCTCGCGGGCCTCGTCTCGGTTGAGGAACCCGTTGTTGTTCGGGTCGTACGACTGCCACATCTTGTTTATTGCGGCGTCCATCGCGGCCGAGAGGTCGACGTAGCACTCGTCGCTACTGTCCGCCATGCTTCCGTGCTTTGCGTCGAACTTCGAAGCCGACGAACTTCGCCTACGACCTTCGAGGCAATGGCTGGGGCCACAATTCGAGGTGCATTGGCCGTCAACCGATCGTCGCGACGGCGCGAACGTTGCGTTTGCCCGCGTCGGACTTGGCCGCTGCGTTGTCGGCAAGGATATGCGCACGCAACTTGGCGCGTCTTTTCGTGCCGATCAGATCCAGAGTTGGTGGGTTTTTTACCTGGTCAAGTAGCACGTTAGTGTACCCAACACCAAGCAATGGAACTCTAGACGGGTTGGAGCTGCGGGCTCACTCTGAGGTCTTCTGGTCGATGCCATGCCGTGAAGAGCCGCGAGCCTACTCGGCAGCATCTCGCAGGCCGGGAGGCGATACCGTCCACAGCAACGGTGCTGGATAGTTATACCGATGGGCACAGAGTCAAGCACAGAGGTTTGCAAAACGCTTCTACTTCAAGTGCAGTCTCTCGCTTTAGGATGATGGGACCGGTAGCTTGGCCATGCGAACGTTCTCGAGAATCCAATCGAGGTCCCCGCTCGGTACGATGTGCGTTCGAAAGGTGGCCGTGACAGCGACCTCGACCGTCTTGTCGTCGAGTGGCTTGCTGGTCTCGCTGCTACTCGGCGGGTCTTCTGACAGCGGCTTCATGACACACACCAGGTCGCTCGCCACTGTGAACTTGAGCACTTCATCTTCATCGGGCTCTTGCGTGTACTTGGCGGACACGATGGCGCAGCTCTTGACGCGCTGGGGCACTGCATATTGCGTCGGCGTCACCGAGTGCGACTTTTTATCGAGCAGCTTTTGGTACAGCGGCGGCGCGCACGCGGCCATGAGGAACGCGTTGGCCTCTTCGGACGGCGTCGTGCGGTCAAGCTGGCACTGGACCATGGACTTGCTAAACATGTGCTGTACACTCGTATGCACAGCATGGCGGGCTCCTTCGACGAACTCGCGCAGGTCGACGTCGTGGTCCGAGGTCGGCGAGCATGACGAGAAGACGATGTTGAGCGCCTGGCCGAGCGACCTGGCGCGATGATGCCATCGGCCAGTAGGCTGTCGACGGTCTTGCCCTGGAAGCGCTTCGCCACGCGCTCGCGCACGCCCAAGGCGCGCGGGACGCCGCCGTTCGTGAGCAACGTCGCTACGGTTCGAAGCATCCCAAGTTGCTCGCCTCGCGATGACGACGGATGAATTCGGACATGTCCTGATTTCAACATGACTATTCGCACTCAACCCTATCCTGCAACCGCGAGCTTCGTCGTCGAGAGCATGCCGATATGGCGAGCGTGCTGCAAAGACTTCTATCGTACTGCTGTCTGGGCGAACGATGCTGGATTGCACTGTGTGTACGTACCGGTATTTAAAACAAGATCTTGATGACGATGGAAGATGGATATGGCAACGCGCCAACTGCGTCGCTTGCCTCCAGGCCACGACGTCGTCCAATAATGTGTCATCAAGTGCCACGGTACAACAGAGCCACCAGGATTGACGGAATAGCGCGAGCTAACGGCGTGCCGCCTTGTATTCGACGGGACCGCGCTTGGCTACCCAATTATGGACGATGCATTGACGGAACCTGCAATAAAGAAGCTGCAGCGTAGCTTCGCCCCACAACCTTCCTTTCTATGCAGGTTTGCAACTAAAAGAAGACACCCGAGCCAGCTCGATCGTGTCCCAGCTTGAACTTGCCGCCCCCGTCGCTCTGTTGTCCGTCATAACACAAAAACGCACCGCGTCAATCGCGTTACAGGTGCAGGCTATCCGCACGCAGTTCCTCGCCACCAACGTGCAGCAACGTCGACGATACACACCATGCCATCCCCTATCGGTAGATGGCTACGATCTACAGTACACTGCAAGCACGAGACGACTTCCCTTGTCGTCATCTCTCACACGTTTCTTATGCGCGCGTTTGTCAATTGCTTGTTGAGGTGCGTGCTACAAGTCAGATCATTTTTTTACCGAGCGCCACCATCTGTTAGAACGTGAAGACTGCCGCGCCACTCTAGCGCGGCAAAGCAAACCACCTCTGAAGACACGTCTCGACTAGATTCTTCAAAGCGGTTCGCTTTCTTCTGGGACGATGTCTCGGGCGTCTCGAGGTGCCTTGGGTGGTGGGCGATAGCTGTGGGTGATTGTCGTGCCATCTCGATTCGGACCAATTGGGACTTGTCCTATCCTTACAAATGGCTAATTCCACGCAGCTTTGCGGCGGTCTGGGCTGCGATGCGTGCAGCGTGGCCCGCCATGCGCCCGATCTGTGCGCCGCAGAGTCTGCAATGTGAAGTAATCAAGATCGTGGGCGCAACACACCACTGTGGACATCAACGCGCCGTCACCAACTGTGGTCGCCATGGCTTCAATGTGGTGCAACCAGACAGGCCGAATATTGGCGCCTTGGTCATTCCCAAATCCCACAGAACGAACGAGGATGAAGACTGCAGTAGTGTCTTTGGCGGCCGTCGCCGGGCTCTGCTACGTGTGCTACAACTACTCTTCGAAGCGGTGTCACGGCGTGAGTTCGCGCCGGATCAGTGTGGCCGAGCTCCGGTCGCAGCCCACGTGGGTGTCGCTCTGTGGCGTCGTCTTTGACACGGGCCGCCTCGACGGCTTTGTCGGCGCGCACGGCACGTTTGGCGACATTGGCGGCCATGACGCGACGCTGGTGTTTTCCGGTTGCCTTTGCACCACTGGTACGCGTCAACGAAACGTGGATGGTGATATTGAGGCCACACTCGACAAAGAAGTTGACAAAGACACGCTCTCAGCTGCCCAAGTAGCTACGCTCTGCTCCTGGCTCGCAACGTTCGGACTGCAGTTTCCAATTGTTGGGATCATGGCCGATATGTACCGCGATGCGAAATGGACTTCTACCGTGCGCACGGTCCTCGACAAATCCTCGCCCCAAGGCAGCGACGGCGCGCCCAAGTGCCCACTGGGCTTTGGCGCCAAGCGACCCTTCCCCGTCACGCTGCGCCCGTGCCTCACGACGCAGAACGGACCGTGGATCATCTTCAACGGCACACGCTACGACGTCTCGAACGCTGCGCTCTTTGATGCCTCGTCGCCCTTCCACGTCTACATTGGCCACGACATTACGGTCGCGCTGGCGCTCGGGTCGCTGGACCCGAAGGACTTTGACCAGCCACTCACGCCCGACACCAATCTCACGTACGCGCAGCAAAAGCTCCTCGCGCAGTACCAGAACGCCTTCTCGTCGACGCTCGCCGTCATTAGCTCGTCGTAACCTCGACGCCTCCGTCCAAGGAAGACGGCCTCTATAATATTAATTAATTAAGTCTAGTAGTACACACTCGGGGCACGGTGTCGACGACGAAGAGCCACGGTCTGCGTCCTTGGTGGCACAAAGACGGCCGGACTTGGTATAAAAGCGCACCCAGCTCTTAGAACGGACAACCTGGGCCACTGGGTAGAGTAGGCCATTGGCTCGCAGGACATGAGCTGCTTATCCTTGGCCCGCTCGCGGAAGAGAAGGAAAGGCAGCCACCCAGATCGATGCTACTACTTCACGGCCCAACTCAGGCCTGTTTGCATTGCGGGAAGCACCCATGCTAGCGGATGCCGGCGACATGTGCGACGGACCCCATTTTTCTGCTCTTCTTATTTCCCGAACCCACGTCGTTGTTTTGGCCCCGCGTCGTCGTCGAGAACCGAGATGGGATCAAGAGCTCGGTGGAGGCCCGATAATGATGATCCTGAGGCTTCACCAATGAGCCGAGCTGTTGTCGCCAGCTTGCCATGCTCCGAATCCTCCCAGGTAGGTACTTTGGAATGCACACGACCGCCACAAGCAAAGCAAAAAGATACGTCGTGGCTGGTGCGTTGAAGAAGCGGCCATTCTGACCCTCTGGACCAAGCTGCGAGTGCACCTGACCGTCCTGCTCCTGGAGACCCACTCGATGCTTGGACGCCACGTGGGCTTGTGCTGCTGCTGCAACCGCCCTCCAGCGCATGTCTGTAGGCTGCGTGTACCGTACTACGGGTACAGTACTCGTCGTGTACGTGTACAGCGACGGTACGTACAGTCCGCAAGACAACCGCCACGTTCGTCCCAGTTATCTCGGCCAGTGTACCAACTGTAGTTGGTGTCAGTGCGTAGATGGAAATGGCGGTCGAATTGGCAGCACAACGGCGCGTGTACAGCACCTCGACGGCGCTAGCCCAAGCGGGACCATGCCAAAATGAGACTACGTATTATCTTGCAGCAGCGGCCACGGGCGTCTTCCAAGCATGCGAATAAGGAGCCACGATCAATCGCCTTGTGCACAAGCCGTGTGCGGTGCCACACCTTTCTGCAGTGTACTGTATGATAGCAACCACCGCATGAAGCAAACTCGTTTTCTGCAGCAGCACTTTCTCCATCTGTCGTTATGACAGCCGGTATGACGCGCTCTGCACTGCTTGCGGCTCATTCTTGCAGGCGACAAGAGGGCGCTCTACCGTTGTGAGGAGGCGCGAGAAGATCGTCGCGCAACAAGGTGGTGCCACCGATGCCACGCGAGCGCCGCTAACGTAGTACTAGTACTACTTAGGCGAACACTGAAACTTCAACTTTTCCCGTGCGTCTTTTTGTGTCCAAGTGCATCAACGTGGCTGCAGAATCAACAAGAAGACCGACACGACATGCCTCTGCAGCAGCTCGGCGGCCTCGCGCCCTGGTCCAAGCACGCGAACGCGCTCAACCACATCGACCACGTGACGCTCAAGCGGCCGTGCGCCAAGGAGGCGCCGACGCTGGTGCTACTGCCCGGCGTCGTCGTCGAGTACGCACTGCACGTCTGCCTCCGCACGTCGCTCGCGCACCTCGCGGTCACCAGCGCCAAGCCCACGAGTCGCGACGCCCGGCGGTCCCGCGTCGACGCGTACGCCGTCACAGAGTACATTGTGCACCGGCGCTTCTCCGAGTTCTATCGACTTTGCGCCGAGCTCACGCGCGTTGTGCTGGCATGCGAGACCAGCTGCGTCTACTGCTACCAAATGCTCTCGGTTCTCGACGACACGCTGTTTCCGCACCGAGGACCGTACTGGGTCACGCTGCGCCAAGCCCAGCTCGAGGCGTGGCTCACGACGATCCTCTCGGTGGCGCGGGCGCATCCCGGGCAGTTTGAGTCGCGCTGTCACGGTTTCTGCACCGTCATGCGCCTGCTGGTGACCTTTTTAGCGATCCCTGACCTCTAGTCGTTCCTTGTACTTGTATATATATATATTCACAAAGCACGCAGTCCATTCATTCAGTATCTAGTCGTTGTCGCTACAAAAACAACAATACGTGTTTACGCCGTCGCCGTCGCCTCGGCGATCGACGGTAGCCGCGTCGATCGCGTCACGGTGTCGGGCTCGCTGGTTTTCGCAGCCGCAACGAGCGCCTCGGTGGTGACTGCAGCTGTCGCTGTCGCCGCCGCCACGAAGATCTTCTCTTCGTGCGTCTCTTCGTGCTTGGGCTCGATCGGAGGACTGGTCTTTGCCTCGACCTCGTTCGTCGACGTCGCACGCACCATGGGCGTCAATGGGCGATCAGGCGCGTCGTCCTGCGGCGTCATGGCCGTCGGGAGGTAGCTCACGATCCACTCGTACACGGCGGTATTCACCTCTGGCGCGTCACCGCCGAGGCTGTTGTAGAGCTCCTTGAACTCGGTCACAGTCTTGTCCTTGGCGCCAATCTGGCGCACGAAGCGGTCGGCTTTGATGCGCGGCTTCTTGGCGTCGGCCTTGCCGTTGAGGATGAGCACGGGGAGCTTCAAGCTCGTCTTGCGGTGGTCGAGCTCCCGCGCCGCGTTCAAGTGCATGTCGTCCGTCTCGAAATCCTCGTCGTTCTCGGTCGGCGACGTCGTCGGGTCGCTAATGAACGAAAAGTTGTTGCCCATGTGGTCAAGCTGCTTGGGCATCACTACACGAGACAGTCAGCTGCGTTCTTCGTCGACCATCTCGGACGTACGCTTTTGGCGAAACATGGCAAACGACGGCCGGCGGGGCATGAGCGCCCGGACCTTCTCGAGGTTGGCCGACAAGTTGGTCGTGATCGACTCGAGGTACCCGATGGGCCCCGAGAGGTCGGGCGACGTCATGATGAGCCCGCGCCACGGAAACCCTGCTTCGATCGCCGTGTGCGCGGCCATGAGCCCACCGTAAAAGACACCGCAGAGAAAGTAGTCGACGTCCGCGTCGCCCAGCCGGCGCGCGATGCCCCGTACAAAGTGGTGGACGTCGTCGACGTACTTTTGCACCGAGCAGGCGCTGGGCGCCGGGCGCTCGGCGGCGTTGGCCGAGATGCGCTCGACGTTGAGCTCGGGGTTCGGGTGCTTGTAGAGCGAGTTGTCGACGAGCGAGTCGTCAATGACCGGGCTCTGCTCGAGGGCGAAGACCGCGATCTGGTGGCTGGCGAGGAACTTGAAGAGGCTCGCGTACCGGCCGCAGCTCTCGCCGGTCGACGGGAGGAAGACAAGGACGGCGCGCGGCGACTGGGGCACGAACGAGACGCTGTGCAGGTGCTGGTGGCGGCCGTTCACGACGACCGCGCTGCCCTGCGAGAACGTCGCCGCCTTCCGCGTCGTCGGCTCCATATCTGGTTCTGGCTCAATCCACCGACCAACTGGCTGCAGCTGGCACATGATTGGCATGCTTTTTGCACACGTCCATACCGCGCCATATACAATTCAATGCATTTGGAAATGAATTAGCTTGCTTTTTGTAAGCAATAATAAGAATGCTCGACATATCATTTGCTGCAACGGCACTGGCGAGAATTATAATACAGTCCGTAACACAACGAGCCAGTGTTACGATCGTCGCCACGCGTTGGCACGGTGTTACGTGCACACTATTGTCTTGTACGTCCTTGTGGATATCGTATGGAAGCCATGCAGGCTCGATGCGTTTGAAAGGAGCACGTCGAGCTGGCGCCAAAGACACGAGTGTCGTCAGCGATATCAACGGCTTGCGGTGTGGAGAAGGACCAGCTGTGGTTCAGCAAGGACCAGTGGGCATATGTATGTCGAGGTTGCAGTTCCGCCAGCGATGCTCCTGCTCACTCTTCGCAGCGACGACGGAGATGCCGACCAGGCCGGCGTGGCAGGTGGCGCTGGAGGAGATCCGCGGGGCCTTCTGCGAACCAAGCTGGCGGGAAAGACTCGCTGCAAGTACTGTTCGCGGCGTCGAGTCCTTGTCGCGGCGCCAGGAACGCGTGCAATGCTTCTGGCTCGCTCGCAACAGCAGGTGCAGCTACTCGAAGCTTCGATGATGTGGTCGTCTTGCATTGCTGATCGTAGGAGGCGACGCGTTGGGTGAAGTTCTGACGTGAGTCCTGTCGAACTGGCGCGACCGAGACCGGCAGTAACACGCCTTCGCCGCTACTGCCACAATTGCATTCGACAATGGGCAGCGACCACGCCGGGGACGACTTTGAAGACGACGACGTGAGCTACGACGCCGACAGCTACCTCTCTCGACCCGGCAGCGAAAGCACTCTCGAGATCGAGCACAGCCGCCTCACACGCAGCCGGACCTCGTCGCAAGACTATGTCATGCGAACGCACGTACCGCTGTGGTGCAAGCAGGCGCGGGCGCTCGGGTACCTCCAGTCCGTGGTCATCTCGACGATCGCGCTCGAGCCTGGGCAAAGGAAGCGGTCGACGGTCTATTACATCCTCGATGTCTTCTACGCGCTACCCCAACTCGGCTCGGTGCGATCGTTCCAGCAGTGCGTGGAGCCCCAGTACCAGCTCCGCCGAAGGTTCAGCGACTGCTTTGACCTGCGACGACGCTTGCTCGAGATCTGTGCGCCAAGCGACCATCGCCACGTATGCGACTACTGCAAGGGCCTGCATCACGCTCTCAAAGCGACGCGGTTTCCCAGCCGATGGCCACGTGCTTGGGACGTTCTCGCGTGCTGGCACTCGACGCTTCTCCGGAAGCGCCAAGAAGGTAATTCATGCCTGCAGTTGTACGTGGTCGGTGATCTGATGGTGTGTGTAGGCTTGCAAAGCTGGCTGAATCGACTGCTGACGACGACGCACAAGACCGTGACGCCTGTCGGAGCGTGCGAGGCGTCGCTGCTTGTGCTGCATGAGCTCTCAATGTTCTTCCTCGAGTCCCCGCCTACCGACTCGGACCGATAGAAATCGATGGCCTCCATAACAAGTATTGCCCATGCATTTCCTCCTGCTCCTTCCGGACGCTTGCCGGCCACCTGATGCCGTCCACGTCGCATGGTGTGCTCGGTGGAGAGCCGTGGTCAGTCGCACGGGTGGCGATATGGCGCGGCAACGGACAAGGTACGTACAGATTGTCTTTGCGCTGCTGAAAGATCGCAAAATCGCAAACCCAGATCTGTGTGCAACTTCAAGTTGAAAATCAGCCAATCACAGGCGGTGTATGGCCGACGCAGCGTCGGATTGGTGAAAACGCTTTGGACGCTGGCAAGCTCCCATGACGACGACGACGTCCCTGACCCTCCGTGCGATGGGCTTTTGCGGCGCAGACGACTCGGTGCACCCGAAGCTCCTCCAGACGCTCTCGGTACACTACCCATGGATCGAGTGGGGCGTGCTCTTCCGCCCAGACCTCGAAGGCAGCCCGCGGTACGCGACCAGCGGCTGGGTGCAGCAGCTCGCAGCGTGCGCCCGGGCGACGCCAATGAAGCTAGCGGGCCATCTCTGCGGGTCGCGCTGCCAAGACATCTTGGCGGGCGACGCATCCTTTGTGCAGGAGCTCTACGCCATGGGCTTCCACCGCGTGCAAGTGAACGCCACCGCTGCCAACCACGTGCTTGTCGAGGCCGGTCGCATTGACGAGTACGTCGCCAACATCCGCCGCTGCATGGCGCGCGTGCCGCAGGTCGAGTGGATCATCCAGTGCAACACCGAGACCAAGGCGATCTGGGAACCGCTCGCCGCGGCGCCGCCCGCCAACATGAGCCTCCTCTTTGATGCGTCGTGCGGTCTTGGCGTGCCCATGACGGAGTTTCCCAAGCCGCTCCCCAACATTCCGTGCGGGTACGCTGGCGGCATTGGCCCCAACAACATCCGCAGCATGCTCGAGCGCGTCCAGGCAGCGTCGGGCGGCGCGCCAGTCTGGGTTGACATGGAGTCGAGTCTGCGGCTCAAGGTGCTCGAGTGCGTCACCGACGTCTTCTCGGTCGAAAAGTGCTTTGTCTGCGCCGACGTCGGTGTGACGGCGTTCGGCCTCGCCCTTGAGCACATGTAATGAAAGCTGCATCTCTCGATGTCCCGATATGCGTGTCACCACAGAGATCGGAAGAAGCACGCACTTGAACGCGCGGAAAAAGTCGTGGAAACGCTACTGGATTGCGCAGCGGTAGCTCGCATCGGCTTCGGCGAGCTTTGGCCGCTTCGAGAGACGCATCTCGTCGGTGGCAGCCTTCCGCTTCTTCGATGCATTCTCCGTAGTATCGGGATAGGACGTGCGGAGGCAGGCGGCGAGCGTCGCCTGGCGCACGCGCTTGGACGGCCAGTTCTCTTGCCCCGGTCCTCGGTCCACGCGAAGAGTCGACCGGTCGTCCATGGACCAGTTCGTGCAGGCGCGCTGAGCACGGCATGTCTCGGACGCGACCATGAGCTGTACGATCGCGGCCACGTCGGCTCGCGGTAGTGTCGGCTGGTCGTAGACGCGCTGGACCTTCTGCGTGTCGACGAGCACGTGGGGCCGTCGCTGCGCCTCTTCGACCAGCGGCCGCGTGACTTCGACGTACTCGTAGCCCGCAAAGCCAACGCCGGCGCCCGAGAATGGAACGACGCCATCGACGAACCCAAGCGCGTACTCCCGCGCAGTCGTCGTCGGCGCGAACTGGACGTGCTTGGGCATCTTGGGTTCGACTGGGATCTTTCAGCTTTGATTGCAGAGCAGCTAGGACTGTTTGAAGAGAATTTCCACGCAACGTTTCACTTGTGTCGTGGGGAATTCTCTCAAAACAGTGCTGCTCAAATATGAGAGTCCCTTTCGAGTTTGGCTTCACCTGGAACGCGAGCCACGACGCGTGCCATGTTCATCGACGGACGTAGTTGGGGTGCTCTATGCAAGAGCACGCGGAAGTGAGCGAGTGAATATGCAGACGTTCGTCACCGAGATGTGCGGCGAGACAACTGCAAAAGGCAAAGTTGAAGGCAACTTGCCGGCTCGGAGCGCCGAGAGTGACTGTCTGCACGCTCCTAGATTCATTCGAGTCTCGTTGACGACGAACCTCGCGGTCGTGCGTTCTGCGCGCACCAGATTTCTAGCAACCAGATTTCTGGCAACCAGATTTCTAGCTACGACGCTACCGGTATTATAGTTGTGTTTATCTTCTTTTCCTAGACTTGTGCACAATCTTGTCGCAAGTCGGCGCTTTGAAATTCAAATTCGTCGAACGGGCCTGTGATTGGTCAAAATACTAGGAATTCCAGCCCAAATCCAATTTCTCGACGGGTGCAACACGATGGAGAAGCCGACGGGCGCGGACCGACCGGCAACGACGCGGCCGCGCATGACGATGCACGTGCCCATGAACATGCCACTGCAGGTCACGCCCATGGCCGCTTACCTCCAGATGCCATGGATCGGGCCCGACGACCCGTCGTTACACGCCAAGCACATGAAGCGTCTCTGCGCATTCGATCGATCGACCGGCCGCTCATGCTCATCATGTAGGCCGACGCAACGACGCCATCGGCCTCCCGTACATGGCGCCATTTGACGGCGAGAGCAACAAGAAGCGCGCCAAGCCCGTCAAGCGGTTAACAGAAATGATCAAGCTCGAGCCCAAGCGGCCAGGCGACGACACCGCGGCCGACTATGTCGCCTGGGTCAAGTTTCTATTGCAGCCACCAACCATGTGGTACCGCGATCAGAAGGGCCGGCAGACGACCTTTGCGATCCAAGTCGGATTGACGCAGGGCGTGCCGGACGCCTTCGTGCCGCTCGAAAGCAAGGGCTACTTTACCGTCAAGCTGCTCTACGAGAACGGGTGCCACATATGAGCACCTCGACCATGCCTCACCATACCTCGCCATGCATTAGCACCGAAGTCCGTGACCAGCGCATCTTGGACTTGAAGGAGGGCGCGTTCCCGGACGCCAACGCCACGTCGACGACCATGAAACTCCGCATCAACGACATCTCGAGTCGCCACCAAAACCAGGTACACGCTACGACGTCTCTCTCTCTCTTTCCAACCAGATCCCGCAGAAGTTCCGCGTGCAAGTGTCGTACGTCTCGCCCGTCCCGATGCGCGTCTGTCCGGCGCTCTCGAACGCGACCCAAGTCCTCTCCAAGCAAGTCGTACGCGCCAAGCTCGCCCACACGGTTGACATTGCGATCTATAGAAACGAAGCGCGCCGCGACGGCCCGCAGACGAACTCGGCATGGCTTCGGACGACGTGTCGCGCGCCTCCAACGACAGCGAGGCCACGGTCGCGTTCTCGAGCGCGTCACCGTCGCCATCCGCGTCACCGCTCAAGACACCCCATGCTGTCGAGCGAGCCGAGACGCCTCTGGACGTCGTGCACCACTTTCGCGCGGCCAAGCCGACGGCCGTGGTGCAGTGGGCAGCCACCGCCCACGGCATTCTCTCCCAAGTCCAGTGGGCCCGGGTGGCCGCCAGCGTGATCGAGTGCCCTGTGTGCAAGGTGCGCCACGACGGCCCGCGGCATCTCGCGAAACACAGCAATGACTGCCTCCTGCGCATGCTCATGCAGTACCCTGCGATCTGTACGCTCGCTGCCATACGAGTCGAGAAAGGCTCACGCTTGCACCTAGTTCCATCGCCGCGTACAGAGAGGAGCCCGGACCTCGTGCGCCCGACGCCGCTGCGGTAGACGCTGTGGATATCGCCGTCGAGTCTCATTGCACGCGTGTAGCGCGGACACGGTGGTTGTCGCCGAGCCCTTGGAGCTCAACTGCTTGTCCGTCTCGGCGTTCCACGCGTCCGAGTCGCATCTGCTCAAGAGCCTCAGCCGCGTGTCCGTCTCCGACCACGAGCCGGACTTTGGCTCGCTCTCGTCGTCGCAGCTCGAACACTTGTGCCCGCCGCCGCTCGCCGACTCGGCGCACATGCTGTCGCAGTTTACGGACGCGCCGCTCACGAGTTTCGTCGAAGAGTCGATTCTCGCGGTCGGCCTCAAGGCGGTGGCGAAGCGCCACGCAGCCTTCGACCGAACATGGTCCCTGGTTGGGTTTTACCACGTGGTAGAAGGCACGTCGGAGTTGGCTTCAATAATTGCGTCGGATTAGGTGGGCACGGACTCGCTGCAGTTTGAAGCCGTGAGCGATCGGGACCAAGACGCGATCTGGGACGCCCACCCAGAGCTCGAAGCCGCAATTCGCCGCGTCCGGCACCGACGAAGTGCGCGCGACCCGAAAGTCTTTCCGTGCGTTGGCGACCCTGACATGCCGACCCTCGACGACATCAAGAGTCGTCTTCTCCAGCAGTATAGTACACAACAAACCGTCTGAGATCAGTCCACGTTGCAATACTATAGTACCTTTTTAACCAAACCAACACTTTGCGATGCTGCGTACTCGAACAAACGCGCATAATGGCTCAGAGTCAAGACCCGGCGAAAGGCTTTCGCGTCCTTGGGTTTCAAGTGTCGAACTCGGTCGGCCTATCGACAACTGGCTCAAGTCTCGATCTCGTGTCCGAATGGCTTATGGAAGCGCCGTCGCTTTACTAGGGACAAGGGATCGGCGCGCCGAGATCAAGGTGCGAAAACGAGCGAGCAAACAACGCATCGTGAAATGCAGATACTTGGCGTTCCGGTCGGTTTGGCCGTCGCGCAGATGGATAGATGGCCTCTGTCAAGCGATCGAGTCGCTTGCTGCCAGTGGAAATCTTCCATGCAAGAGCTGGGCGAACGCACCAAGGCCGCCTTCAACAGGTTCGATCTGGACGGCAAGATCGCAACCAAGAAGATCCAGGTCTTGGTGGAAACTAGGCCATGATTTCGATGTCCTTGGTTGAAGCATCAAAATTGACCAGATTTTTTGTTTTGGCCAATTTCAAGTTGCATCTTATCTTGAGAGTTCTGCATTCGATACAACAGCGTCTGAATCCTTAGGACAACGACATTATTGTTGCAACTACATATATATATAACACTATTAGCGACTACGTGCCAACAAAGAAAGCGGGGACGCGGTCTTTGATGAGGATTTCGTGAGGCGACGGGTTCTTGGAAAAGACGGCAATGTACGGCGACGGGCTCAGCGTGTCCTTAAATGTCAAGCGTGAGCCTCGTATTTCTGGAGAAGACTACCTCGAGGTCGTAGCTGAGGCGGATGGGGTGCGTGTCCGAGCTGGACGCGAGCGCGAGGCTGCGGCCGTCGCGGCACGGCGCGTAAAAGAGGCGGTTGCGCACAAAGTGCTTGAGGCGGCTGCCGTACTCGTTGGGCGAGACCGCACTCACGTTGTGCATGTCCTTGCAGAGACAGAGTCCGAGAACGTAGCGCTGGAGCGTCCAGCGCCACGTGTACCGCTGCAGCATGTCGATGACGCCGACGTAGTAAAACTTGTCGCGGTACTTGGAGACGACCGCCGCGTGCTGCGGCACATCTTGGAGCGATCCATGCGCGACGCCAATCAGAATGCTACGACACTTGGTCGAGATCCACAAGAAGAGTGGGCTCCTGTACCTATAGTCCATGATGCCGCGCGCCGCGAGAAACATGATGTCGGCCACGAGCTGCGCCTGCATCTCGATTTGCACGTCGTCGTCGACGTGGATGGCTTGTCGGAGCTTGAGAAAGTCAATGTCCATCATGAGCTTGGCGATCGGGAGCCGCTCGCGGGCTTGGCGGATGACGCGCTCGACGTCATCGGAGCGGATCGCTTGGCGGCGGTCCGTGTTGCCCTTGAGGTCGAACCGCTGGTGCACGGGCCCGTCCTTGAAGAGGTTGTGCATCACGACAAAGTACATTTTCTTGGACCCGACGGGCAGCGAGATCGAGTGGCACCCGAGGTAGCGGCAGAGGTACGACCCTGGGTGGCTCTGCAGGTGGCTGTGGTAGTACGGCCTATCGCGAGCTCGTCGACTGTATTGAAAGAATTGACGTACAGAATGCCGCGGAGCACGTCAAACTCGCCTCTCGGGACACTTTTGACCATGAATTGGCGGTTGGCTACGACACACATTATTGTCTTGCGTGTCTCGTCCAAAGCAGTTTACCCGTAAAGTAAAAGAGGTTGCCGCTCTTGCCTTCCGAGCCGTGCTCGTTGAGGATCTGATCGAGCGCAAACGCCTCCATGTAGGACCGGTCGTCGATGCCAAAGTGGTGGCGAAGGTGCTGAAAGACGGCCGGCGCCACGTCCTCGAAGGCGAGGACGCTGCTGGCGAAGCGGCCGTGCACCACGATCGTCTTGGCTTCGACGCGCGCGTAGTCGTCGAATGCAATCTCGGCGCGCGGCTCCATCGCCGCCCGCGACGCCGACTCGATGATGCCCATGGACGTGTACTTCATGATGCTCTGCCGAAGGACGTTGGAGACGTCGAGGTCGTCATGCTCGTTCCCTGCCGTCCGATCCTCGTCGTCGTCGTCGTTGGTGCAGCGCACCGTGTCGGCGCGGCGCCGGCCAACGACGTCCAAGCGGAAGAGCGCAAAGACAGCGACGAGATCGAGGCCCTCGACGACTTCGTCGATGATGCTTGTCGTGCTCGAAGCGCCTCCGTGCAAGACGTCGACCGTGTACACGACAATGGATGCGATCCCGACGCTGGCAAAGACGCCGAGGTACGGCAAGATGCGCTTGGCCATGCGCCGCGTCGTGAGGTGCGCCTGTGTCTCGAGGATGCGCGACTTGCGCCATGCGACAAAGAGCGCGATCGCAATGTAGAGCAGACCGAGGTAGAGCGGGACGTCCATGTAAATGCCCGTGTGTCGCGAGTCGCCGTTCGCACAGACAAAGGTGCGGAAAAGGGTTGTCCAGAGTGCCGCGCCGGGCCACGCCACAGCGTGGTGCAAGACGCTGTTGGCTTGGAACGGCAGAAACGGGTTGAGGAGCGACGAGATGAGGTCGATCGCCAGCATGAGGTTCCAGAACGTGGCCGCGGACGTGAAGAAGACCATGGTCCAAAAGAGCCAGAGGGCCACGGGGTCAGGCTGCAAGTTGGCCACGTCCACGATCGAGTAGTCGCTGCGGCCATCGACAGCGAGCAGCACAAGGTGCATGACGGCGCGAAAGGCGATGGCGAGCGCGTGCGAGATGAGGATGCAGAGCAGGACGGGCCCCGGGTGCTGGCGCGCCTTGGGGTGCACGGCGACGAGGTACACGGTGGCGCAAAGCACGCAGAGCGCGAGCGCGAGCAGCACGGCGGAGAGCGCTAGCGCCATCCCAAATGGCTACCAGAGTGAGCTGCCAGATCATCGGGTCGGAGGCACCGCGCGATCTGATTGGCTAGCCGACCTGAGTTTGCACTTGCCTTCGAAAAAGGCGTCGTTGGCGCTCGCAATCGAGGTCCTGGATTAGGGTCGTCGGCTTATATGAGCAGTACAAGCTACGTGGCGCGGTCGTCGTCGTCGACGGCGCGAGGAGGTCCATCAGAAAGAAGGTGCGGCCGTGCATGTCAAGAACGCGCCTCGAAACTGCAGCCTAGCTCTCGTGTTCCGAGCCAAAGCGTTCAGCAGCAGTGCTGGCTCCTGCACAGACTGGGAGCGGCTCCACGCGCCTGTCTATTGACGCCATCTGTTTGTCACAGCGATCACGCGACGTCAGTGGACCGATCAGCCAAGGGGTTACTGTCGCCAGTTAACATGGCCATAGCGTTTCGGTAGTTTGAATGGACTATTGTGGATCAAGGCGTTAAATGATGTCGTACAGCTCTGGCGCGGGGTCGTGGAGGTTGGCCGAGAGCCACAGCATGGACGGCGTCACGTCGAGCATGGCCGTGTCGGCATCCACAAGTATCCTCTGCGAACGAAAGTGCCCTCGTCAATAAGATTTAGAAACGTACCGGCGTGAGCTGGCCGAGGCCGCTCGGGCGCTCGGCGGTCAGCGAAAAGTTGCCGGGCAGCGAGGTGCGGCTCGAGCGGCGGGTTTGGTTGAACATGCTGAAGCGGATGAAGCCCAGCAGCCGCGCTCCGTACTTGCGCGCAGGCACCGCACTCACGTCCTGCGTGTCCTTGCACAAGAGCGTGCCAAGCACCCAGCGCTGGACCTATCAAACGATTAGAGTGATCACGAGTGAGTCTAATATGTCTACCGCCCAACGCCAGCTGTATTGCTGCAGCATGTCAATGATGCCGACAAAATAGACATCGCAGAGGTCCTTGGACGGCACGTGGTTGCAGAGACCGACGACGGGGACTTCGTCGCCCGAGATGTGCTTGACGCCAACGAGGATGCTACGCCGCCTAAGAACGTAGATTCTTCAAGGACAATTGCACTACCTGTAGTCCATGATGTTTTGTTCGGCGAGAAACGTTATGTCGGACTTGAGCTGGCCTTGCATCGCCGTCGCGTTCGCGTCCGAGAGATGCATGCACCGGTGGATGCGCGAGAAATCAATGTCGAGCATGAGCGGCTCGATGAACTTGCGCGCGAGCGTGTCCTGCATGACGCGCTCGACGTCACCGTCGGGAATCGCTTGGCGGCGGTCCGTGTTGCCTTTGATGTCGTACACCTCGTGGACGCGGCCTGTCGCAGTCTCCATGGAAAAAACGATTGTGCGTGGAGGCTCGTACCTTCGTTGAAGAGGTTTTGCATGACGACAAAGTACATGCAACGCGTGCCGACGGGCAGCGTGATCGAGTGGCAGCCAAAGTACCGACAGAGGTGCGTCGCACGGTGCGTCACGAGGTACTTGTAGTACGCCGGTCTATGCAGGATATGGATACGCACATCCATACCGGAACATGGACAGAGCCGTACAGGATGGACCGAAGCACGTCAAACTCGGACTTGGGCACGCTCTTGACCATAAACTGCGCATTGTCTGCCATGAACATCCATAAGAAACGAAAGAGACTGTCCACGTCGTACGTGTAAAGTACATGATGTTGCCGCTCTTGCCCTTGAGCCCGCACTCGCGCAGCCCCTCGGAGCGGGCAAACGCATCGCGGTACGAGGCCGCGTCGATGCCAAAGAGCTCGCGGATCGACTGAAACACGAGCGGCGCAACGTCGGTGAAGCGCAGTCGATCGGACGCGGTCGCGAGTTGCCCATGGACGAGGATCCCCTTGGTTTCGACTTTGGCAAATTCGAGCTCGAGTGGGATTTGGCCGGGCACGGTGTCGCGGTCGCACATGCCCGACGCTGCTTCGTAGATGCCTGCTTTCGTGCACTCCATGATGCTGTTGCGCATCTGCTGGGCGACGTCCACCGCAAAGTCGTCGGCCGTGTCGTCGTCCCGGCCGACTAATACATACGAAAATGAAGCCATTGAAAGCGATGGGCTTACTTTGGTAGGGGGGACTGTTGGGCGTGACGGTGTGGGTGGTCATGGTCGAGAGGCGGCGACGGGCGAGCGACGCCTTGGTCGAGCCCCAGAGGCGAAACACGATCGCCGAGTCAAAGAAATAGAGGACGAAGACGAAGAGGGTCGAGAGGCTCAAGAGGAGCTGGTCCACGTAGTTGGTCACGGTCGTCGTGCTGTAGTACATCTCAAAGACGTACAGGATGAGGAAGCCGATGCTCATGGTCGCAAAGACAGCGAGGTACGGCAGGATGAGCATCGCCATGTTGCGCGTCGAGACGTGCGCCTCGTACTGCAGCACGCGCGACTTGGCCCACGCGACGCGCAGCGCAATGCCAATGTAGAGAAGGACGGCGTACGAGGGCAAGACGATCCAGACGCGCATGATGCCGTCGTCAAAGTCGCGCTGGAAAAGCCAAAGCGGAAGATGACGGTCCAGACGCCCGCGGCCGGCCATGCGTGCGCGTGGTGGATCAAGTTGTTCGACTCGAACGGCAGGAATGGGTTGGAGAGCGACGAGATGAGGTCCATTGCGAGCATGAGGTACCAGAAAATTGCTGCTGCGTCAAAGTAGACGTAGCACCAGAACGGCCCGAGCGCGCGGCTCGTACCGGTGTTCGCAAGGTTGGCGACGTCGAGGACCGTCGCTGTCGAGGACGCATCGCTGAGGAGGACGAGCTCCATGGCAGCGCGGGCAATCATGGCGGCGCACGACGCAATCACGATGCAGATGAGGACCGGGCCCGGGTGCGCGCGCTTCTTCGCGTCGCGGATGAAGAAGTAGACGGTCGCGACGAGGATGCCAATGGCCGTGCCGAGCATCAGCGCTTGCCACGCGAGCGCAGCCGTCATAGCGCAAATGAAGCCCTGCGATCTCGCGCGAGGAGTCGCATGGTCCCGAGATCGGCGAAGCCGCCGCCGGAGATGCAGTGCAAGCGGTCACGTCGGGCGGATTCGGCATGTGCAACGGCCAAAATGCCGAAAATAAGCCGGTGCCGTCTCGTCGCGCGTCATCCTGTTCAGCGCGGGCGAGATTATTTCGCCGCTTCTCCATAGAGAGGCAGAAGCGGCCGTTCACGACACGTAGTGCTGCGTCGTTCCATGGTTGCTTTCGCTGCTGCGATTCGATATTTTCTGCCGGTCGTGGGCAGCTGCCTCAAAGGTTGCAATCCAAGTCCATAGGCACCCGAGGCAGCTGAGCTACACGTAAATTTATACATGTTGCCTTGGCTAAGAACTTCGCTGGCTGTCGTCGCGTCGTTGTGACGATGTGCAGCGACAGAAGTGTATCAGTTGCTTGTGCACTTGCCTCCTCCTACACCTCTTCCGCAACCGGGACACGACTTGAGTTTGCCCATCAATCAATGGTTGATATATTTCGTCCGTCTCGCCAGTTCGATTCCTTCGAGCTGCCGTGTTTTATCACCGCGAGAGCTGCCCAGGATCCCCGCAAAGAGGCTCGTGCCGCTGAGGTCGCTTGAATCTCGAGCCTGGCGTGCGCTGCCCATCGCCACCAACGCACCCAATGTGCATGCCGAAAATAAGCGCGCCAAGGTTATCCGGATGATTGGCACGGAATTTCCGGATACATGTGGGACGCAGTGAGTGGGAGTTCGAGTCTGGCGACGAGGAGCGGAGGAAGATGGAAGACCCGAACCGGCAGCTGCTGTACGAGTGGACGCGCGTACGTCGCTGCGCTGGAGACCTGATGGCTTCTTACGCCAACACGCGTGGCTAGGACGACGACCTCTGCAGCCTCCGCGCCCAGGTGCGCAAGGTACGGTCGTCCCACGCTCCAAAGATCGCAACCCATGATCCGGTAGATCAATGGCTTTTACAAGGAGAAGCTGGCCGAGTACGCCAACGTGCTCGACGAGTACGAGCGTGGTGTCAACGGCACGGTGCGCGCGCCGTCGGCCTGCGACCCATGGAGCGCCGCATGGTCGAGCTGGCCAAGCACGAGTGGATCATCCTGCACCAGCGCCTGCTGTGGCTGCGCCAGTTTCAGATCTCGAGCCACGCAGGTTGGGTCAAGAAGAGTCTCGTCGCTCGTGATGCTACGTGTACATGGGTAGATCTCACGGCACGGGCCCCGCTGGCCATCACGATCCTCGACGTATCGTCCAGCACCATACTAGTATTCATCTCCTGACCATGAGCATTTAGGACGTGGACTTTGCCGACTTGGACAAGACAAACGCGCAGATCGTGCGCCTCGAGTCGCTCGTGACCCGCGCGTTCTTTGGCGGCGACTGGCGCGCGGCCAACCGCGAGCTGTACCCGCTGAGCGAGGAGCACATCATTTGGTCGGGCTTCTACTTTGGTATGCGCACGGGCATGATGCTCATCCTCCTCCTCTGGGTGCTTTGGGACAGCGTCATTGACGACTCGTACCACCACAACCTGTGGCACTCGTCCGTCATCGCCGTCTACCGAGGCATTGGCGTGCTCGTCCTCCTCGCCTGGTTCTGGTGCCTCCAGCTCTACCTCTTCGACCAGTACGGGCTCGCGTTCCTTCGCGTCTTTCATCTCAAAGCGACCAAGTCGACGCAGTACCTCCACTTGCTCCACCAGATTGTGCCCGTCACGTGCATCTACCTCGTCAACCTTCTCGTACTACGACCTGGGATGTCGACCTGTGCGTGATACCATGCTGCCTGCGTAGCTCTACTTCAAGGTGCTGCGCGGCGACCTCGGCGACTACATTCCCGCGCACTACTACCCGCTCATGCTCTACGCCTTCCTCGTCCTCAAGCTCATTTTTCCGCTCAAGCAGCGCCGGTCGCTCATGCGCACGATTGGCCGGTGGACGACTTTCTTCCACCTCGCTTTCTCATGCGACTTTCTAGGGTCATGGCGGCGCCCTTCGCGATCGTGCGCTTCCGCGAGTCGTACGTCGGCGATATCCTCACGAGTTTGGTCAAGGTCATGGTCGACCTCGCGTGGTCCACGTGTTATTTTGCGTCCGGTCCGAACCCCCGTTTCTTGATCCGACTTGATGCTTGGTGTTCTAGGCGCCTTCTTTGAGGAGGATCCGAAGGGCCAAGACGTGTGCTCGCAGAGCGATGTGTACCGTACGGTCGTCATCCCGCTCTTCTCTGCCCTGCCCTTGGTAAGAAGTCTCTACCTACGCTCCGTAGATGCTGGACACTGTGGTGTAGTGGTGGCGCTTCATGCAGAGCATGCGCCGGTACCATGACACGCACGCCCGGTTCCCGCACCTTCCGAACGCGATGAAGTACGCGTGCGCGCAGTCGATCGTGCTCTTCGCGGTCTTTCACCCGAACCTCAAGCAGCAGGACCGCGAGTGGACCGTGTACCAGTCGTGCTACATGGTCGCGTGGGTGGGCACGACCATGTACCAGTTCATCTGGGACATCTACATGGATTGGGGCCTCGGCGATCTCAAATCTGGTTTCCTGCGCCAGACGCTCTTGTACCCAAAGTGGGCCTACTACGTTGCGATCGTCCTCGATTTTTTTCTGCGTTTTTTCTGGACGCTCACGCTCGTGCCGTCGTCTGGGTACGGCCCGATTCCCGGCCACATCCAGGTAGGCAATGACCCAGTGCATCTTCGTCAACAGCAAGTCGTAGCTCTACTTGGACCCGGTGCTGGCGTCGGCCGAAGTGTTTCGACGAAGCATGTGGGGACTTCTCCGCGTCGAGTACGAACACATTGTCGTGCAGTCCATGGACCAAGATTCGCCGAGCTCCACCGACAGGTTGGATCCAAGATCTTGTCGTATTCTTATGCGTCCATGGTAGTGAGATCGACTATGAAGAGGAAGAGGAAGACACGTCGCCCAAGTCGTACCCGATCCGCGTCTTTATCGAGATCACCGTCATCGTCGTGCTCGTCGTGACGGTCGCCCTGGTCGCGATTGCGTCTCGATCGGTCTAAAAGTACGCTATCTGCCGGTCACAGCATCGCGCTTGCGGTCCATTTCGGCAAGGACAACCTTGGTTGCGCCAATCAGACCCGTTTTGGCTTTTACATTGTGGTACCGTTGCAGCCACGTCGCTGGCGCGGCAAAATCGGATGCTCGAGGCATCGCGCGGGTCGACGTCATGTCGCAGGAGCGAGCCAAACACTTGGCTCATTGGCGCTGCATTATTCGGCGGTTCGGCACAGAGGCGTCTACGACAGCACGACGTTGGACCATGCATTAAGTGCCACGGCGCAATACGTGAGCGCAGCAGCAATGTTGATCGGGGTGCACTCGGAGAAGAGCACTTCGGGCATCAAGGTGCTACGAAGCATGTACAACCAGCGACACACTACAGTATTTGTACCGAGAGCTCATAATGTTGGGCAGAGAGACATGCTGGACGCGCGCGAGAAACCGAGCAAGTAACTCAGTGACGCGATTCGCGCGGTAGATGACGACCGTCGGCAGCCCCGCGAGCGCTGCTTCCAGCACGACCGTGCCCGAGACGGCAATCGCGACATGGCTTTGCTACAATGCATCGTGGCGTCCTTGCGCCCGTACAAGGTTGGGCAGTACTAGTACCTGAAACAGGGAGCGCTTCTTGCTCGCGTCGTCGGTGACGTGCACTGTAAACGGCATCGACCAGTCGGCCAAGTGGGCGTGGACGAGCGGTGCGACCGCCGATATTGTCGGAAACACCACGTGAATCTACTTGTCCATATGTCTCAATCGGTCCATGTCCTGGCGCTTCTACCGGCGCGTTTCTCGCTTGGGCAGAGTAGAGCTCAATGGCTTGGCGAACGAGCGAGATCGTCTGCAGGACCTCGTTCTCGCGGCTACATCAAGAGGGTGAATCATGTGCGCTCACGATGGCTCAAGACGCACCTGCCGACGAGGGCGACGATGGTCCAGGTTGCCGCCTTTGGCTGCGCTCGTTCGGCGGCGAGCGTCGCTAGGATCGCTTGCGTCTTGCGCGCGGCGTACGCATCGTACGGCAGCCACGGCGACGATGGCAGTAGCGCCGTGTCATCCGATGACGCGTCGAGCGTCGGCACAGTCATCTCAAAGAGGTGGTGGACGTCGCCAAAGTCTTCGAGCGCCGGGTGGCCGACAAAGGTCACGACCGGTCGCGTCATTGTGCGCGGCTGGAAGAGAGGCGCTTCGAAGGGCAGGAGCACGAGCATGTGATCCATGAGGCGCGAGAGACCATTCGCCGTCGCCTCCATGTGCTTGAACTTGTGTGTGTACGCCCACGTGGACGGCGCTACGTAGTGCACGACGGCGGCCTTGCGGCGCACGGACGCTACGTCGACTAGGAAGCATGAGCGGATGGAAACGAATCATTTGGCGACCAACTCTTTTCGACATGGGAAAGCGCGTGGTAGAGAAGGCCTTGGGCGCTCAAGATGCGCAGCACCCGAAACGTAAAGCCCTTCGAGTCGATGGTCACGACCGCGTCCGGCGCGCAGGCGTGAATGTCCTTGACGACGGCGCGCAGATGGCCCTAAAGATGTGTCATGTGCTTCACGTCTCCGTGATGAAGCATGCGCGTACCAGCGTCGACCAGATCTTAGGCAGCACTTCGGTGAGACCCATGAACGAGAGCTCTTTCATGGGAAAGAGCGATGCGAAGCGGCCTTGCTCGGTCATCTGCGGTCTGCCACAGGCTTGTGAACCGCGTTGCCACTTCGTAGCGCCTACCCGCCAACGCCTCGAAAGGTGACTGAAGGCTCCTTGGTCTGGAGGGCACGGATGAGCTTGGCGCCGATGGCGTCGCCCGATGCTTCGCCGGCGACGATGTACACGACGCGCTTGGCTGTCGGGCGCATGGTCTCCTGCTTGCAGTAGTATCAAAATGGAATCTGTTGACTAAAACCACCCAATTTTGGAGCTGGCTCATACCGTGTCTGAAGCGAGGGCCTCTTCGTGGCGAGATCTCATCGACTTCATATAGCATATGTTTTTGTTAGCCGTGGTTGCTCAAGCGCCACGAACAATCGCTGGAACCACGGCGTCATATTCTCGCAGTAGCCGCGAAAATGCAGTGTTTTAGCTGCCTCCAACCCTGGCGACGAATCTTTGGCCATATCCGGTTGCTTGAGGAAGCGTCCGGATGACGGCGCAAAATTAGACCGAAAACAACCCAGCAAAGAACAGTCCGTCGTCGCGCAGCCTCCGAGGAGCATGGAGATCGAGGTCGCGCATGGAGTCGAAGGCCGCGAAGAGCATGACGATGGGCTCTTCCTGGACGCGCTATCCCATGATGAAGGCGCGCTGTCACCGACGGCGCAGCTCCGCGAGCTCGACCTGCACGAAGATCACTTTGTCGAGCAGCAGCGATCGCCCGTGACAGACCTTTCGTTCTCGATGATGCTCGAGACAAAGAGCAAAAGTCGGAGCCTCTCGAAGAAGCGTTTGGGCTACGCGCGGCCCGGGCCCTACATGCTCTCGACGCTCAAGGAAGAGACCGACTCGCCGGAGCCGCGGACGGCGAAGCGCAACCCGTTCCAGTACAACTCGGACGAGAACGACGCGGACGAACTTGCTTGGGAGCTAAAGGAGCAACTCGCGCAGGAGCGTGAAGACGACAACGCGTGGTCCCACAGCGACGTGCAGAGCGAAGACGTCTACCGCTTCGTGCAGCCGCGCCGGCTCTCGTCCTGGGTCCAAGACGATGCCGTGTACGCGTGCTTCAAATGCCACACGGAGTTTACGCTCCTCATCCGGAAGCACCACTGCCGCGCGTGCGGGCGCATCTTCTGCAACGTGTGCTCCAACCAGCGCCTCGTCATTCCCATCGACTACGAGTCGACGCCCGTGTCTTACGCGATGCACGGGCAGGCGCAGTACGCGTCCTACTCGAGCGCGCTTGCCTCCAACGCGACCGAGGTCATTGGCTCGCTTGGGTACTACGTCTGGTCGTACAACTCGGCGACGCCCGCGCTCTCGGCGTCGGCCGACGACTTTACCGAGTTCCACGGCGGCTGCTCGAGCTCCTCGGCGTCCTTTCTCGACGAGGTATATTTATATTGCGTTGTGCGTATGCTCACGTGGGCCTCTAGATGCAGCACTCGGCCGAGCTCGAGCGCGACCGCTTTCTGCGCAGCATGGCAAACCTCGAGCAGCGCGGCGTCGTGGCCAAGTTTACGCCGTCGGCGGTCGCACTGCACAAGCTCAAGATGCTCCAGCAAGCGCCGAAAGGAAGCGTGCTGCAGCGCGTTTGTGACGACTGCGCGTCGGCGCTGCAGCAGCGCCGACAGCACTACAACACGGTTCGGGTCTTCGAGCTCTGCGGATGGGACATCCAGACGCTGCGCGTGCTGGGGCAGGTCTGCCGCAAGTGGCACCGCGCGTCCATCATGTGTCTCTCGACGTTCCGGCAGATCCAATATTACCTTCCGTCGCACCCGCTCAGTCCGCGCGAGAAGGACCTCCTCATCCGCAACCGACGCTTCCTCGCAGGCCACTCGAAATGGTATGCATACCGACGCGCGCAACAATATATAGTATTGCGTGTAGGCTCCTGCAGCTCGTCAAGGCCGTGGATGTCTCCAAGGAGCACTCGAGTGACCCGATCGTCGACGACATTTTGGCGCTCATGCAAGCGCCGCGCACGCACAACTGCATGCTCACCATGTGCTCCCGGCTCTGCCGGCACGAGCTCGAGAGTGTCGACGCGCTGGAAATTCTCTCCAACGCCAACGTCCAGCACATTGGCTTGCGCAACCTCTGCGTGCGCGCGCTCCAGCGCAAGGCGTCGCCGGACGACTGGCTCAGCTTTTTACCCATCGTGCTGCACTCGCTCAGCGTCGAGACGTGCGCGAGCAGCCTCGGCGATGCGATCGTCTCGCAAGCGCTCGTCAACGCGCGCTTTTGCAGCGACCTGTACTGGGGCCTCTCCGTGCTCGCTGAAGACCGCCGCTGCCGGCGCAAATTTGACGGCTTCCGACAGCGTCTCCTCCTCCGGCTCGTGTCGGCCAACGGTGACATGGCGTCGCAGCTGCTTTGCGGCCAAGAGTTTGTCGATATCTTGTGGCAGCTGCCGCACCGCGCCGAGCCGAGCGTCGTCGTGCGTCGGCTCGAGCACGAAGTGTCGAAATCCGGGCTCTTTGCCACGACGCCGCTCCGCCTGCCGGTCGAGCCGATGCTCACGATCTCGGGCATCCACTATGCGTCGCTCAAGGTCATGCGCAGCGCAGAGGCCCCGGTCATCGTCACGTGCACGGGCGTCGAGAACGCTGACGCGTCGCCGTCATCGGCGCTGCGACACACGTACCGGCTCATGTACAAGCGCGACGACTTGCGCAAGGACGCGGCTGTGCAAAACATCATCCGCGTCATGTACACGATCCTCAAGCAGGAGACGCAGATGTTCAACTCGGCGCTCGTCACGTACCGCGTCATCCCGACGTCGAGCTACGACGGACTCATCGAGATCGTCGAGAATGCCCATACGCTCTACGCCATCATCCGAGAGCACGGCAACATCATGCATTTCTTGCACCACTACAACGGCCACCGCGTACGACTCTCTCCTTGTACAAGTTGTCTAAGACGAATCTAGACGCTCAGCGACATTTCGACGTCGTTTCGCGAGTCGTTGGCGGCCTACACTGTCATTACGTTTCTTCTCGGCGTCGGCGACCGGCACGCAGAGAACGTCATGCTCACGAACGACGGCAACCTCTTCCACATCGACTATGGCTTCATCTTGGGGAAAGACCCGAAGCCGCTGCAGCCCCCATGCGCCTCGATAAGAACATGCTGGATGCGCTCGGCGGACCGCTTCAGGTCGAAGCCTTTAAGAACTCGTGCGTCGTCGCCTTCAACTGCCTACGGCGCCACGTGAGCTTGTTCTTGCTCATGCTGCGGCTCGTGGTCGATGCGATCCCGGAGATTACCGACTTTGGCGTCAACTACACGCAGGCCGACCTCGACGCGTTTGTGATCGAGCGCTTCCTGCCCGGGCAGTCGGACGAAGAGGCGGCGACCGCGCTCAAGCTGCGCATGGAAGGCAAGTTCAACGAGAAGATTGGCTTGACGCTGAGCGACTTTGTGCATGCGCACGCGAGCGAGAAGACGGTCACAAAGGGCATGAGCTCCGTCAAGGTCGGGGTCGAAAGCGTCGGCGGCGCGGTGCACTCGGTCGCAAACTCACTCACAAGCGGCGCCAGCTCGCTTCTCAAGTACGTTTGGGGCAGCAACTCCGCGTCCTGAGGCGTATAATACTCAATTTTTAAACGGCTATAAACGTAAATACGCGAAAGCATTTCGCCGGGTCTCTATACAAAAGCCCACCTTGGCCGCAATTAGGAGCTAGCGCAAGACTTCGTTTCGTCGCAGTGGGCGTGCTCGACAAAGGCTGCTAGCTTTTGTATGACGTGGCTCTTTACCCGACATTTATCGCCTTTCGAGATGAGTTAAAATAATGAACGATAAGCCCATGTCTTGTGCGCAGTTGTGCTGCCACGTCAGGTCGCACCACAAACCGCTTACAACGCATACTACCGATCTATCCGATAGTAGAGGTTTTATAGGAATAAAAATATCGCTTTGGCATAGAAAGATGTGGATACAAATAAGTCTAGTTGAAATACTACGGCGGCGACGCAGAAGCCACAGAGAGAGAAGAGAGAGATGGCGCTGCCTGTTGATACGTCCCAGACCGATGCCTTGAACCTGCAGGTGCTGCAGCGCCAGGACAACCAGATCAGCGAACTCGTGGGCACGGCCAGCCACGTCGTCGTCTACGAGTTCGACCAGGCCGACCAGTCGTGGGTACGCGGCGACGACGACGGCCGTGCAGATCGGATGCTCACATGTGCGTAGAAGCGCAAGGAGGTCGAGGGCTCGCTCTTCGTCGTCAAGCGGTATGGACGTCATGGTCCACGCCGACGCTGAGCTGCTGCATTTAGGTACTCGGCGCCCCGCTTCCAAGTGTTCGTCAACAATCGCCTCAGCACGGTCAACCTCGCGATTGGCGTCGACGCCACCTTGAACGTGGACAACGTGGACGAGTTTCTGATCATTCGCTGCGTGGACACCGTACGCGTTGTGTGCATGTCCATGACGTGGCTCATTTCGGCATGTAGACGTCGCCGAGCGGCTTCAAGATTTATGGCATTTGGTTCTTCCCGGAAGAAGACCGGCAGAAGACGCTCAAGCTCCTCGAGCGGTACGCCATCTTGCGCTCCATACGCGGTTCTATGGGTTCTTGACAGCATTCTGGCGTCGATCAAGAGTGGCGGCCCTCTGACGCCAACGCCCCGCCAACAGCCGCAGCAGCAGCAACAGCCGCAGCAGCAGCGACCGCAGCCCCTGCAGCAGTCCGCCGCGGTCCAAGAACCCGCTCCCGCAAAGAAGGTACGGTACCGCTTTTGTGGCCATGTTATAACATCGCTGACACAGTCGTTCGGCCCGATTGGGTCCCCAAAGCGGGCAGCGAACAAGGTGTTCAGCAAGGCCGAAGGCATCGCCGCGGGCGAAGCCATTCTCGGCATGATCTCCCAAAACACGCGGACGGAGGATGCGCAGAGCAACGTGGAGGCGACGACGCCGCCGTCCAACGCCGGGCGCCGCAGCCGCCGCAAGGACCGGACGCTCAACAAGGACCAGTTCAAGGACGCGCTCGTCACGTGTCTCGAGGACCCTGCGTTTCTAGACCAGATCTACCAAGCGTACGCGAAGAAGCAATAAGCCATTTGGCAGCTCCTCCTTGCATGCACTCTTGAGTTTTACGTAGTCGATTCCGTCGACACTGTAGTTGGGGGTAGGGGTGTGAAACCCGTGTGGGCCAGCACCATGGGCAACGAGACGACAGATAATAAAATACCCTTGTGTGGTTTTTCATTTCACACGCGTGGTTTTTCGGACGCCTGTCTACGGGGACTGCCAACAGCTGTGTTGACCGGACGGTGGATTGCGCACACGTTTGCGTGTACACTGCGAACCTTGGTCGACACGGGCGGATGGCACAAATCAAAATCCTTGACCATGGACATCACGCTCTGCTCGTACAACATCCGCTTCGTCTTGGACCGCTGGGACGAGCGCCGGCCGTTCCTCGAGAAGACGCTTGCGGCGACCACCGCCGACGTCTTTGCGCTGCAGGAAGTCAACATTGGCATGCACCACGGCCAGCACGCGCACCTCCGCGACGAGCTCTCGACGGCGCTGGCGACGTCGTTCACGGCATTTGCGTCGCCGGGCGCACGCTGGTACATTGAGCGCATCCCGTACCTCGGCGCGCTCCTCTCTGGCGAGCGCAACCCGATCGCGCGCTTCTTCTACGACGGCTACGCGCGCTTCAACGAGCGCTTCCTCGCGACGATCCTCGGCCGACACACGCAGACCGTCTACCACAACGAAGTGCTGCGCGTGCTCCTCTACGGTCTCCTCGGCACGGGCTGGGTCTTTGGTACGACGCTTCTCGCGCGCTCGGCCCTCTCGTACGTCTTTGCTGGCATCGTTTCGTATGCTTATGGGTATTGCATGGACCTACTAGGCCCGATGGCGCGGATGTGCTCCTTGTCGGGGGCTGGCGCGCCGCGCAGTGCGTCCATGTGACGACGACAGCAGCGGACAAGAAGATGCTGGTCGTGAACGTCCACCTCTCGTCGGCGCTCGACCAAGAAGACATTCGCGTCGACGAAGTACGCCAGATCTGCGACTGGGTTGACGCCAAGTGCGAGGCCGACAGCACTCTCACAGCCGTTGCCATCATGGGCGACTTCAACTGCTTTCCCCACGGCGACTGCTACAAGTACCTCGTTGGTCGTGGCTACAAGAGTGCGCATCACACGTGCCATTCGGCTGAGCCCGAGGTGACGTTCCATCAAGGGCTCGAAGCGCCGACCAAGGACGTTGGCGACGAGTGCACGCTCGACTACATTTTCCTCAAGGGCGATTCGATTACCGTCAAGGATGTTCAAGTCGTCGGCCAAACTCAGTGCGGCGACGACAGCACGCTCTTCCCGAGCGACCACTTTGGTCTCGTGGCGCGCCTCACGCTCGCCGAGTAATCGCTTAGGCCTGAGATTCTTCCTATTAAGGCACCTCGCCAAAGCTATCGCTTCCACCATCAGAGCTGTCATGTGTTCACCAATAATGACAAGTTGTACCGTCGCCACTGGACGCGCTCTTTGATTGGGCGCTGTTGCAGCAAACGCCCTGGGGTTGGCTCAATTCAATCCTGTTTTGGCCAATTAAAAGACGAGCTTGTCCGTTGTTCGCAGTTTGCATGAGCACGCCGAATCCGTTCCAGCGCTTTGCGCGCCCACGGGACGAGGCCCAGCCCAAGCAGCGAGTCAAGAGACTGCTGTCGCCGAGAGCGGCTACACCGGCCAAGCGGCAGCGGCCCGAAGCTACGACCAAGGAGGAAGCGATTGACGACGACCCCCGCCTGGCCATGCTCGCCCGCATGCAGTCCATTCGCAAGGGCATGATCGCGCAAGTCGATATCTACGGCACGCAGCAGCTGTACAGCGCCACGATGGCGCCCAAGGTGTGCATCATAATGGCCCAACAGCCTGTCATGGACGCATAGGACCAGCGCTGGCAGATTCTGATCGCGTCGCTTCTGAGCACGCAGACACGAGACGAAATCACGGCGGCCGCTATGATGCGGCTCCACACGTTGCCTGGCGGTCTCACACTTGCGTCCGTGCTGGCGCTCTCAGTCGCCGAGCTTGATGCGCTGCTGTGTCCCGTCGGATTCCACTTGTACGTTTGGTTGCAGCCACCATCGATGCGATCGATACAATGAACGCTAGGAAAAAGGCAGAGCAGTTGCTGCGCATTGCAGAGATACTGCAGACGCGCTACGGCAGCGACATCCCTGTCTCGATTGCCGACCTTGTAAGCACTGCACACTCCCCAACCGATGCAGTGAAGATGAGGCGCTAGTAGATGGAGCTTCCAGGCATCGGTCCAAAGGTCGCGCGCTTGATCGCCCTCGTGGCTTGGAACCGCGCCGACGGCATCATTGTCGACACCCACGTCCACCGCATCGCGCGTCGGCTCGGGTAGGACAACTGAGGACATCATAAAAGTTGGTTGACGTGCGTACGTGTAGCTGGACATCCGCGACAGTGAAGACCGCCGAAGACACTCGGCGAGAGCTCGAGGCGTGGATTCCGGCCGACAAGTGGGGCGACATGTCCAAGCTTCTGATTGGCTTTGGCCAAACGCACTGCAAAGCGGTAAAGCCCAAGTGTGCATCCTGTCCGATGCGTGATTCGTGTCCGTCGAGCTCCCAATTAACCGAAGCGTAATCACCACTTCAATGGCCATCGATATGCGTCGGTTCAAGGATGTTTACACATACAATGCAAGACGCATCCGCCATCGCATGTGATCCGCCCCAGTACCTTGACCCAATGTTGAGCGTTTGCGCCAACTATGCCGACCAAGAAGGTACCGTCGTCGATGGTACGCTGGACACGGGTAGCACTGCATTGACGCTCGTGGCATCCGCGCTTGTCATGATCGTGACGCCTTCTTCCGTTCTTCTACGCCGGCCCCGCAGGCAAAGACATGGCGTCCAACACGATGATGATGACGGTCATGCGTCCCAAACCAGTTTTTGGCTACTCGGTACAACAGCCTTTGGCTCGGACGGACTTTACAGCTGGGCCACGTACGTTCGTCAAGGTCGGGAAGCCCCCGAGTGCCACGTGCGCGCGACCTCGTCACCGCACATTGTTGTTGCTCTCTTCCAGACGCAATTCGCGACGATTACGCCGGCGCTGCTCAGCGTCGATCGCATTAGGTTTAGCACCTACGTCATCCTTCTCCTCCTATGTACGCCCATCGTCTACGACCCGCTCGCCAACTGGATGTGGTCTAGGAAGCTCGGCGACAACTGGGCGATCAAGGTCGTGGGCTGGGAAGGCAAACTTGATGCGCTCGACTTTGCCGGCGGCTCCATCATCCACGTTCCGAGCGGCAGCCCTCATCGTCGGAAGTCATGCCTACCGAGGAGAGGTCAATCCCATAATGTCCCGCCCATCAGGATTGGCCAACCTTGTTCTGGTTCATTTTTTTGGCTTCAGCGCCGGGTCCGAGGGGCGTCGCTGTCATCGCCGCTACCAATGTGAACGCGGCCATTGTCGGCGGCAACGGTATGCAGTTGGTGTACCTGCTCGTTGCCCAGTGGGCTACTCGTTTGTCGACACGACGCTCCTCCTCATCCTTGCGCTCAAGCACACCAGCGTCTCCAAGGAGAAGGAAATCCTCGGCGTGGACGTCGTGTACCGACCACATGCTCACCCCGGCGAGATGGAGTGAGAATAAGTCAACTCAGATTACGTTGATACTCTTTGCACGAGACGCTCCAATGCCATTGGTCGTCAAAACTACAAAAGCCAATGCGTTCAAGTTGATAATTGGGTTGGGTTACACGTAGCGCGTCATCCTGATGCTGAGAGACGTGGACAATGACGGTGGAGAAGAGAAGGTGTGGAGAATGAATGTAGTGCTACGCAGCAAGGGCAGCTTGTCGATACAGCGCAGTGAGGAGCCATGCCACGGCCAAGATCGTCAAGACCGCCAGTTTGATGAGCGCTGCCACCATGATTTCTTGGTTGGACTCGATCTTGGGCGACAAATTCATGTACGTTGTTGCGGAAGGGCGTGATGCGATCGAGGCGAAGAGACCCATCGCCGACGACCGGCCAAGGCGCAGCAGGCGCTCGGACCGCGTGAGCTTGGGCTCGACCTTGATAACGACGTGCGCGTCAAGCTTCTTCTTCAGCAACCTTTCGTGGACGTCGTACACGCGCTGGCTGTCGTCATCGTCGCCGAGGCTATCGTTGTCGTCGTCCTCGGGCATGAGCAACGGCTCGCGCAGGTACTTTTCGTCCTCGGACGTGGCGGCGCCCCAGGTCATGCTGCGTATGAGCGAGGGGAAGGACGCAATGTCGACCATGCTGCTGCGTCTCTCGTCCGCGGGGTCTCTCGTCTCGGTGCGTGCGTCGGTGGTGGTCGGTATCTTGCCCGCTCCTCGTCGTCCGCTCCCTTGGCCGATCCAAAAGCCGTCGAAAGAAAAGTTGGATCTGATTGCGCCGGAAACCGTTGCGGAACTATCCGGATACGCTGCCGCTTGTTCGCCAGCGTTCCGCCAGAGCGACAGAGGTCATGGAGCTGCTGCATCGACAGCGTGCTACACCCTGCAGTCGGCAACGGAGCGCACGCCCAGGTAGACGCTGAAGGTAAGCATCTCGCTCATGCTGGACATGCATCTGGCCTGGTGCGTGGGTCGATGCCACGAAACAACCAGCGATCACGCTTTATGCAACATGGCCTGGGAAAGGCTAATTGGGGGCAGCGTTCGTGGACTCGCAATAGGCGATGGCAATTGAAGAGACGAGCGTTGACATGGCGATTCTATGCTGGACCTGGCAGGTCCTTGTGCAGCTTCGCGACTGCCATCCTGTCGCTTCGCTGCAGCCGCCTGGATTGCCCAAGCTATGTCCAGACGTCATAGCCAGGTCCGCCTTCTTCCATGGCCTTCTCTGCAACGCAACTCCTTCCCTCTCATGCTAAGCCACGGAAGCGAGCTGACCGAAGTAGTACGTAGTGGCCGGGCAGGCGCTCGGCGGCCACCGGTTCAACATTGTTGAAGCCTGGCGTCGGTGCAGTTTTCGGAAGCGTCTCTATTTTTGCGCCGGACCGTTGCCGCCGCCGTTTTCGCACTGTGTGTGAGAAGGCGGCAACTGTTTGGGACTCTTTTGAGAGACTCTTGGCGGTTATATGCATTCTGAGAGGTCTTTTGAGACAGTAACATCAAGTGTGGGAGGGGTGACCCATTCCCGGCGCCGCAGTTGACGTGGCCAGTCGCGACATCCGCTTCGCCTTCGCCATGGACACGCTGCGCCAGCTCGGCTCGATGGAGCGCATGCGCCGGTCGATGCGGCTCCAGCGCCGCAACTGTCTTCTCTTCGTAAGCATGGGCGTGCTGCTCTGGCTGCACGGCGTCACGGTCGGCCTGGTCTTTGAGGGCCAGAAGGGCCTCCTCAATCGCTTCCTCTGGACCTTTGTCATCTTCCTCCTCCCGCTCATCCTCGTCATGCACACCACGTCGCACACGTGGCGGCGCGTGGCGGCGAGCCTTCTCTTCTTTGAGTTGGGCACTTTCGTCATGTGCTGGAGCAACTCGCTCGCGTGGTACCGCAACCCCAAGAACCTCTTGCCGCTGCCGGATCTCGGCCACGACGTCTTTCCAGAGTGGAAGAACCTCGCGATCAACGAGCACGTGTACCACGAAGAGGCCGAGAAGATCCCAGACATCATCATGGGCATCCTCACGATCACGACGACGATCTTTGCTGGCATGCACCCCGCGCGCTGGAAGATCGTGCAGCGCTTCTTCGTCGTGTACGGCTCGCTGTGCATGATGCGGTCCGTCACCGTCATCTCGACGAGCTTGCCCGACAGCGCTGAAAAGTGCCGGGCCATGACGCCCCTCGGCAACCTCCAGGTACGCTGCCTTCGGCGTCGTATTGGACTCAAGAGGCACGTGGCTAGAGTGGTGCGCACCGCTGGGAAGACATTACGATGCGCGCCGTGCTCGTCCGCAGCCTCAAGTTGCTCGTGCCCGTCGGCGAAGTGACGTGCGGCGACATGGTCTTTAGCGGGCACAGCATGCTCATGGTGCTCTGTGCGATGGTGCGTTCTTCGTTTGAAGCACCCGCCTCATGCTGCTGGCGTAGACGTGGCACACGTACTACAAGTGGGTCCCGGGCTCGATCAACTACATCAAGGTCACGATCTGGCTCATCACGGTAGCTGCTTGCACACTATACCGGTATTCACGCTGTTGTGCCAGATTGCCGGTCTCATCTCGATCGTCTGGGTGCGCATGCACTACACGCTCGACGTCGTGCTGGCGCTCTACTTTACAGTGACGGTCTGGAGGTGCGTCGACGCGCCCTTGCGATCATTATGCCCACGTTTTGGATGTAGCTCGTACCACCGCATTGCCAACGACGTCAAGATTGGCCACCGGTTTTCGATGGTGTGGGTCTTTGACGCGCTCATCATTTACCCCGCGATCGAGTGGATGGAGCGCCCGGACAACGACGAGGTGGTCGAGGTCGCGCGTCCCGTGCCAGTTGTCCACATCGACGACCAAGGCGATGCCAAGGTGTCGCATCCGCAGGACATGGACGCGAAACCGATGACGCCGTCGCCTGTCCGGCGTGGCACCCGGTCGCGCGCCGTGACGCAGCGTTACACAGAGAGCTAGAAGCAGGGTCTTGGGACCGTAGAAGAGACGTCGACTTGTACATTGAATCAACTCAGCATTCGTCGCGACTTATTTAACTCCGTCCTCGGAGGGTTAATCAGCTCGCTGGAAGCGGCACGATCACGTCGGGGGTGCACGGCAGCTGCAGTTGGTGGCACGGCTTTGCTTCGGTGGCAACGACGACGAGCCTTGGGTTGCGCCGGGCGTCGATTTCCTTGAGCTGTGGCAGCGACTGCAGCGACGCGGGCAAAGTCCCGTCAAAGTCATTTTCAAAGAGGTATACGAACCGAAGCGAATGTAGCTGCGCGAGGGACGCGGGGATGGTGCCTAGGACGTCATCCTGGCGCCATGGACGACGAGATGGTAGCGGTACCACTAAAGGCGTTGCTCGAGACGTTGAGAAACGTGAGGGCGCGGCAGTCGCTTAGCGTCGGAGGCAGCGGCCCTGGCGCGTCATGAGCAGTGACCGCAGCAGTTCGGATGTGCACCGTGGAGCAGGTTGTTGCGCACGGAAAGAAACTTCAGCCTCGACAGGCGCCCAATGCGATCCGAGAGACCGCCTGTGAAGCAGTTGGCGCGCAAGTTCAGGCGCGTGAGGTGCACGAGATCGAAAAGCGACTCGGGTAGAGGGCCGTCCAGCGAGTTGTACTCGAGGCGCAGCGACTGCAGGCGCCGGAGACGCCCGATGCTGGCGGGCAGCGCACCTTGCATCGTAGCATCGACATTGGTCGTGGCTCGAAATTGGTCGCTTCGTACCGGTCAAGGCGTTCTGTTGCAGATGCAGTCGTGTGAGGTTCGTGCAGCGAGCAATGCTGGCTGGCAAAGGGCCTAACGTATGTTATATCCACGTCCATCACGCAGTAATCTCATGGACACTGAACCGTGAAGTCGATTGCCGCTTAAATCCAGAGAGGTCAGGCGCTTGGAAAAGGTCGGTGGAAGGCTGCCTGCACACGGGTCATGTCAACAACCAATCTTTGTATGCGGACGCGACCGTCGAGGTTGTTCCGGGCGAGGTTCAGTGAGAGAAGGTACGGCAGCGCCGCAACGGACGGCGATAGGCAGCCTGCCACGTCGGATTACATGATTGCATCAAAATGCAACAAGACATACGTTGACACGTCGTGCTCCGCTTGGGCTGGTCGAGTCGAGTGATATGCCCAAAGGCAACTTGGACGGACGCGGTGTCGAGACAGCAGGATGCGCATGCGTGGATTTCAGCTGGCGCCGCCACCCCGCTCACTTGCTGCCCCATTTTACAGCCAAGAGGCGTAACCGCTATAATAGGATACTAGTATGTCATGAATCTGGTTCGCAGTTGCGAGCCTCGGCTTCGACGGCGACCGTGTTTCTGGCCACGCTTGCAGTTGCTCCTGCGTGCTTGGTATTGGAGTACCGGTAGGAGGTAGGGGGTAGGAGGTTTCACGCTCGGCGTTTGTATGCGGCTGCTTGGCCGAGTGCTATTACTCTCTGACCACAAGGGGGCGGACTTGAAGGCTGGTGTCGATGCCGAAACCATTACAGCGGGGTCGCCCACCCCATCGTCAGGGCTGTGCTTCAATCGACTATGTGTGTGACTCACAGGCCCCACACTGAACGCGTTCCCGTGGTGCGGCACGTTATAACGCCGCTTCTGTATAAAAGGGCGATCAAAACCAAGCAAAGTGGGCGTTATAACAACGGCAATCACGCGCCATGTGTTTGTAGCGCTGCCCATCTGGCTGCCCATAGAGTCCATGGGCACGATTTTACGTGGTGGTCGGCCATCTTCTACCAGTAGATTCGTCACCCACGGTCATTTCCGATTCGGCCTCGTCCCGCGCACCTCCCAACGAACAGGAAGATGCTCGGCGGTTTCTACGCGCACACGATCAGCGAGACCCAGCGCACAACGCCCAAGGAGCGCCTCACGCAGCGCCACGGGCCCGAGGGCCGCCTCCGCACGGGCACGACCGACTCGAACGACTCGTCCATGCACACGCACGGCTCAGGCCCGGACGCGATCTACTACGAGTACAAGCCGTCCTTCCGCTTCTGCCTCGACACGATGGTCGTCGACCTCATCAAGAGCGTCGACGGCGCCAAGCACGTCGCGTCGCCCGAGAAGCCGCGCCGCGTCCACCACGAAGCAGTCGACCTCCAAAAGCCGGTGATGCGCATGGCGTACGCGGGCGGTATCTTCACGTAGACTCTATCCGACGTCTTATATTTATGTAAATTAAAACCATCCTCCGCTTCCCTCGGTCTGGGCATTCGCACTCGCGTTCTTCATCGTTAGCAGACCTCGAACGCACGCCATCGGGGGGAAGGCAAAGAAAACGTTGCGTTCAAGCGACGTGGCGAGCGTGTCGAGTCATCCGATGCGTCTCCCGTGGCCGTCATCCATCGCAGCTATTGGCACATTCGCAGACTCGAATGGGCAACCAATAAGGTGGTCTTCCGAACGACGCAGACCACCAGTACTATTAGCTCCCAGCCGCCTCCAGACCGGCCTCCACACGGCTGCATTTCGGACGCGAGGTCCGTCGCGATGTTCTGACATCGTTCTGCACTCTGCGTGGTATGACGGGTATCGCACGCAAGGCCACAAACGCTTTGGTAAACGAGCTGAAATATGAAGTACAAAATTGTACCAAGGTTCACGTAGATCCTCCTTTCCAATCCAAAACACTAGCTCGGCTCCCGGCGGCCGGCGATGGCGTTGCCGTGGACATGCCATCGCGCACCCATGTGGGCGACTGGTATCCATCGCGCTGTTTACGCTCTGCAAGTGGCGGCAACCGACGCACGCCAGGACGCCGCTGGTTGATAATGCTCCGACGATTTCTTCTGGACAGCGCTCTGGACACAGTTCGACGAGCGGGAAAGTGCAGTCTCCAACGAAAATGTCATTCTATTCAACCAGTCGGTACTAAAATTAGGTAATCGATCACTGTAGGTTACCCCAGGGCGACGTCGAGTGCGAGCCATGTCAGCGCTGACAGACCGTCCAGCACGGCTGCAAAGTCGGCTGCCATGTCGACACGCGCGACAAGCAGCCGACTCTTCCTGTTTCCAACGTCGAGCAACACTTGTGTTGTCTCTGCCGAGAAGACTGCAGGAGGAAACAAGGGGCAATAAAAAAGGGCATGGTCCTTGGAGGAAAGAAGAGGCGACGTCGTCAACTGGTGCAGCAGTGCGCACCGGTACCGTGGAGACCCCTCGCACCAGTGCACCCACTTGGACGTATCACCGCCCAACACTGGTAGAGAAACCTGATGCAACACATGGCGTGGGACGGCCAGCAGCAGTTGCGTCCATATCTTAGTAGGGAATACCCCGCCACCTGGTGAGAGAATCCCCCACCTGAGCACAACCAGCCCATGGCAGTTTTCCATTTCGCTTGACCTTCTCACAGCTTCCGCGATGCTGCGAGCCTTCTACGCCCAAGGGCTGAGCGACCGGCCGCACAAGCTCAAGGACGACCCAGAGCCCATGCGCGCGACACGAGCGGACTCATTCGAGTCGTCTATTGCGACGTACCCGAGCTCGGCCAACGTCCTCCTCCATGCCGACGCCATCCACGAGTACAAGCCGGCCTTCCCGTTCCAAGTCGACGTGCTTGCATCAGCGCTCGCAGAAGGCGTCGACGCGGCGCGTCCTCCGCCGGCGCTGTCCCGTGGCAAGAGCGCGGCGCGGCTGACGACGACACCGTCGTTCAGTCCCGGGATCTTTGTCTAGTTGTTTTTATGCGTGTCGTCAGTCGAGTAAGCTTGTGGGTGTTTTGATTGTGTTTTATTTGCCGCAGCCGAGATTCTCTTTGCGAATGAGTACTCGACGGACAGCCCGAGGCGCCTCTGCGATAGAGGCCAGCAAGCCCCCATCAAGCGCGGGTAATCGTCAAATCGGTGCAGTGAGTGCTGTCGTGTGATACGGCGGCGACAGGCAAAAGCACTTGTTCTCAGATCTCAACGATGTGAGCGGCGTCTTGCCCACATACCACCCTGCACAGGGCTCATTGCGTACAGCCTCCGTCAATGTTCCTTGGCTACTCCGGTGCACCAAGCTACTTTGACCGCAGCGCCCTCTCGGCAGGATCGATTAGTTTACTCTAGTCATGGAGGACGAAGAGCGGTCAGCCCCAACCAATTGCCTCAACCAATTGGCCCCTTGGGTGTGGGTAATCTGATCAGGCCGCAGCGCGTCCAGGCACCCGTCATCCACCGATGCATCATCCACGGACGAGGATGCGTCGTCCGCGGCGCGACCGCTCATCGCTGTGTTTTGTGGCATACGGATCCACGCGAAGATTCAGCGAACCAAAGACACAGAAGACTGAAGACCAAGCAGGTTCCGAAGCCGATGGCACAGAAGCGTGACAGATTCGATTTGCTTGGTCCATGATCGATGGCCTTCGCACTGGACGCAGGTTGGCGCGGAGTAGGCATCCCACCGTGAGTGGAGTAGCTTCGGCCACTTGGTGTGCTGCAAACATGCGCGCGGACCACTGCGTTGAGAGCTTGGGTTGCTACTGCCGCTTCAACCTTGTGCGTCGAACTTGCCATAGCAACCGGACAGAAAACAGCTGGTTTGGAGCACCTACTTTACCGTGATGGCTCGACACCTAGGTCCATTTTCCATTTCTCCCCCTCGAACGCAGCAGTATGATCCGCGGCTTTTACGCTCAAGGCCTCGGCGACCGACCAAAGGACCACCATGCGACCAAGTCGTCGCGCTCCGCCAAGGGGCCGATGCCCGACTTTAGCCTCGCGCGGAATCGATCCTCGGTCACCGACTCGGTCGTCTCGTCCGCAGGCACCGCCGGATCCAGCGACGAGAACAACAAAGCGCTCGAGTACTCGCCGTCGTACCGCTTCAACTTGACGACCATGCTGACGAGCGTCGCCAAGGGCGCGGAGGCGGACGATATGATCCGGCTGCCGCCCCGCATCGGCATCCTCGTGTGAGGATTCTCGCGCCGTCCATCTCATTGTCGTCTTTCTCCTTAGTTGTCTTGTCCATGTTTCTGATAATTTACGAACCCAATCATTCCCCACTAAATCTTGGCTGGTCCTATGTGCCGAGCCTCTCTATAATATGTTGCGTTCATATTGAATCAGAAAACTACCTCGAAGACTTCGCATACATAATATATTTACTAGTATATCTGTGCAGAGGTTAGGTGATGACAAATTCAGGCGAGCACGGATCGTCTTGGAGGACCTTGAACTCGCCATCTCTCGTGTTGTCGGCATCGTCGTTGGCTTGGTGTACGTACGACGGGCGCTTGGCTTCGGCGATCCACTCGGCAAACTCGGCCAGCCAGGCTTGGTCGTCGTCCGCCATGTGCACTGCGACGTAGGCCTCGACAGACCGCAGATCACTGCGCGCCAAATACCCTCGCTCAATGCAGATGGACAAGAGCGACAGCGCATGGGCGCCTAGCAGCCGATGGACGGGCGCCATGTCCAGGACCGGCTCGACCTCCCACAACGAAGCCCCTGCGTCCACGAGCAGCAAGATCACGTCCGGCACGATCGTCGGCGCCAAGCACGCGATGTGCAGCGGCGTCATGCCATCGTGCTTGACTTTCACGTGGCGAGCCGCGTCCGGCGTTGCGAGCAGCGGCCGGAGGACATCCGCGCTGCCACGTCGCGCGGCAAAGTGCAGCGCCGAGCCGCGCCACTCGGCGTTGAGCTCGACACGCGTCGGGATCTGTCCCGAGAGGAGCGGCGTCAAGTACGCGATCACGTCCGCGCAGCGCCCGGCAGCAACCGCGAGGGCGAGGAGCGGGACGTCGGCCCCCTCGGGCGTGAGCTCGGCGCCTGCGTGCAGAAGCTGCCACGTCGCATTGTCGCTGTGCTGCACGGCGTAGTGGATCGGTGCGTACGCAAAGTCGCCGTCCAGAAAAAGCGACGCGCCCACGTGGCGCAGATGCGTCTCGGGGACGTCGAGAACGAGGTCGCCGCACGGCTGCGTCAAGAGATGGTACGTTCCCAGCGCGACGTTGGCGCTCGAGACGTGCGCGACGCTGTCGTTGAAGACGGCGGAGGCGCCGATGGGCAGCGTGTCGGTGCGCCGGTCAATGGGCGATACGTCGTGCACGTGGTTGAGGCCGACGCCCGACTGCAACAGTAGATAGTTGATAATGTCAGCGTTGGCGCCTTCCACGTCGGCCTTGCACGCGACGTGAAGTGCATTGGCATGGGTCGCCGTGGGCGCCGCCAGGTCTGCGCCATAGGCAGACACGAGGTGATTAAGTATCTTTCGCCGCGTCGGCTGCGAGTCTAGTAGCCACATTGGACGGTCCTTTTCGATCCAAGTCGTACCTCGAAGGTGCTCGTAGCTTGCGTCAATGTCGGGCTCGGTGGCGCCGCAAGCAAAGTGTATTGGGAGGTACCCCGACTGACTCGTGTGCACAAGCAGCTCGGACGGAGTCGAAGGACACATGCTGAGGCTGCGCGGACGCAAATGCTTCCAAAGCCCGCGGCAAAGATCGCGTCGAGCTCCACGAGGCGCTTGGCGGCGTCCGACTTGCCTTTGCGCAGGTCGTTGTGCACGCCGGTCGTGACGTCAAACTTGGTCGCGCGGCTGAGGACCATGTCCAGTAGCTCCACGCTGGCGTCGCCGCAGCGCCCGAGACAGAGATAGTGGAGACTAAAGCAGCCAAACCTACGAGCCACTTTGTTTCACGCGTCGCGTCTTGGGAGGACGTACCGATCGCGGATAAACGGATCCGCTCCCCGTTCAAGCAAAAGCTTCGCGGGGCCGCTGTGGCCGTGCAAGAGAGCGAGGTGCAGTGGCGTGCGCCCGAGCTTGCTGCAAGCGTTCATGTCACTACCTGCATTGAGGAGCGCGGTGGTCCACAGCTCAATGACACTTGCCGGGTGCTTTCTCGAGTCGAGGCGGAAGCAGAGGTCGCAGCCGCGAATATTGGCGTGGAGATAGCACGTCGATAGGATCCAGTGCAGTGGGTACGTGCCAAGCTCGCTCGTGACGTTCGGGTCACTGCCTCGCTCGAGGCACTGCGTCGTGTAGCTTGAAATTGTCTCGACGTAGAGGCTGTCGAGAGCCTTGGCGGTCTCAAAAGGGTCGCCCGTTTTGTGGTGCCGCGCCGCAATGAGCGCTTGGACGGCGGGGTCTTGCACGACGCTGGACGAGAAGAGGCTGAACTTGAGCACGGGCGTCCCGGCGGCATTGACCGCGTTCACATCGGCGCCGGCGTCGAGAAGGGCGCGCACCATGTCGTCGTGACCGGCGACGAAGGCTTGCATGAGGCAGGACGAGCCGTCGCGGTCCGCAAGTTGCGCCGAGACGCCGGCGTCGAGCAAGAGCTGCACGAGCGGCGCTTCATTGAGATCGATCGCCATGTGAATCGCCGCCTTGGCCACATACCCAAACCGGCCAAAGTCGAACGGCCGAGAGAGCAAGTCGACGTACCTAAAATCAAAAGACCGAAAGTCGTCGCCTCAGTGGTCTGCGAGGAACGCACCGCGAGGCGATCGTCTTGGTGCGACCGACCGCGTCAAGTTGCGGCTGCGATCCGTCTTCCTCTTCGTCCAAGTACACCTTGAGCTTGGCCTGGACGGTAGCCTCACGTGTTTTGCCCAGTTGGATGAGGTACTGGGCGAGGCTGCGCAGGGCGGTTTGGAGGCCATCGATCGGTGTCGCCTCGATGCGCTGCGTGTCGAGGAGCGCAATGAGCAGCGGCAACACGCCGAGGTGCAGCCCCGCGTTCACAAAGAGGTCCATGTCGTACTCGTCCTGAGACGCTTTTTCATCGAGCAAAAGCGACTTGAGCAACGCGAGGGCGGCCGCAATGTTGTCGAGCGGCGAGTCGCGGCGATGAAACACGTGGAGGACAGCTTCGAGCACTCGCGTGTGGGCGGCCATGGAGGGCGCGAGGGGCTCCAGAAACGGCCAGTGACCAAGCTGGACACCCTCGGGTGTCGGCTCCAGCGGCGCGTCCAACGCTTGCTTGAGCAGCGACTTGCGTCCGTTCGGGAGCAGCGGCAGCGGGCGCAAGATCGCGAGCACTTGGGTGTGCACGTCAAAGTCGGTGATTTCTTTCAGGAACTGAAGCAGCGCAAACGCATGGGTAGCGATGCGCTGCGTGACGCGGTCGCCTGTCACTGGAATCTCCTTGACGACAACCTGCTTTTTGTCTTTGGCGCCCTTCTTCTCCACCGGCGGAGGCGGCTCTACGCATTACAACAGTGGCAATGACTTGAGGGATAGTAGACGTACCGTCTGGGTGCGGCGTCGCGAGAGCGACCCAGTGCGCGTAGCAGCGCGCCAAGGCTGCGACGGCCTGCGCAGCCCACACTTGAGGTTTGGCGCGGATCGGGGGGTGCTCCAGAGGCGAAATACAGCGGTCGTCGAGACCCCAGGAAAACGCCAGTGGGTTCTCAAGCATTATGTCGCCGTCGGCTGCATGGTTGACAATATAATGCACGAGTGGGCCCACGGGGCTTCTCGTCTCGTCCCCACACGCCTAGCGCTGGATGATGGTAATTTTGTTGGATATCGAGGATGTCGTACATCGCAGGCGTCCGTGCTGTGGGTCGAAAGCGGCGCAAGGGCCATCGAGATATACATGACGAAGCTCGAATACTTGACCTGAGCAGACTGCCGGTCGTCATCGCTCGGCACCTCGGAGGGTGCGTCAGTTGCTAGTGGTGTCGACTGGAGTTTAAACTGATCATGCAGCATTGTCAAGAGACACGGGGTGCCAAGGAGGCCAAACTTGGCTCCGTTCTCTTTGTGTTGCACCACCTTGGCCGCGAGGCGCGCTAAACGCGGTAAGTGTCTGTATGCAGCGAGAGGACGCCACCTGCGCGCAGCTGTATCGCGATGTCGGGGATCGCAAAGATGGCTTGGAAGGCGTCGTACTGCATGAGCACATTCTCCTCGAGAAAGAGCGGGCCGTCGCCAGTACAGAGGTGAAGGAGCTTGTCGGCAGCGTTGCGCACCGTAGCGTACAACGCCTTGGTCTTGGCCGCCTTCTCGGCCTTGGCCTTGGCTTGGGCCTCGAGCAGCGCGGGGTCGACTTCTTCGACTGGTGGTGGCGGCGCTTCTTTTGGGGGCTTCTCCTTCCCACTCCCTTTTGCTTTGGCTTTGCCTTTGATGTCGCCGTCGTGGGCGTCGGTCCCCTCGGCCGAGCCCAAAGCTTCGCGCGGATCACGCTCGTCGACGACGAGGAAGTAGAGGAGTGTCGTCAAGAGACCTGTCTGCGTCGCAGCGGCGAGGCTCGGACCGTGCCGCTCGACGAGCCGACCAATGGACGCGAGGACGCTCAAGGCCGTGGCCAGATTTGCAGGCGCCCGGAGCGTTGGCGTCGCGAGAACGGCGACCATAGCGTGGACGGCGTCGGTGACCATCGTCGCGTTTTCAGCGATCGCAAAGTTGGACACAATGTGCACGCGAGCGAGCACAAGCACAACGAGACTGAGGCACTGGCACGTGGCGTCGACGACGTCGGCTTCGATCGTCCCAAGGAACGCGGGCGTCCAGCTCTGGAGCTTCTCGGTGAGGTGCGTCACAAGTCCGTCGGCATAAAGTCGATCCCGCCCGACGTCTACATGTCAGTCAGATGAGTCCAGGCCGTGGTAATCGTCTGACCGCTTTGAGTGAGCCACTCGAGTAGCTGCAGTGCGAGGACGGCAAAGCGGGTCTCACTATGGTGGAGGAAGCTCAAGATGCCTTTGGGTCCGTCTCCAATTGAAAAGAACGTCGCGATGGCTTCGTCGCGCGCGGCTGTGTGCTTGAGAAAGACGAAGAGACCGTTCAGAGCCAAGTACTGCAGCTCCGCGGATGGATTATGGAGTACAGAAGCCAGCTGCTCGATGGGATGCCCAGGGTTAAGAGTGGCGACAGGAGATCCGAGGTCGCTGCGGCCGCACAACACTCGACCATGCTTGTGTAGATCTTGATGGCGGCGATCTACATGCCTTTAAATGATACGATGCAACATTGGCGCGAGACGCGACCTTGGAGTCGTCGCTAAGAGGCATGCTGAGTGTGTTTAGAAAGTATTCGCCGCTATTCCACGGCGATGTGGGCTTCCGCCCTTCCTCGAGCACGTAGAGCACTGGCCATGGCTAGGTTGGAGTCCGAAAACAAGCTAGGATCGTACCGTTCTCAGCGCAGGACAGCGCCGGGTCGCCGGACGCGAGCAGCTTGACAAACATCAGCAGCGTTTGGTGCAAGACCTCGTGTTGCTACAATGCCGTTCATGAAGTGGTGGAAGAAGGTGCAATTTCTGTTGCCTTGGTGCGCGTCAGGAAGGCCATGAGGACGGCAACGCAGCCGCCTTCGCGGAAGAAGCGGCCATCCGTGCCGCAGTACATGATGCCCTCAATCTTTTTCCCCGTGTCTTTGAGTTTCAGAAGCTTCGTCGCACGCTTCCACGCCATTCGAAGCTCCTTCGGGAGCGGCGCTGCTGCCTTTGGCTCCGTCATCTCGCGCCCCTTCCGGCGAAACGACGTATGAAAGCTGCGCGAAATCACCGTTTCGTTGACACTCCCCGCCTTCGTTGAGTTGAGTTCGACGTACATACAATTCGACGAGCAGCAAACACGATTGTGGCGTTCATGAGCACATCGAAGAGGGCGATGAGGAAGGGTCAGTGCAGTCTGGCCCTGCTAAAAGAAGCGCGTGCAACCTTATTTGCACGATGATAATTCTCTTCGATAGTCATTGATGGGTACTGTGTGGCGAGTACTCGAACGTCAACTCACACTTCACCGCTGTGCTACGTTCTCAGCAAGGGGATTCCCTTGGTTCTCAGCATCAGAGGTATCTTTCGCCCGCATTGCTCTTCTGCACGGTCATCTGCAGCATTGCTCTTCTGCGCTCCATCTGCAAAGCCTTGTGCGTAAAAAGAGAGCGCGATGGTCTATTTCTTGTCGATTCATGTCGTGATCGAGCAAGTTGCCACGCATGACATGCGTGTCTGCCCTCGCGGAGTAACTTCAACGTGCCCGTGGATCTTTTGAAAATGCACCAATCCCAGCGCGTTTCCAAATTCATTTTGGCCAATAAATTGTCGCGAGGGTCCCATTCTAAAAGTTTCCGAGCCAAAGCGATGCCAAACTTCCTGCTCTTGGACCTCGCGGCAGTCCCGGAGCACGCGCGGGACCGCCTTCGAGAAGCCCGGGTGGCCATCATCCCCCTCATGTACCTATCTCTCTCCTCTCATACAGCACGAAAATCATGGGTCTCAGGCCCCACGGCGATGGCGTTGCGCTCCGGAAGGGCATGTTCAAGCACCCGTTCCGCGGGGCGACGGCGCGGGAGCGAGCGCATCTCAAGCTCTTGGGGCGTTGCCACTGCCACCTCGAAACGATTGCAGTGGGGGGAACATTGCTGACGCGACTCACCGACACGAGCGCGCAAGGAACCTACGTCGACCGCGTCCTCTTGCGTGCGATGCCCGATCCTCGAGCATGGAGCGCCGTACCTCATGCATCCACAACGCATAGAGCACGGAGATACGCACATCCTATCGGAGGGCGAGCGCATCATACTCTTGGGCCATCGACCATTCGAGTTGGCGTACGTACGGGCATATCGAGGCCTATTGACGCGATATTGCGGCGTAGGTATATCTTCCGCAGCATCCCCGACGATGTCTTCTACAATTTCAGCCGGCCCGATCCCGCGACGATCCAGTCGTACGATGTGAACGCGCTCGCCGCTGCGACGTGGCCCTACGCTCGAAGCTGCCTCGTGGGCCCTACCAAGGACATGCACGACACGGTCATGGCGTAGCATAGCCGTCTGCGGCCCAACCCTTTGAATTCCATGCGCCAACTTGAGCCATCGCATGTTGCACGTCAAAGACGCTGCGTTGTTTGATACGTCGTCGTGGTGTGAGCAGACGAACTCGTCCCCGCGGCTCTGTGACTTGCGTTGGTGCTTCGACACGGCGTTACTTGTGTGGCATTTGTACGTCATACGTTATCGGATTTGTTCTCGGTAACCGTGCCCATCACCGCTTTTAGCCCGGTCGAAGATGCGCGAGACACTGCCTCCGCGAGGAAGCGGGTCATCCTCGGACCCCGCCGACCAGGACGAACCCGATGATGATGAAACGAGCGATCGCCTCTTTGGGATCGACTCGAGTCTCCTACTCAAAAGCTATCTTCCAAGCACGGTGGCGACCGGAAAGGAGTCACAAGTAAGTAGCGTTGTGCTCTGAGATGATCATGAGACCCCTGCTGCGTAGCTGGCTAGCTTCCGACAGCCCAACGTGCGTCATCAGCCAAGCGCTGCACCAACACCCTTACACCGGGCACCAAGCCTCGTCGCTGCTACGGTGCGCCCCTAACGAGTACTGAGAGCTATGAAAGTGCTGTTCTAGCCAAGACAGTCGTTCTTTGAAGCAGTTCTACGGAACAAACTACGCAAGGTATGGTCTTCGTAAAATATCCAATGAGGGAACGATGAGACAATATACTATCTAGAGCTCGAATGAGGTTCTTCCGAGCACATGTCTGTATACTTCTCGCGGCTAGCGTCAGCTCATGTCTCCGAATCATGTAGTAGATGCGCGTGTCGAGGCGAGCCCGCAAGGGGCTGATGAAGCCCCAAAAAAGCCTCGGCCGGCGTCGACTGGCGCCTGCGGCACAAATCGGTCGGCGCGAAAATCCTCTCAGGGCATTACACGTCAGCCGCTGGCAATGGCGACGAGCCCCAGCGGCGACATTACGCCGTCGTTGGGAGGAGTTCGTATGCAGCAGTTCATGGTGCTGCCAACTGGGGGACCACCAAACCAGCGCCTCGCCGAGAAGATCGAGTCGATTGAAGCGTACATGAGAGAGAACGACATGCGGCGCATGCAGTCATTATTGACGCCGCGCAAGTCAAGGCACAGCAAGTTCGATCACCTCTTCAACCTGAGAGAGAGCCAATGCCCATCGCCTGTGGCTCACCCGCGTCCGAACAAGCCGCCCGTGATTCAACTGGCGATGTGGGGAGCAGAGTCACGCACTCCTGTGCGGTCCAATCTCAACAAAGACATGCTCGTGCCCAAGGCCCCCTTCTCCGCACGGAAGCCACGGCCGATGGTATAGTACTGTGTCTAGCGGTAGCATCATCCTGTTTTGCGTGAGTATCAGTAACAATAACCCACTCGTTTTCCCATACCTTGCGAGGCATAATAATCAATCAATCAAACGTGTTCGCGTAAAATCAAGTTAGCAGAAACTAGCTCAAAGACTTCGCATACGTAGTGCTACGCCTGAATGCGTGGGAGTTGGCACCAGCACTTGGTCGTTCGAGGCATAATGAACTCGATACATTGAAACTCTGGATGATGCGGCGGGCGAATTTAGAGTCTGCGCATCTATTCTTGTCGTGATAAAGGACGCGGGCTTCCATGACAGGGACGCAGCCTGAGGGGCTTCGTCCTCGCACGGTCGCAAGCGCCATTCGCATCGAAGGCAACATGCACGATCTGTCACTCAGCGGGGTGCGTTCCAAGCTCAGCTTTGAAAAGCCAGCGCCGAAGCCCAAGCCAGCAGCCGAGAGAATGCTTCTACCGCGAGAACCGAAGCAGCTTCGACCGCGCACAACCATGGATGTGACCGTGGGTGCGATGCTCAAGACGATCCAGTGCTTGAAGCAGGCGCCGTCCACGGACGAGCTGCGGCGCGAAGAAAATAACTACGATGCCCGTGCAAAAGCCACCGACGAGGAGCGTCTGAAGCTGCGCTTCAAGACCATGCGCATGAACAAGGTGTTTGTGACGTCGGTGAAGAAAGCACCGACAGACGCATCGCCATTTCAAGTGGGTCAGATGGCCAAGTCTGCAGTTATGAACTCGTCGCGGCCGCCGTCTCGTGCGAGTGTCTCGCGCTCGTCGAGTCGTGCGGGCGGTCCAATCAGTGCGGGATCATACCCACGGACGACGAAATCGCTGCGCCAGTGCCTCAAACTCCAGCCGTCGCGCGGAAGCAGAGTCTTCGAGACTTTGAAGTCATTAGCCAAGAGGCAGGCGACAAGGTCATCTTCCGCGCACTCGGAGAAAAGCGAAACCATGACGTGGAAGATGCGAGCACGCTGGAGCTCACAAGGTGGGACCGCGACGAGTGGTAGGATACATTGTACAGTAAATGATGTGAAGAGTAGTTCATTAGTTGATGCAATCAGCTTGCCTTTATCTTCGACCAGTCTAGTTTGCCAATCATTCTTGGCGCGCCGAAAGTGCAGTCGGCGGTTTCATAGCACATGACATCAACGGACTCGATCCTTGCGCTCATGCGCAAGTTCCGATTGACGCCAGACGACTTGAAGTACTACGAGGAGCATATTGGCGTCCTACCCGTCATGCTGCCGTCGCCGACTGAGGCCGCGTCGGAGCTCGAGACGGAGACTTCTTTTGACCGCCGGTTCGGGGTCGAGAGCAGCCACCTTCTGCGGTCGTACTATCGCACCGAGAAGCGACCCGAGACAGACGAGGAGGCATTGATACAGGTATCTACTGACCGTGGTGTACTTAAGACAGCCTGGCTAACTCAAGAATAGGTGACCCCTATTACGATTACACCGCGCTCGAATAACATGTTCCACGAGGTTCATTCCAACACATGGACGTATTTGTGTCGTCACAGTCGCGCGCTGCTGTAGGCAGTGCAACTCAAGCTACGACAGCCAAAGTATCAGACATTTGCTCGCCGAGAAGCAATGATGTCATGTCCGCCACGTTGTGACCTTGTCGTCGAGCCGCCGCCGGTGGTGACGCGAAAAAAGAAAGTGAAAAGACCAAGCTCCTGCGGTCCAACGCGACGCGCGCAAGAGATCGAGCCTGAGGCTGCGCAACGACATTGGCCGGCATCGCGGCGCATTTCGTCGGCAAGCCGACGCCGTGTTGTGCCCTCCACTTCGAGCCTTCACGTGGCATCGGCAGCTCCGATTGCGCTCAGCAGTCCCGCGGTCGGGCCACGCAACACGACTCCCACTGCATGCAAGATCAGTGTATCGACGCCGCTTTTTTTGTCGCCGACCGCCGTGTACCAGCGACCAAGGTCAGCAACGATACATATTCGACAGCCGCTGCCAGTGCAAACAAGTCCCGCTGGCATCGCGCCGACCCATGCCACGCGCCTCGTTGCGCAACAGAAGGCGCTGTCGATCTACCTCAATCGCCACAGGAGCCTTCCGCCACCAGAGCAACCGAACCAAGATGCAACCTCTCGGCCGCTACCGGTAGCCACATCGTACGACGGTACATCAACGCGCCCTCCGCGCATACGCCGCAAACCCAAGATCGACTGGAGCCGGCCCAGCTCGGCGTCCCCGGTTCCAAGAGGCCGAACCGTGCTTCATGTTAGCGACGAGCTGATGTCCGTGCGCAGCAGCAACGCTTCATGAATCGCAGCACTCACATGGAAGCGGCGGCGTTGGCGCGGTTTTTTACCAAACACCAGCGCGACTGTTTTTACCGGATACGAAAACGACGCTCGATTTCGACGGCAGGGTGCAATTAATATCCTCATTCTCAATTTGATGCTATGTACAGTATGATGGATCTAATCTTTTTAAAGTGAAAGAAACAAATGATGCAAACAGCGCGGTTGAAGTGATGGGCGGCGTGGTATCCGGATACGCCGGGCCGCGGGGCGTGCCACTTTCGATTCAGCATGTACGGGACGTGGGGCAACAAGAAGCAGGCGGCCGAGAGCGCTGCGCCGTTCCGCTACTCGGTGACGAAGGGCGACACGCTCAGCAGCATCGCAGCCAAGACCAACATGGCCGAGAAGAAGATCCGCGAGCTCAACCCGATCGTCTTCAGCGGCAAGAGCAACAACGTGTACCCGGGCCAGGAGCTCATCGTCGACGAGCCGCTCGCAGTATCGCTGCCGCCGCCGCCCGAGTTCATCGACCAAGGCTGGGGCCAGATGCACGTCGTGCGGTCCGGCGACACGGTCAAGAGCATCGCGCTCGAGTTCAACACGACCGAGGAGGCGATCCGCAACGACAACCGCCAATACTTCCCCAAAGGCGAGCGGGGCATCATGTTTCCAGGCCAGATGCTGCACATCCGCGTCATCAACACGATCCCGGACCCGAACCACGTTGACGCCCACGCCATCATGCACGTCGTGACGCAAAGCGACACGTTCGACTCGATCTGTGCGCAGCACAAGACGACCAAGGCCCGCCTCCTGCTCAAGAACAAGGTCGCGTTCCCGAACGGCATGAAGCCGCGCCTAGTGCCTGGGCAAGCGCTCGTCGTCGGTCACAACTCGGCTGCAGAAGACCGCATGCGGCACATTGGCGAGGTGAAGCTCACCAAGCAGATCCACGTGGTGCAGGTCGGCGAGACGCCCGAGTCGGTGGCAGCGCACTACGGCATGACGATCGACGAGCTGCGCGAGTTCAACCGCGCCTACTTCCCCAAGGGTTACCGCGGCGAAATCCGGCCCAGTTACAAGCTCGTCGTGAAGCGCGTCGACAACCAAGCGGACGAAGCTGGCCACAACCAAGTGCAGGGCAGCGACGACGACGACGACGATAACGCTGCTGCCGTGCCCAACACGTACGACACGATCATGAGCCCTGTGCGAAAGCCGCGAAAGACCAAGAAGAAGGCGCGGCCGACCAACCAGCAGAGCGACTCGGACTCGGCGTAGACGTGTATAATAGACAGAACATGCATCTCTAGGGTGCTCCGTCGTGGATCTTTTGCACGAGACGCGCGATCTCGTCCATGTGCTGGCGCTTCGCATCACGCTCCTTCTCCATCTACGAATAATTGCGGTCGAGGCATTGCTGCATCCTTGCCACGGACCTGAAGGAGGACAACCTTCATCTCGTGCTCGGTCGACTGGAGGCGCGTTTGGTACTCGTACAACCGCTTCTGCATGTTGTGGTGCTGGTGTTTCGCGGCTTGGAGTTGATGTGCTGCGGTTTGGAGCTTGGCTTGGAGGCTCATAATCTCACTTTTGAGCGTCTCCGCCTGCGTCCTGAGCTCTGCCTGATGTGCTGCGTGCTAGGAACACACCACTAGAATAAAGACACCCAAGTCCAGAGAGCACGTACGGACGTCTCGAGTTGCGCGATCTTTTCGGAGCTCCGAGCCTCTTGCTTGGCGACCGTCTTGCGAAGGTGGTGGAGTTCACCCTCGAGGTACTCGAGCGCCGCCTCCTTTGTCGCGAGCTCCTCTTGAATACGCTCCATGTCTTGCAGCCGCGCGGCTTCCGACTCGACTTGCCCCGCACGCGCCTCGACCTCTCTCTGGTACTCTGCCATGTCGGCCTGTGCAGCGAGGCTATCGTCAAGCGCTGCTTCCAACTCTTCCACGCGACCTCGCATGTCGTCCAACGCGACGACCAAGGCGTCCTTGTCCCGGCGTGCGTCCAGAAGAAGTCGGCTTTGATCGTCCAGCATGACGTTCTTGACTTGAACGAGTGCGTTGGCGTCACGCAGCTGTGCCTCGAGCGCTTCGATGGTGTCGCTTGTTGACGCGGACTTGGATAGCGCGCTGGTTGCTGCATCTTCAGCGGCGAGACGCTGCGAACGCTCATCGTCGACTTGGTGCTCGAGATGATCGATGGTTTCTTGGAGCTCGGTCATTTGACGCTCGAACGCCTCTTGCATCTTCATGACGCGCTTGTCCATCGAGTGGAGCTAATCGTTGGGGATGTTACAATATCGCGGCGAGATTTTAGACACCGTACTTGGGACGAAAGAGTCGAGTGGCTTGCTGAAAGCTCTGCAACACGTGCCGTTGCCGCCGAACACTTGAGCTCCCATGCCTTGGCGTCGGCCATCGCTTTCTGGCACACATATACATACAAGCCAATAGGTGGGGCCATGTCGTTTGGTACCTGCAGTGCTTGCTGTAGGTGTTTGATCTTTAAAATCGAATCTTGCTGCTTCTGACGAAACTCGAGCTCCATTTCTGCACCGCCATCGCCGAGTGCCGGAGCAGCATTTGCTCCTGGCGCTTCCACTCGGTCTCTCGGCGCTGCCATTCTTCGCGGTGCCGGAAGGTTCCAGAATCGAGGTCGCTCGTTTTAGCCAAAATGGCATTGCGCAATTGCAGCACCTACATCCATGGTCATGTATTCGCATGAAAAAGAGAGCAACCCACTTCTTTCTCCTTGGCCGCGTACTTGGCGTAAACGTCTTCCAAAGACGCAGTCGTGTCCTACGGCATTTGATGAGTCCGAAAATATTCGCTGGCAAAGTACTGCGAGCTCGCGCCTCAGCTGCTGCACGACCATGGTGTGCTACGACAACAAGTATTCAGTCGGCACATCAGGTAGAGTTTCTACCGCGTGCGTCTTGTCTTGAAGATTGGACGCATGTGCCTTGGTTGCAGCATCCAGTGCAGCCTTTGCTTCAGCCAAAGTCATCTCCAAGGCAAGGTTTTTGCTCTAGTCGCCCAAATGAGCATGTCCACGCGGAGCATCCTACTTGCTCATACCTTGAGCGTACTGTGCTCTTGCATCCAGTGGGCCACTTGTGCTTCCGACGCGCGCAAGCTTGCTTGGCTTGTCACCAACTGCTGCGTGATATGGTCGATGTCGGACTGGAACCCTTCCACAGCGTCCACGTGGCTCTTCTGAAGGCCCGCCAGGAGCTGTGCTTGATGTTCTTCGAGAGCAGCTCGCGTCATTTCAGCCGCTTGAAGTTGGTTTTGTACGTTTGCGATGTTGGCCGTCAAAGTTGCGTTGGCTGCGGCTAGCTGCAGCACGCTGGCTTCCGCTGTTTGCACCCGGTTCGTCATGACCGCCAAGTCGCCCTGGAGGCCCTCAATCTTGTCGTCGGTCAAGTCCGTTTGGCTGGCACAAGCACGCACTAGCGGTGTGCACTGTGCACCTTGGTCCACCCAGTGAGGTTGACTTAAAGGGGACTTTGTCGGGGATGCAGGCGGTGGCGGGGCGACGTCATCGCTAACGTCTTTGGTCTGGACACGATACCCGTGACGCGTCTCGGTCTCGACAAAGACACTGATGGGCGGAGGTCGCGTCCGCAAACTTTGGTGGTGAAGCTCGCGAAGATTTTGCTTTGCGCGGTTGATTTCTGCATCAATCTCTGTCAAGACCGGCGGCTTTGGAAGACTATTGGCGACGGGCGATCGGTTGCGCTCTTCGAGGCGCCGTATGCGAGTTTCCAGCGCGTCGGGCACGGAGCGCGAAGACGATGCTGCGGGCGAGGCTGCGTCGGCCCTTCGCAGCACGGCCTGCGCAAGTGTGTTGTAGCGGGGCATAGCCAGCGCTGCCATTTCGCGAAGCACTTCGACGTCTTCGTCGTCGAGCACATCGAGAGCCGACATTTTCTACGAACGGAGGTCAGCCGCAGCCATCGAGTCGCTTTGACGTACGTCGAGCAAAGAGATGGGGTACGCTGTCGTCGAACACACAGGATTCGATTGGCTCTTGCTAAATGTTTGCAGCCGGAGACTTCGTAGGTTCTAGTGCGTGCTGAGGAGCGATCCGGGGGGCGTGACTGTACCTGGAGGTAAAAGAGAGGTCGGAGGTCGTCAATATGAGCGATTTGGTTGTCGCGAAGATCCAGGATCTCCAGCTGAGGCAGCTTGAGAGGGTCGAGAAGACCGTCGAGAACCGTGAGGCTAATGGGATCGATGAGATCGCGCAACATGACCGTCTACCGTACGCGTTGTAGGCGAGGGAGAGCTCCTTGAGGGCAGGCAGCGTTGGAATGCCCATTGTCGTCACGAGTCTGCGCTTCCATGAGACCAAAGAAGCTTGATCGCATCAACCTGTTGGCCGAGAGATCGAGGACAGTGAGGTGCTCCAGTCCCCGCAGCGCCGAGTAGGATGGAGCCTACACGTGCCATCGATACAGCTCTGTACGCAACATCGTACCTCGATCCAGTTGGACGACAGCGACAGCTCGCGGAGGCTATAATGCCACATGAAGACCTGCACATGAACGGAAGGAGCATACGCACTTGGGGAAGCGCTGAAGCCCATCCATGGTCCGGATGCAGTTGCCATGAAGGTTGAGGACCTCGACACCAGTGGGCTCCTCCGCCTAGGACGTCTCCCTTGAGAGCCTCATATACGGCATGTCATCTTCGCACGGAAACGTCCTTGATGGCGAGAAGCGCTTGGTTCACGCAGCTTATCCGCGCCTCCATGATGATGATGCTCACGAAAGATTGGATTGGCCAGTCTTTGCTGCAATTGCAATCGTCTGTGTAGTATTAAAATGGTTTTCACATACAATATCCAGATATTTTATTCATTGAACGAACCCAAGTACGGCAAATCCACCATTTCATTGCCGTAATTTCGGTCGCCAACTCGAGCGTGAACCCGAGCCTGCCCACGCATACATTGATCCAAGCTCCTCTTGCTTCTCGCGCCTCGTGTCTCGCAGCGTTGTTGAAAGTACATGGTTGGGATGGTTGGAGCATTGCACTCTGTCCACGAAGCAACAATCTGATCGCATCGAGGTATCCTATGGTATTATTATATTCCCTCCATTCGAAATGCATTGGTGTTTTGTATAGAACGCCCACTGAAAGGGTATAGTATTTTAGAATGCAGTACCTGTAATAATGCATATTCAGTAAAATGCTTTCGTAGAGGAAATGGTCCCTCACCACATTTTGCTTCCATTTTGAACTCGGGACGCCATGAGCGAGTCGTTGTACGATGAATTTGGCAACTACATTGGCCCGGAGCTAGATGACTCCAACTCGGAGAGCGAGGAAGAGCGCGAAGAGTCCGAGCAAGAGGATGGCGCTTCCGACGACGAGGCTGCCAGTGGGCAGGAGGCTGACGACGATGACAACATGGGCCGCGAGCCATCCTCGGCCTTGTCCACGTACCGCGAAGAAGACCATCGAATTGTGCTGCATGAAGACAAGCAGTACTACCCGGACGCGGAAGAGGTCTTTGGCGATGCCGAGGTGCTGGTGATGGAAGAAGATGCGCAAGCGATCGAGACGCCGCTCGTTGCGCCTGTCAAGGTCAAGGAGTTCTCGAGCGCCGAGCAGCCGCCAAAGACGACGTACTCGAACGATTTCTTGGCCAGCTTGATGGACCACCCGTCCATGGTCCGCAACGTGGCTGTTGTCGGGGACTTGCACGCAGGCAAGACGGTCCTCTTGGATCTGCTTGTCGAAGCGACGCACGAAGTCAAGTGGAAGGACCAACAGACCGATGCGACGAAGAAAGCGATGGCCGTCGAGCTGGAGCGACGGTATACGGACACCCGCATGGACGAGCAGGCACGCAAGGTCAGCATCAAGTCGACGCCCGTGTCCCTCGTGCTGCCGTCCAGCAACGGCAAGTCGTTTATCATGAACATCATCGACTGCCCCGGCCACGTCAACTTTTCCGACGAAACGACGGCTGCCATGCAAGTCGCAGACGGTGCGGTGCTTGTTGTCGATGCCATTGAAGGTGTCATGATGAACGTACGTCATTACTGCTGTTTGGCCGCCTCGCTAATGCATGCTATGTAGACGGAGCGCATTGTCAAGGCAGCTCTTTTGTCGAAGCTCCCGATCTTGCTCGTCGTCAACAAGGTATGACCAGGATCGATGCCCCATCCAGTCGAACGAAATCGCTTGTAGGTTGACCGCCTCATCATCGAGTTGAAGTTACCGCCGGCCGACGCGTACTTCAAGCTCCTCCACACTATTGAAGAGGTCAACAAGATCATTGAGACGCACACGCCCCTGGGGCAGCCGGCAAAGCGCGTGTCGCCGGAGCTCGGCAACGTTTGTTTTGCTTCGGCGCAGCATGGCTGGCACTTTTCGCTCGAATCCTTTTCCCGCGTACGCACTCACTTTCCGGCTTTTGTCAAGAGCTCAAATGTGTTTCTAGCTCTATAGCGAGATCCATCGCGGCGTCAACCCCACAGAGCTCGCGAAGCGGCTCTGGGGCGACATGTACTATGCGCCTGCGACGCGCACCTTCAAGAAGAAAGTGGTGCGTCTCTGAACCTTGATCTTTGCATTTTCAATCATGCATTAGCCGTACGAGAACGCACCGCGCTCGTTCGTGTCGTTCATTCTGGAGCCGATCTACAAGATTTATGCTCAGGTGCGTTGCAAAGGGTATAATGGAATGATATGGTGCTTATTTGGGTCGCCGTAGGTACTGGGCGAGGACACGGCAACGCTGTCCAAGACCCTGCGGGACCTTGGGCTTCGCGTGCGCCGCGAGGACTTGCATCTGAACCCGCGTCCGCTCCTCAAGCTCGTGCTCTCGCAGTTCCTTGGGCGGTCTGCAAGCTCGTTTGTCGACATGGTGTCTCGGCATGTACCGTCACCGCTCGAGACGGCGGCCATCAAGGTCAAGTCGCTCTACACGGGTGATATGGACTCGAAGGTGGCGGCTGCGATGCTGGCATGCGACCCCACGGGCCCGCTTATGCTCAACATCGTCAAACTCTACTCGTCGACGGATGGTACGACGTTCAGCGCGTTCGGTCGCGTCTACTCGGGCGCCGTGACGACCAACCAGCGCGTCAAGGTGCTTGGTGACAGCTACAGCATCGACGACGACGAAGACATGTGTGTGCGCTCGGTCGAGGCCGTCGGTATTAGCCAAGGCCGGTATAGCGTCCGCGTCAACCGCATTGTCGCTGGCAACTGGGTCCTTCTCGAGGGCGTCGACAGCAGCATCATCAACAGCGCGACGATCACTGACGCATCCGAAGACGTCTTGGAAAGCGAGCGCGTGGGCATTTTCACGCCGCTGGCGCAGCGTTTCGGCACGAGCGCTGTCGTCAAGCTCGCGGTCGAGCCGCTGAACCCATCCGAGCTCCCCAAGATGCTCGAGGGCCTGCGCAAAATCAGCAAGAGCTACCCGTTGGTGACGACCAAGGTCGAAGAGTCAGGCGAGCACGTGATTTTGTGCACGGGCGAGCTCGCGGCTGACTGCATCTTGCACGACTTGCGCAAGATGTACTCGGAGATCGAGATCAAGGTCGCTGACCCTGTCACTTCTTTCTGTGAGACGGTCATTGAGACGTCGTCTGTGCAGTACGTGCTTGCATATTTCCGACTCGTTGAGATTGATGTCTTGCAATAGGTGCTTTGCCGAGACGCCCAATCAAAAGAACAAGCTCACGATGATTGCCGAGCCCCTCGACGTCGGTCTCGCCAAGGACATTGAAGCGGGCGTCGTGAGCCTTGACGTACGACGTGTCTATGATGCGAAAGGCTGAAGGAGCACGATGTGTAGTGGCCGAAAAAAGACGTTGCCGAGTTCTTCCAGAACCAGTACCAATGGGACGTGCTCGCCGCGCGATCGGTCTGGGCATTTGGTCCTGACGCAAAGGGCCCGAACGTACTGATCGATGACACGCTCTCGTCCGAAGTCGACAAGAAGGCGCTCAACTCGGTCAAAAACTCGATCGTGCAAGGTTCGTTTGCCCGTATTGTCGCGATGGCTCATGATGCGTAGGCTTCCAGTGGGGCTGCCGCGAAGGCCCTCTCTGCGACGAGCCGATCCGCAGCAGCAAGTTCAAGATCCTCCATGCGTCTCTTGCAAACGAACCCATTCACCGTGCTGGTGGCCAGCTCATTCCGACCGCTCGTCGCGTCGTGTACTCTTCGTTCTTGACGGCGACGCCCCGGGTACGCTTTGTAAAAAGGGGTGTTTCGAAATGCTAACGTATTGCGTAGCTTTTGGAGCCAATGTACGCGCTCGAGATTCAGTGCCCCGCTGACACGGTCGCGACGTTGTACCAGGTGCTGACGCGCCGCCGAGGCCATATCACACAAGACACGCCCAAGGCAGGGTCGCCGATGTACACGGTGCGCGGTTTCCTGCCCGTCATCGAGTCGTTTGGCTTCGAAACGGACCTCCGCGTCTTCACGCAAGGTCACGCGTTCTGCACGCAGACGTTCGACCATTGGGCGCTCGTCCCAGGTATGTTTGCGAGCATCGGATTGGTTGATGGACGATTTGCGTGTGTTCAGGCGACCCGCTGGACGCCAACATCATCCTGCGACCTCTCGAGCCGTCGCCCGTGGATGCGCTCGCGCGCGAGTTCATGGTCAAGACCCGCCGACGCAAGGGCCTGAGCGAGGAAGTGAACGTCTCCAAGTTCTTCGACGACCCGATGCTCCAGGAGCTCGCCAAGCACGATTTGGACGCAGACCATCTCATGTAAAAAGCCAGCTCACACGACCTCGTTTTATATTCTTTGGAATCGGCGTCGTTGCGTTGGCAGATGGCTCCGCGCCGCTGCACGGAGGCGGCAGTCTGGACCCTTCGGGACGCCTTGGGTCATAGCCACGTCGGCGGCAGTTGCGGTGCTGCAAAAAACAGGCGGTGGCGCGACGCTTCCAGGTGCAGACCAGCCCAAGCGACCCGCGCGTGTTCTTATTCACAGTAGTAACTTCGTGCGTACCCTCGCGTTCTTGGTCCCAACGGCAAGCAAGTTGCATTTGGAACCGCAACGTGGCGCGTGATTGGCTGCGCCCCTTGGATCGGGACGGCGATTGGCTCGTTTTATTGCACTGTGCAGCCGAGATTGGCGGTCACTTTTGGATTTGCCATGTGCGACGTCGAACCGCGCAAGTTTGCGTACATTCCGCTGCTACTCAACCCAGTCTTCCCCGGCGAGCCGTCGGCCGCGTCGATCCTCCTCGAGATGCACCACCAGCTCAGCCTTGAGACCTCACCCCGCGTCCGGAAGCGCCAGCCCTGCAAGGTCGAGGGCTGCGGCCAGATCAGCATCCGCTACGGCCTCTGCTCGGGCCACGGCGGCCGCTATGTGTGCAAGATGGACGGTTGTGACAAGCTCGTCACCAAGGAAGGTGTGTGCACGGCTCATGGTGGCCGCTACTACTGCATCGTCCAAGGCTGCACCAAGCAGCGCTTGAAGAGCGGACTCTGCTTTGCACACGGCGGCGTCTCGTACTGCAGCGTGCCGGGCTGCAACAAGACACGCCAGAAGCGAGGTCTTTGCAAGTCCCACGGCGGTGTTGCCTACTGCAAGATCGAAGGCTGCAGCAAAGTGAGCAATGCCAAGGGTCTCTGCCGTGACCACGGCGGCGTCACTTACTGCCGGTCGCCCGGCTGCCAGAACCTCACGCAGCGCGGTGGTCTTTGCCGCAAGCACGGCGGCTTCTCGTACTGCCAGGTCCCAACGTGCAACAAGGGTTCGATCAAGGGTGGGTTCTGCCGCGCCCATGGCCACGACCTCGACGCCATGAGCCCCCGTTGACACCCCGTCAAATCTTTATCCGGCTCTGCTGGCTCCTCCGGTTGCGTGAAAATGGACTTCTGTGGTGTTATTTTGTAGTTTAACGTACTTTTGAATATAAGAATCTGTATTAGGACGCTGCCGCTCGAACAGCATGGACGGACAGAGCGGGTCCCGTTGGGTTCTCCGGCGCGTCGTCGGCGCTCGCGCTACTCGCGGAATGCAATGGGTACTACTGCAAGCGCGGGAAAAAGAAAAAGAGAATTGCTTGAAGAACGCTTCGGACTTGATTTTCACACATCCTTGTGTAAAACAAATAATCACATAATGCACCGTGTGAAATGCCTCTTTATCCGTGAATTATCACGCGATCGCTGCAGTACAGACAGGTGCAGCAAGGCCCAATGACCCCTGGCTGTCTCCTGCTTGGCTCGTGTCATACGCTAAACTGTGAGCTCACGTCAGTCGTCCGCTTCTGTCGTGCCTTGCCCACGCGCCAGAAACGTGGTGGGCGACAGACTATTACACTATATTGGTGGGACATGTAGAAGGTGTGCGATCTTCGTGTGCCGGTTGGCCAGAACCGGTGGCAGCAATGACGCAGGAGGGCTGGCCGCACGCCGTGACAGCCGCGCAGGCCGCGGGCCTCCTCACGCCGCCAGTCGCGGCTCTGGCGCTTCTTCTTGTGCTACTCCGCGTCGTGTACAAGCCGCACGATGCGTCCTTCCACCTCGACAAGCACGCCAACTACGGGTCTCTGAGTGACTTCAGCGAGACCGAGTCAGACGCGGACGACATCATCTACGCTGGCGAGGTGGCGGGCGACTATAGTGCGCCCTGGACGGCTACGTTCGACCTCGCCTTCGTCGCTGGCATGGCCGTTGGCGCTGTCGCCCTCTCGATCACAACGTCTATCGTGCAGCCGCGTCTCTTTACCGACTCGGGCTTCTGGCTTTCGCAGCTCGTCAAGATCTTGTGCATGCTGGTCGTCTCGACGCTCGGCGGGCTTGTCTGTCGCTTCTTCTGCATCGTGGACGACCATGGCTATGTCATGACGACGCGCAACTCGGTTTTCAAGGTTGGACGCTTTGCCAGCTCATGTGTGTATATGAACCTACTGCGCCCTTAGGTCAACTACACGCGCAAGCTGCAGCACTTTGCAGCGTATTTGATCCCGCTGCTTCGTCCTATCGTGCGCGCCACGGCAGCGCCGACGCTCGAGATGGCGTGGGCGTACTACTGCACGCTCGCGTGTTTTCTCCTTCTCATCAAGCCGCTGCGCGAGCGGTCGCGGCTCTGCATGCTGCAGTTCAACGCGCTCGATCGGCCCGAGGACCGCCCGCATACGCTGAAGTGGCTCATCGCGGGTAACTTGGTGCCTGGGTTTGGTCTCGTGACGCTCTTCTCCGCCGTCTTTGAGAACGTCAGCTTCCTCCTCCTCATCGTACTCATCGTGTGCATTGGCGACGGCCTCGCAGAACCCGTGGGCATTGCGTTCGGGCGACACAAGTACTTGACCTCGAGCTGCCTCTCGCAACGGCGCTACACGCGCAGCTTCGAGGGCAGTGCTGTGGTCTTTCTCAGTACGCTCACGCTGCCTGCCGTCATGTACGCAAGAGGATGCACCACGGCAGTCTTCTCATGATGTGCTACGTGTGCAGGTATGCCAGCTTTGCGTCGCCGACGCAGGTGTTTGCCACGATGGCGCTCTTGCCGCCGGTCGTGACGTACGCGGAAGCCAAGTCGCCGCACACGGTCGACACGCCGATTTTAATGCTGCCGCTGGCACGCTCTTGCACGTGCTCACGGAGCTGGTCTGAGTGTAGAAATAGAGATGCAATAATGAATAAGGTAGGTCTATTGTGGCATCACCGCGTGAGCTGGTGTCGACACCGTCCGTGGGTGCTGTACGCGTGGAGGCACGGCAGCTGTGGCAACGGCGTCGAGTACTCGACGAGCGTCGTATTGAGGTTGAGCCATGGGTGCGACAAGAGGGCCTTGGCCGAGGGCCGCTTGGCGGCGTCGGTGAGAAGACAGGTCGCAACGAACGACTGCGCGTGCATCGAGAGCTGGGCGCCGGACGGGAGGCTGTACTGCCCGAGGCGGATCATGTCTTCCATCTGCGACATAAAGGGCGCTTCGAACGGAAAGTGGCCCGTGAGGAGCACGAACGTTGTGACGCCCAGCGCCCAAATGTCGACTTTGCTCGAGTACGTGGACGAAAACACCTCGGGCGCGAGGAACGGTCCCGTGCCGTTGAGCCCCGTCATGTTCTTGTCGGTGTGCGCGATGCCAAAGTCGATGACGCGCACGTGGCCCGCTGCGTCGAGGAGGATGTTCTCGGGCTTGATGTCGCGATGGGTGATGCCCTTCTTGTGCAGCTCGACAAGCACGTCCACGACCTCGCGCACAATGCACCGGATCGTGTGCTCCGTGACGCTCGACTGCTCTTGGAAGACATCAAAGACGTGACCTGCCGGAATGTACTCGGTGACGATCGAGACGAACGCGTCGTCCTGGTACACGGCGACCAGCGACAGCATGTGCGGGTGCCCGCGCACAGATGAGAGCACTCGCAGCTCGGTTGAGAGTGCATCGACGCGGCTCGGCGTGCTCAAGTACTCTGTGGCAACCCGCTTGACTGCAACGACATGGCCGGTTGCTTTGGCTTTGGCGCGCACCACAACACACGTTTTGCCCTGGCCGATGGTGTCGAGGAGATCGTAGTCCGCTGCAATGTCGCTGCGAAGGATTGTGCAGAGCTCTCCGTCTGGCGGCGGCGGCCTTCGTCGGCAGCACCGAAAGCAAGCGAGGACGCGGTTCATGGCGGACGGGAAACTGCGCTTTGGTGCGCGACGGTGGTGCCAGATGGTCGTATCCGGAAAACCCACCGTTTCATCGGGGCCATTGCGATCGCCAGGCGCATTGGTAACGAGCCGACGAGAAGCGAGCGTTCGTCGTCGCTCACGGATGATCCATCGACCGCGTCGCCGTCAAGCGCAGCCCCGTGCTTGCGGCGTCGCAGAGAGGCTGCCCAGGACCCCGACGGATAATGGGTCCATGAAAAATCCTTCTGACATCCATCGGTGCATGCCATGGGCTAGGATGCGGACCAGGCATCAATGACGCTTTCAGTGTCATGAACCTTGCGTGCGACCGAAGTCGTATGTAGAGGTGCCACGTCATGGATAGCTGCTGCTCCCGGCACTATTTTTAGCGTAAAAGCGCTTCTTCTCACCGATGACGCGGTCGGCCGACGATGAAAGCTTGCCGCGGCTGGCGCTACCGCCACCGACGCAGCCGTCTCAGCTGTTTGAGCGCTCGTCCAAGCGCTGGCGAGACCCCACCAGTCTCAGCGCGCGAGAACGGGAGAAGCCTAGTCTCGTCATGTTTCGCACGAAACCCAGTGTGTTTTCGCCCGTCGACGCCACCCACCACGAGATGCTCGGCCACGTCGTCGCTGCTTTTGACGCCGACACGGCGCACACGTGTCTTCGGTATCTTGAATGCAGCGTGCGCCTGAATGCGCCGACCTCACTACTAGTACTGTCGATGTAGACCGGTCGACAAGTTATACTGGTACTTCGGCGTCCTGCAGCAGCTTGCGCAGGCCGACTCACCCGTACGCACCGTCTTGCAACACGTACGCTGGCCTGCCTGACATTGTTTCGACTCGCACATACCGGTAGATTCACGACATTTTATGCGCTGCGATTTACACGACCGACACGCCGACGCGGGGCTTTGAGTTTTGCCACTTGCTGCGTCAAGTGAACAACGAGCCGCTCGAGACGGAGCTCGCCAACGTCACCATCGAGCTCAAGCAAGCGGTGGGTGAGATCTAGCATTCTGACGACACTGCACTGTCGTATAGAAGGCACAACATGTCTACAAAAAGCAGCGTGCTCGCGACCTCCAAGCCGAGATTGGCCGCGCCAAGACGCACCAAGCGGAGCTCCAGGTTGGCGATCCCGTGCATGTGGCAATTCTTTACAGTGGGATCTGCAGGGTCAGTTGGCTAATGTGAAGCGAGCCGTGACGGCTGAAGACAACCTTTACGAGCAGCTGCTGAACGACGAAGCGGCGATCGACGCCCGGATCGCGGCTGCGCGCACCAACTACGACGAGGCCAAGTCGATTTCAGTAGAGCTTACAACGAAGTCCTCGGTCGTGCAGGATGAGTGTCAATCGACGCTCAAGTCGTTGCACGAGCAAACGCTCAAGGACAAGCTCGACCAAGCGATGCTGGCGTCCGTGCACAGTCTCAAAACAGGTCATTTGTCGTTTAGTTGATGAATCAGTGCTGGATGCGGGCGTAGAATATGCCCACTTGCTCGAGACGAGCCGTTCGATTGAGTACAAGGTGGCGGAACTTAAAGCGCAGCTCGTCGCAGACCACGCCACCATCGACAACATCCAAGTCCGTACTGGCAAATAGTTGTCCTAGGCAAGTAAGTGTATGGTGCACTAGGAAAGTCTGCGTCTCGCTGAGATCGAAAAAGCTGAGCTCGCCGAAGGCACGCTCGACCTTCAGCGAAGCCACTCGCCGCGCCCAAGCTGGGAAAACGTGTTTCACTTTCTTCCCGAAGTGGCCTACGTCGACCCAAAGAACCACACGGCGTGGAGCACCAAGGTTGCATTTGGTGCTGTCGTCCTCGTGTCACATGGGCGTAGACACTCATTCTCTCCAACAAGAACGGCCTCGTCGGTCGTAGCCAGCGCTTCGTTAACGAAATGTGTCATTGGCTTCAGCGTATTCAAGGCGACTGCGGCATAAGCTTGGAGCTCGCGCGCGTGTGTGCCACCCTGCATCTTTACTTGCACTAACTATACACGTCAATAGCTAACAAACCAAACTGAGGACGCGCGCCTGGAGCTCAACTCACTCCAGAATCACATGGAGCTCCTAATGCGCAAGGAGAAGAAAAAGAAGAAGCAGCCGTCGAGCCCCGGGTCGCCCGCTTCGAAGAAAAGCCACGCAAAAGCCAACTTTGTTGCGGCAGTGCACACCGTATCGGCTGTTCGGCGCGCGAGCTTGTCTGACGCGGCAATCGACCCGCCAGCAAAAGAGTACATTCTGGCGCTCGGAAGCACCCCAGAGGTGCCCCAATTCCTACGACACACGGGCAAGGTCCGCAATCGGCACATGGCCAAAACTGAGCTCGAGGTCTGCTCAGCATTGTGCTACTCCTGGCCAACGATTATTTGGAGTAGCGCATCATTCGAACCGTTTGGACGGGAAAGCGCGTCAAGGAAGCGCATATGGGCAACCGCATTGCTCTCGTATCTCGTCTGTTGCACATTCGCGCCTCAGTCCACGCCGCTTTTGATAGGACGACTACCTCTACGAGGTGCTGAAGTCCAAGTTTGGGATCCAAACCATAGTCGCCGAGTGGGGCTACAATATCCTTCACAGTACGTTGGTTTGACTGACTGCAAATTGGTGCTACTCGACATCGCTAGGCCTAAAGCTCTACTCGTGGGACAGCGAAGTCGATCTCTTTCTCCTCTCGCTCACGGGCGCGGTCTCGGAAGTGATCTACGAGGATCAAGAGGCCATGCTCAGTGCGTGTCGACTTGTGCTCGTGCGTGCCACCTTTGCTGCGACCATGCGTATCCCGTCACTGTGTGTAGCTGCGCCTCAACGAGTCGTACTTGGACGCCACGTGGAAGACCGAGCCGAAGCGACTCTTTCTCGTATGGTCGCATAATCGCACGCTGTCTAATGTGAGGTTTCTAGAAGGACGCGCTCCTGACTTTGCACAACTTTTTCCCTCTCAAGACACCGCTGCAGCTCAAGTCGATTGAAAAGGCACTCATCTTTGAGCGACTGCGCCCCAAAGACAAGGTGCACATGGCGTCTGACGAAGCAATGGTGCTGCTCGACGACCTCTTACCGACCAAGCCCAAGCCCAAGCGTGGGTACTTTCTCAAGACGCTACGCACGCAGCACTTTAAGGAGATCCAAGACTACCTCGCGCTTCTCGAACGGTGTGTTCGCCGATTGTAACTTTGCAAACGTGGCTCTTTGGATAGAAAACTCCACGAAGCTGACACCCACAATACGGGGCGGGTCGAGATTGAGCGTATCAAGCGGGTGCGTCGCCAAATCGATTGCCGTGTTTCCATGGAATCATTGCAGGCGATGCAAGCGCTGGACCCGAGCGTTTCGAACGAGTGGACCGGCGAATGCATCTTGCGGGGCATCCCAAAGCGTCTCGTGGGCCACGTCGACTTGTCAAGTGTTGTCGAGTACCGCTGCTTTCTCAAGGTCAGTTTTAGCCATTTGTGCGAACTCTACAGGACCCGTGTAGAAAATGAACCAAGGACTCATGAAGCACAGCCAAAACTTTTGCCCCAACGCCGACATTGTTTCGTTTCACTCGGGACCCCGGCACTGCGCTTTCAATGGCTTATCCGCCATCTACCCGTCGCCACAAGACACGACATTGTAGTGCTGCGATTCCATTCTTGGCTGATGCGAATTAATTTCTGGTATCCCGAGCCTCTCTGCACACGCTTTGTATAGTAGTTGGCCCAAGGGCATAATACATACTACTAGTAGTATGCCCTAGGTAGACCACACTTGGGTAGACCATTTGCAGTCAGATTTGCAGGATGTTGTCTCCCGTTGTTGGCGCGCGGCAAAGTTCACACAAGAGCTTCGAACTTCGATTTTGGGCCAATCGAAGCGATTCACGTTTGCCTTCGTAGCCAGTGCGTCATCGTCATGCAACACGACGGAGGCGGCAACGCTGCGATGCGGACGCTCCTTACGGCCAGCAGCTTGCCGCAGGCCAATGGCATGTTCTCGACCACGAATGCTACCTACGGACAGCGCCAAGTCGCGCCGCCAGTTGAGCCAGCGCCTCGAGCGTGGCCGCTCGCCGTGCACAACGACCCCGACATCGAGCAGCTGGACGCCGACGGGATGTACATCGTGTGCCGCATCTGCTCGGAGCTGGACAAGGCGCGCAATGGATCCCGGATCGTCCGAATGAATGCTCCGTTTCGCGTCGCCGCGTGGGAGCGTCACAAGGCCCGCAACTCGGCACACAAGCAGTCCGAGAGTGCGACGGAGCCAACTCCATACGCCGACCTCATGGCGTCGTACCCCGATATCGTACCGCAAGGCGTCGCGCCAAAGCCGCGAATGATTGCTCCAAGCTCGGCACCGCGAGCGCAGTCACAAGCTCAGCATTCGACGTACACCAACAATGGACACCACCAAGCACAGTTGCAGCCCGTGCTCAACATGCAAGCCGCCAATTTCATGCCGCAGGGCTACGCTCCACAAATGCCGCAACAAATGCAGCAACAAATGCAGCAACAACACCTCGCACCACAGCCACATCAAGCGATGCCGCCACAGACGCTTGTACAGCAGCCGAGCGCTGACGCAACGACGCACATGCACCCCATCGTGCCCATCAAGCGGCCTCTACCGCCACCGTCCGAGCCGTCCTCGCGCAAGAAGAAGAAAGAGAAGCCAATCGCGGGGTGCATGGGACGCGAAATGGTTGGGTCTTGTCCCGGCGCGATTCCGTTCGAGAAGTGCCAGACCGTACAGGCGCACTTGAAGGCGTTCCAGCGCTTCATCATTCCCGCGCCAACATTTGGCATTTACTACAACGAAGAGACACAATGGTATCTACGGCGTAGCGATCGAGATATACAAACGTGATGCTAGGTACCAAGTGTACTCGCGCGCGTGCGCCCGAGAACCGATGCTGAACCGGCGCCCTAGCCGCGGCCAAGCGTGCGAAGCCTGCTATCAACTCTACTCGGACCGCCAGCGACTCATGTGGAAACGCATTACGAACATGGAAGGCTTGCTTGGCGCGATCGAGACCATCAAAGCGACAAGGTGCGGAATTGGGTTCTCGCAATGCTCTCACCGCGTCTGTAGCCACGCAGAAATGGATACCAGCGTGCTCGTACGTTTTCTCCAAGGCAAGGCGTGTCTGTACACGGCCGAGGGCCTCCAAGTGCGTCAGACGTCCAAGAAAGCTCTCGAGTACCTCACGGAGCGGCGACGACTTCTCGAAGACCTCGAGTTTCGAACGTCGGGCACCCAGCTTATTTGATTTCATTCAAAGTAGTATTGAATCCATTTAGAGATGTGGGTCACGTTCTTGATGTCGCCGAGACTGTAGCCGTGGACGTTTTTGGGTCGAAGACGCTTCGCCTCATGCGCGTCGTCCGTGTTGAGCATCGTCGTCGTCGCCGCGGTAGCATTGTTCCCTGGAGAAAAAAGCGATTTGTTTTGCACTTCGAGCATTGCCGTCTCAATGCTGCGCTTGATGGCCATGGTTGCTGCAATGCAGTTATGATAGACGCGCCAGCAGCGACCGGCGCGAGGGCGTTGGGCCGTTGACTGTCATTAACGCTCCCGTATGGCGTGTCGCTATTGATAGATCGCCATGTCCATGCCCTTCAGCTTAAAGTTGCGTGCCTTTGGCGCAAGGTCGCCATCTTGATCGTACTTCGTCAGTCGTAAGTTTTGCACGCGGGGAATGACGACGCGAGGATGGGTCTGCCATCTCTGCACGAAGATGAACCCTGTCACACACGACGGTCCTTGCTTGTGCTGTGGACGGCCTCGGCGCCACGCAGTCAAGAGCCTCGCCAAGAAAGCAACGACGAAAGCGCTTCTGCTGCATGCGGACCTCTCCAAGCATACGCGACCCGAGCAAGTTGCCGACATGGTGGAGCACGGCTTTGACGTGAATGAGCTCAGCTCGGTGCGTTTGGCCAAAATGCTAGTCCGAACGATCGTTGACGTAGGAAGGCTACACGGTGTTGCACTGTGCGGCACGGCATGGACAAGCTGGCATTGTTCGTGAGCTGTTGCGCTTTGGCGCAGACACTGAGATCGAGGCGACGGTACCACGCACACATCCATTCTTCGTGTGTAGACCATAGCGCACTACAGGGAGGCCGGCGCGCTCTGCACTACGCAGTTGAGTCAGGGTCTATGGAAACTGTGCAAGAGCTTGTGAGCCGCGGTGCACTGCCCTCGCCAGCGACCAATGTAGCCAGTCGATGTACATTAAAGAGGACTCTAAACGAAATCCCTAGGGCGACGCGCTCACGCCCCTGCATATCGCAGGCCAAATGGGGCATCACAAGATTGCCGACGTACTTCTTCGAGCCGGTGCACGTCTCGGGGCTGTGACCAAACACGTAGAGAGACGTGTAGTTTGTCCGTACAGGTGGCTCACTCCGGCAACGTAGATGCGTCAAACGGCTTTGCACCTTGCTGGTATGTCGTCGGTGCAGCGACGAGAGTGAATGCGTGTGAACGTAGCGGAGGCAGGTCACATCGAGTGCGTCCGAGTTTTCATGCGCTATGATCTCGAGGGCGACGTCGTGGGCGCGGTGGATGCAAGCGGGGCCACGGCCACACAGACCGCGCAATTCGCACAGCGCTCGGTGGTGGTCGAGCTTTTGCAACTCCAAATTGGGGCGGGCGCCAAAGACCGACTGCTCGATAGGCTTCTTGCAATGGGGGCAGGGCGCCCGAGTGACAGGTAGCCATCTAGTACTGCCGATCAAAACAACTCTACGTTCAAGCATCAGAGTGTTTATTCAAAAGGCTTGGACGCAGCAACGACATAGTCAAAGCCAAACTCAAACGACCCGTCGCGGGTTGCATCGTCGGCTTGCTTGTCAAGCTTGTCGAGGTACTTGCCCATGGACTTGGCCAACATGGCGTCTTGTACGAGTGGCAGCTTCGTGCGCCCCACTTGCACCTAGAATGATGCACGTCGTCAAGTGCGCGCATACTACCACCTGTCTGTGGTCCTTTACCTGCCGCTTGATGGTCGCTGTTGTGTACACGTTGGCAAACTGCGCCTTCGACTCGACGGAGAGCCCCGAGCGCTCGAGCTGGCGCAGGATCCAATCCAGAGGAAACTCGCGGTACGTGCGGTGGCCGGCCAAGAGGATGCATGCGTCGCGCGTCCGCGCCATCTCCAAAACGAGCTTGTCTTGGGTCGAGAGCACACGTCCACTTGGAACGCTCATTGTAATGGGCTGCAGACCCGCTACATAAAGCCGGCCGCCAGGCGCCAGCAGCGGCAAGAGACGAGGAAAGATCTCATCCTGGTAGTAGGGCGCGTGACCCTCGATCGCGCCCACGAGGTAGTCGGCGACAATCACATCGAAGACTTGGTCCTTCAAAAAGGTAGGGTCGTTCCAGTTGCCGGCGAGGACTTCAATGTGCGGCTGCGGGAACTTCTCGCGGAGGCCCACGGCGCGGGTCGTGTCGCCCGTGACGGCAACAATGCCGTCGATGGGTAGCGTCTTGAGCCAGTTAAGCGAGTGGTCGCCCGTGCCGGCGTCGAGGACGCGGCCCCAGGCGCCCGCTTTGGCTGCGTGGAGCTCGATGTGGCGGAAGAGGCGATCCGTCGTGACCATGGTTGCACTGCTGCCAATCGAGCAAACGTCCGAGCTCGCGACAAGCCCAACAGCTGCCGACACGAGCAAGCACGCCAGCATCGAACGACTGTCTCGGGGCCATACAGAAGCCGAGTCAAACTAGACGGATAATTCGGCACTATGGCGCTCGTATGCCGAAAATAAGAACATCGATCGGCAGGTGCGAGTCTTGCGATGCGCAAATCAACCGAAGAGACGGCGTCGCGAGATCTAGCACAGCCGGCTAGCCTGTCGAGCTTGAGCAGTACAGTATCGAGTGCTGAGAGTGGCTGAGAGTCATGCAATGATTGATGTCACAGGTTTTGCATTTGCCCGCACGTGCGTGCCAAGCACCCAATCAACTGGGATCAACGGAGGGTTGACCTACAATAATGTGGTACGAACCAAGCGCCAAGCTACATCTAGAGCTCGGCGTTGCTACTCGAACGCCTTGGGGCATATATGTCTTTGCTCGCACTGCAAGAGCCTCGGAAAAGACGCGCTTTGCGCCAAAAAGCGCGCGCTATTCTTGGGTGTCGTTCAAGAAAGGGCGGTCCCTCACACATGAGCGGTGCCAATCAAACGCCGCCATTTTGTTTCGTGAACGGTGCCTCCACCAATCCAGCAACAAGATCACCGCAAATTGGGGGATATCACCTGCGATTGGCTAAAACTCCGAAGACTATTTTGGGGCTACTTTTGCAGAACTTTCCCGTAATTTGATGAAACGACCTGCATTTCGACCCAGAGATGATTCTCTGCCCGCCGAGAACGTCTCGTCTGTCTTGCCATTGCAACATGCCAATCCCGCCTGCATGTCACCTAGCATCATAGACTACCTTTAAAGCACGAGACGTACAGCCAGAGACTACCGAGAGGAACGGACCAGAATGGGCTAAATCAAAACGGCGACGACGTTGAACCGCGCGTCCTAAAATACTTAAACCCTCCAAATCTAATACAAACCTTGTCTATCCGGATGACCCCGACAGGATTTCACGGATTGACCTCGACTTGTGTATGGGGTCGAAAAAAGAACGGGAATCCGGATACGGAGGGCCTGGCGTGTGTGGCCCGTCGGTCATCACTTTGCAAGTTGCCAAGAAGGAAGAAGCATCATGGACCAGCTGCTGCACTACAAGGAGAAGATCACCAAGCGCCTTGATCGCTACGAGAAGCTCAACGAACTCGAGGCCCAGATCGGTGTCGAGAAGTTCTACATCTTCCTTGCTGGCGCCCTCGTCGCTGGTGTTCTCCTCTTCGTCATTGGCGGCGCCAGCCTCATCTCGAACCTCGTCGGCTTCATCTACCCCGCGTACATGTCGTTCAAGGCGCTCAACACGGACAACTCGAACGATGACACGCAGTGGCTCACCTACTGGGTCGTCTACTCGGCCTTCAACCTCACGGAACAGTTTACGGACATCTTCCTCTCGTGGATCCCGTTCTACTTCTTCCTCAAGATCGCCTTCCTTGTCTACTGCTACCACCCGTCGACGCTCGGCGCCAACACGATCTACCAGTCGCTCATCAAGCCCAACTTGATGCCCCAGGTCGAGAAGATTGACGCCGCCTTGAAGAAGGCCACGGACGCCGCCAAGGAAGCCTCGGGCAAGATCCAGTAAGCGGTCCGCGCCAGTGTTAGGCTGGCCTCGTATCGGCGCCGATGTGCGTGCGGGGCTCTATTTCAACTAAAAAACCATTACGTTTGCTTGACACGCGTCTCCTGTGTTGATGGGCGGACTATGTACAAAATCCGATGAAGTGATCTCCACAAACTCGATGATTATTGTGATCTGTGACGTGGGTTATTTACACGTCGTCATGGCACGCACACGCGCGCTTGGGGCCAAGGCACGTGGAAGTCATTGCCTACTCCTCCTTGTACTCGTCGCCCATTGCCTCTTCGATCATCCCTTTGAGCTCCAATCTACGTCAAGTGTCATTGGAGAGTTTTCGATGGGCGACGAGGTACCGGATCTCCGTCACATCGTCGCCCTGGAGCGTATCCTTGGTGAATTTGGCCTCCACGCGCATTTGGACCTGTGCGCGCACAGTAAGACACAGCATGTCCAAAGCCAAAGCGCGAGCGTACCATCTCGAGCGCACCACGCAGAACGCCGCACAGGATGTTGGAGTACGCGAGGACACCGTGCGCTTGGGGCGGGAGCTCCACGAATTCTATCGATGGGTGCGTCCATAGCCGTAGTCGAGATGACGCATCGACGCACCAGAGAACGGATTCTCGTACAGCACGAGCGAGCAGACATTGGGCATGTCTGTGGGCGCGACGTCGACGTTGATGCCCAAAAACATCTTGAACGCGACCTTGGCAATAACGTCGGCCGTCTCCTTGAAGTCAGCACACGCCGCGACGCCCGACTTAGCAAGGAACTCGTCAATGAGACGGATGCCAATGTTGTAGCCCATCTTCTCAAGCTGCGAATTCACTTCCTTTAGGTCCTCAAAGTCCTTGATGAGCTGCAAGACGGACGAGGTAAGCTCGCCACTGACTTACGAGATCACGTACCTGGGTCACGACAGCACCATACGTCAGCGCGAAGAACTCAGCGTTCTACGAGGGCAAGCGCGTCGGCGACCCAAGAGCACAACATTCTTCTATACCACTTTGGGCATCTTGGCCCACGCGGCCTCGCCGGCTCGCACACGAGACATGGGCGATCGATTTCTGCGGGCAGCGATATCCGTACGTTTCGTTCATACTATCCGGAACCGGTGAAGACGCTGGTTCTGTTTTTTGCTCCATGTGATTTTTTTTAAAGTCATTGATGAGGCGAAAAGAAGTACTTTTCCTATAGCAACTTGACGTGGGTACAAGCAGAACGCTATAAATAAAATGGGGGGTGTACGAAATCTTTCAAGAGGAGCAAACATAAATGGAGTGGCCTGAAGCGGTAGGTAAAATTAGAGCAATGAAATATAAAAAATAATAGCACTTGTTGGTTTCGATCCAACGACCTTTGGGTTATGAGCCCAACACGCTTCCTCTGCGCCAAAGTGCTCCTGTTATCTACGACCACAACACAGACATACCATCACCACGAAGCATCGTCTATTTATTATTTGCTTAAGAATTTTCATTTAACCACTTACTC